GTTTTAGGCCCCCAGTCAAATTGTCACTGGTTAGTAAAATTCACGATATTGCAAGACATGTTTGGTAGAGAGACTTGTAGTGGTCTTGCACTTGGTACAGCCACCATGAGAGACCATTATTGCGGCACAATGCCCACTCATTGACCTAACAAGCTTGTTTGTTACATCTGGATCAACAGCCTCACGTGATGCGAAAATGGTCTCAAATGGTCTTTCATTCTTCCAGATGTCGAGATGGGCTTCTATCTGACCTCTTCCTCACTTATAAATATATTCCCAAAAATGTTCAATGAGGTCTACGTCAGCAATCTCTTATAGCCCTGGGCTGGTCAATATCACTTTCTTTCAGGCTCTTTTCTGAATGACATGGTACCCCCATCTTACTGGAAGATATAATCTCCACCACAAAGCCATCTCATCTATTAGGAAAGTTCTAGATACAAGCCAAACATACCATTTTCCGTATCTAGTCGAAAATTTACGATCTTTGAGACTTTCTAAAAGGTGGAGAGAGCTTTGCGGTTGAGACTTTATCTTTGAACAAGATAGGGCACCATGTGACAGAGAAAAAAGCCCCAACGAAAGAATTCTGACCTAAACCTGTTCGAATATCTCTGGGAATAAGTGCATGAAGAAGAGGTCAGATAGAAGACCATGTCGACATCTGGAAGAATGAAAGAGACCATTTTCGCATCACGTGAGGCTGTTGATCCAGATGTAACAAACAAGCTTGTTAGGTCAATGAGTGGGCATTGTGCCGCAATAATGGTCTCTCATGGTGACTGTACCAAGTGCAAGACCACTACAAGTCTTTCTACCTTACATGTCTTGCAATACCATGAATTTTACTAACAAGTGACAATTTGACTGGGGGCCTAAAACTTTTGCACAGTACTGTATGTCAATTGATTAATCAATTAACTATATACCTTTCTATCTTATGTCGGTTATAATTTTGGTTTGCATACATGATGTACACGCGTAAAAATCATCATGTTCATGCAAGTTGTTAAAAACAGGAGTGAACAATGTTGTGCTGCACCCTGTGAACAATATTGTTAACAATGTTGTTGAAGCTTGTTGAATCATCAATGTTATTGCAACTTGCTACAACAACATTGCATCGTGATTGTAACAACATTGATGATTCAACAAGGTTCAACAACATTGTTAACAATACTGTTCCCAGGGTGCAGAGCAACATTGTTCACTCCTGATGCGACAACCTGCTTAATTTTTGGCCGTGTATATTAGCTACCTGCTCTACGCCGAAAGGAAAATATCTTATTTTATTTTGCAGATTGACGACGTTAATTGCAATAATGTTTTTCCAACACTGCTCTTGTATAACGTTTACTCCTGGTGTTCAGCTAAAACTTCACAGCTATCAAAACGAGATTTTATATGGATTTATCAACAGTAACATTACAGAATCCTCCATCTCGAAATGTTTAGAACACTGTATATTGAATTGTGCTTGTCTGTCATTTCAAATTTGCGGTGACACCTGTCAACTTTGTTCTTCAACTAAAGGATTGAGTTCTCCAACGTCAGTACAATATAGAGAAGGTTGCACACGTTTTGAGTTTGAAAATATCACAGAGTTACTGGTAAGGCGTGACTGACGTCTAAGATAATTTGTTTAGTAAGGATGCATATGCATACCCTTATAAAAGTGCTAAAAATATGCGTCAAATAAATATGAAATGATGAATTCCAACGCAATAAAAATAAATCGAAAGAACTTAGTTTTCCGCATATTTAAGTATCCATTTGTTAAGAATGATTCCTTCGAGTTGTGGTCAGGGCCTCTTAGGGAGAGAGGCAATCAGTCCTAGCCTAGGGGCTTGAGTGACGAAGATAAATGGTACGGTATAGGTAAAAAGAGTCTAAATAGGAAGTAAAGTGTGCCCAGGAAACTGGGAAAGGTGAACCTAAAGTTAATTTAGGACCCAGACTCCTCGAAGCAACGCAAACTGCCAGCAGTTCGAATCCAATATTTGAAAAAGGTAAATCGGGTTCACCGTGACGTGCATGCAGTCCCTGATGAATTTTCGATCGACGTATACATCCGGTTTAATCGACAATTTCAGCTGTAAACCAAATCATTTAAAGCAAAGCCATAAAAACATGCCAGCAAAAGACGCTCGGCTCAGTGGGCTGCCATCGTTGGCCCTCGAAAGCAGAGGCAGCTGCGCACTCTACCCCCGTTGTTCCGGCGCTCTTATCCGGACATATTACGAGTTATACATATTTCAGTTACAACAATTCACAACCAAATTTGGAATTCTCACTCATCTTAACTAAGGCTAAAGTGTTCCTTCAAGCTGGATTTCGTTCTTCATGCTTTAATTTTGATTAAAATATAGGCTAAAGCCGGAATCATCCATTTTACTAACATTCATAACTGTAAAACAAGGGGAATAAATAATGAATACAAGCCGTTGTGTATAAGACGTGCCTCGGCTGACATCATTATTGTGAATATTCACCAAATTGTCAGATATGTAATTCCTCGGTAAACTTACAAGCTTTGTTTTTCTACTTTTCTACAATTGCAGATTGAAGATAAAGGGTGCGAAAGTTGTTCAATTCGTATCAACTGTTGCGAAACCTCGCGACCTTGCTTGAATAACGAATTATGCACACCTTCCTCATCAACAAACGACGTTAATCGTTACTCCTGCCGTTCCAGCGATAAAACTAAATCATGTATTATACTTTGACTGTACTTATAATCATCATATACTATACTTTGGCTTCGACTCAGACATTTCGTTAAGTTGCAGCCTTGCATGTTTATAATAATTATATTTTAATTATATATATATAACATTATTTAACGGACAAAAAAAATTGGCATGGTACGAAGCCGAAGAGTATATATTTGCTGTATATAAATACGTATATATTACTATAATCTATATATCTGTAAGTCACGTTATTGCATCAAATTTCTACAAATATATTCCACAACTGAAATCAAGATAATGACAGGCAGAATTTCTACTCAAAATACAAATGAGTATGCTTTATTTTTGCCAATTCGGCCTTACATTTGAGAAATTTCGACTAATATATAATCTTGTGAAGAGATTTAAAGTAAAACAAAAATAGGTTGTAATCTTTTTGCCGATCTTTTTCTTTCTCCATCTTATATTAATCATTATTATTAGGCAGAAGTCTGCCGATTGTGTTGTGATTTTACGTAAGCTTTTGGAACTCGATATAACGGGAAAAAATTGTTCGAATGCCGGAAATGCAACTTAGTAACCGACTGAAGAGTCTAACAATATATCAGGCATCGGCAATAAGGTTGTAATGATGCATGTGCCAGTAAAGGGCAGTGTGGGAGGAATTTTTGGACACTATTCGATAAAATCTAGGGAAAACGAGGTCATACCTTGCCTACTCATTCAGTGTATACTTGACATGTAATCCCCTGCTGCAAGCGCTGAGTACTGTCCAGAAATAACCTAGCACTGCGGTTGCGGTTCGGTTGGGGTTAGGTTGCGGTTCGGTCGCTGTTCGGTTGCGGTCGACCGATAGAAACCGCAGACGACCGCGAGGAAAAACTCAAAACTGATACCTTCGCAGTGGCCGTTCGCTTCCGAACGAAATTTTATGAACAGCTGAGAACGACAACACAATAACCAAATCAAATCTTAGGAAATGTCTGTCAGACCGAGTTAGGCCGATGTTTAATTAACCTCCGTCTAACCGCGGTTCGACCTCGGCCTAACTTTAGATTAACCGCGGTTTTTGTTAGGTAAATTTAGGTTATTTCTGGAAAGTACTGTATCTCTGCGGATGTAACATAAATGATAACAGCTGATATTTTTATAATGTAGTCGATTATTTTTTATAACAAAGTCTTGTTTCAGATCATTATTTTTTATAACAGAGTCTAGATCAACAGATCAACCAACACGAAAATCTTATTTTATTACATATAATTACCATTTGTTTGTCTAACTATGAACTGTTTCCGTACAGCTGTTGCCCGCCCGCTCATCAACTTCATCAATACTAAAATTCCGCTTTCTATTCTTCCAGTTTAGTGTACGTGTGGCTGTGTGCCCACTGCCCACGGGGGTGCAAAATATCTTATATGAGGATATGCATGCATGAAATGACCATTTTTTAAGCTCACTTCCTACTCATTAATTCACAAGCGGGTTCTGTCAATAATATATCTACTCTTCAAACCAAAGGTCAACATTTTGATTCAGGTATCCGTTCTTATTGTATGCTTCAACCTGAAGAGACATCAACAAGAACATTATCTTCAGCAATTAATATATGAAGTACGATGAATCCATTCTGTGGCAGGAGTTATCAAAATCTCGGTAAGTTTTCATGATCTTACTGGCATCATATTATGCGAGGTTATTTCTATATTGTTAAAATTACTGACACAGCAAACCCACCCAGTCACTGACTGTCACTCAGGATCTTCGTACTGAAAACGATCGGATATTCAGCTCAGTCCCCGGGTGACTTGGTTAAATAAAATTCCGATCAAATTATTCGTGTTGTTAAAACCAATAGTTCCTACTTTATTCAGGAAAAAACAAATATTTCACAACAATAATATACATGTATAATAAATCAATATAGAACAATATAATATCAGAACAATGTGCGCATATCTGAATTATTTACAATACTGAGTACTGAATAATTTTTGTTATCCGGTGGGCGGTAGCGGTGATTCAGTGGGTATTGACTATGGTGTACGTAGGCAAATATAAACTTAATTAATCTCAAGTTTTTCCACCTTTTTTGTATTTGGTGATCTTGGTGGGGAATGCTATTTTATCATATTATCAAGGTTATTATTCTGTAAAAATCTAGTCACAACGTTTTTGTGGGTAGCCTGCGCATGCGCAGCTAACCACTATGTAGTCGAAAAAGTGTCCGGATCACTGAGCTATATAATAATTCCTGGAGGACCGGCTCCTGACCAGAAAGTGAAGCAAAAAACATGGCGGATTTTGAGTTTTGCTGACGCCACATGGTCCCCTTTGCCCATGGTAATTACCACTGACATACCGCGATACAAAGTCAAAAACGTGTCCGTCACCCTCCCGATTTTTGACTGATATCAGTTTTTGAATATTTTTTTATTCATCTTTCCCGCCTCACTCTAAATTAAAAAATGCCGAAGTTTTGCTGCGTTATTGGTTGTCATAATTCCTTCTCGAAGGAGAATATTACCTCCCACCGGTAAGATATCATGCAACTTCATAATTTTGTAGTTTTTATCGCACAAAAACACGATTTTGTTTGCACGTATTGAGGAAATGGCGTCATTTTTTATTTTTCGCACATTCAGAAATAGTTGTAAAGAAATTTTAAGTAAAGAAAGGGTTGAATTTCTCTGACCTTTGAGATAATTTGGATTCTATATTATCGTGTTTTGACTGTTTTCAGTTTTCAATGTGTTTCGTGCCACAAACGGCAAAATTAATTTAACTTTTTTAATTGTCGTAAGGCTTGAAAATACAGTGATATCATTTTTTTTTATTCAATAGCTCTAAAATCAAATTTACAAGAACATGTGCTAGAAAATACATACATATACATACATACACACATGTATTTGATATACCGCATTAATATATCCATACTAGAAAATTTGAATTTTTAACATTACTCTAACATTCAAATATAGTTTTCCTGATGCTGAGAAGAGTCCTGAGTTACATGCCTTATGGATGGAGAATATAAACAAGAATGTTCCAGTTGAGTTTACTCCAATTAAGGGAAGTCGTGTGTGTTCTGAACATTTTAGTGTGGACATGATGCAAAAAGTTGGGCAAAGGACAATGCTGTTGCCATATGCTATCCCAACAATATTTGAAAAGTCTCAGGTTTGTGCCTCTTTTAATTAAATTGGTGAACAATTAAGATTATAATTTTCTTTAAGACTCAACTCCAAGGAGCTGTTCCTAACTACTGCAGTGCAAATCATATTATGTGAAGCAATATTCATTAACACTAAAAAAAAAATTAACAGCCTGAATTGCCATACATTTTAGGTTGCAAACATATATAAGTTTTTGCTGGTCACCTGCAATGCATATAATGTTGTCACTAGTGGAATGTATAACTCGATAGTGCATGAGTACCATCTTGTCTTGCATGTCTTGTGTGGCATTTTACACCATAGATAAATGATTTAAACATAGATAAATTTTTATTGTGTTATCAATATTAAATTTAACATTTCTGTCAAGGTAATTTCACAAAATGTGGAACATGTAGAGGTTGCATCAAAAGATATTGCAATTTGGATGACTGGTAGAGATTGTGTAAGTACGCAAAAGTACCTGGACTTATGGTAAGTGAAGACATTGCAGTAGATTTAGCAACTGGGAGTACTGGTAAAGTAGTTGTTCCAGGTGTCAGTGATAAAAAGGTAAGCTCTCATAATGTAAGTGTACAAGGTAAAGAGCTCACTACAGATAATGTAATCACACATGGAAGAAAAAGAAAGCCTTCAGATGAAGACTTTGATGAGATGGCTATTAACGGGGTAAGTACTCCAAAAAGAATACATGCAAGCCATGTGAACCATGATCACACTTACCATATCAGTGAATCTCCTCGCAAAATGAAGAAAAATGTTGATAATCTTGTAAACAACTTGACTAATTTGCAGAAGAAGTTTAAGGTGTCAAAACAAAAAACAAGAAGGCTAAGAGAAAGGTTAGCCTTTGGAGTCAGTGGTAAGTGAACTGAGACAGAGTAATCTCATAAATAGTGATTGTGCTGCAATTTTGGAAACAACCTTTTCCGGAGTTCCAAAGGAACTGATGAAGAGGTTAGTGTCGCAAAAGAAAAGCAAATATCCTGGGGCGTATCCACCCGAGCTAAGGTCATTTGCTCTGACCTTAAAGTTTTATTCGACGAAGGCATATAATTATGTTCGGAAAAGTTTTCAGCTGGGGTACCACACGTATCTGTGATCCGATCGTGGTATACCTCGATGGATGGTGAACCCGGTTTCACGAAAGATGCCTTGACAGCTTTGAAAGCTAAGGTCCTCGCTGCAAAAAGAAAAAGTGAAGAAGTTGTTTGCGCCCTCACCTTGGATGAGATGTCCATACGAAAACATGTTGAGTGGGATGGAAAGAGAATGCGTGGCTATGTCGACCTCGGAACGGGCATTGAAGACGACTCTCTACCTGAGGCAACGGATGCTCTTGTATACATGGCAGTTTGCGCAAACTCAAGTTGGAAAATACCTTGTGGATATTTTCTAGTAAATGGACTCACTGGTGAAGAGAAGGCAAACTTGACGAAAGAATGCATTCGAAAATTGCACGAAGTTGGGGTGAAGGTGATTTCTTTCACATGCGATGGTCCTTCGACCCACCAGGCGATGTTAAAGGAGCTCGGCGCAATTCTTACACCTGATAGCCTGCAGGCGTATTTTCCGCATCCGTGTGACCCAGAGGCCAAGATCTACGTGTTTCTGGATGCCTGCCACATGATAAAGTTGGTGCGAAACACAATGTCGGACTGGCAAGTTCTGAAGGATGGAGATGGGAACACAATTCAGTGGCAATTTATCGAGAAATTGCATCAGTTGCAAGAATCAGAGGGTTTACATCTTGCTAATAAGCTCCGGGCAGGGCATATCAAATGGAAACCACAGAAGATGAAGGTAAACCTAGCAGCACAGGCGCTCAGTTCGAGTGTCGCTGATGCTTTAGAATACTGCGAAGGTAAGCTGAAATTGCCACAATTTCAGGGATGTGGTCCAACTGTGAAGTTTATTCGTGTTTTTGATCGCTTATTTGATGTTCTGAAATCCAGAAACCGGCTGGCGAAGAATTACAAAGCGCCAATCAGGAGATCGAATTATCAGTACACGAAGAAGTTTCTGGACCAGGCGAGTGAGTACATCCGAAATCTAAAGGGTCCTGATGGAAGATCGATTCTCAAGACAAAAAGAAAGACCGGGTTTCTTGGTTTTCTTATTTGCATCAAAGCAGTTTTGGGATTGGCCGACGATCTGGTTATGGCAGAGAAACCAGTGCTAAAGTACCTCTTGACGTACAAGATAAGTCAAGATCACTTGGAGTTGTTCTTCGGTGCTGTGCGAGCATGCGGAGGATGGAATAACAATCCAACCACACGGCAGTTTGTCGCAGCGTACAAGCAACTGCTGATGAGGCACAATATTGAAGGAGGACGCGGAAACTGCGTTGCTCAAGATGACACGGAGATACTGAACTGTGTCAAAGACCAGTGTGAAATTGAAGAAACGCCGACTGGGATCTCAGACGTGGCGATTGCGAGGCGATACGACCTGGAGTTGAGAGAGCCAGCTGCCGTCGATCATGACTACTGTGATGTGTCTAATGCCATTGAACTGTCTGAGTACAAGGAGGCTGCAATATCGTATATTGCTGGGTACGTCGCAAAGATGGTGACGAAAAAGATCCATTGCACCCAATGTACAACGGTTCTGACGACGACGAAAGAGAACATACCGGACTTGTTCGTAACATGGAAGACGAATGGGGGTTTGCAACTACCGTCACACGGACTGATTAAGATTTGTGAAGAAACAGAAAAGTGCATTATGCGAATGCTGAATGCTAACCAAGGTGGTTTACCTCGTAGCGCTGGACTATCAGGAGCAATTGCGAAGACGGTGCTGGAAACATGTGTGAAGAGCGGGGTCTTTAGCACGTTGAACCAACACATGTTTGACTCAAGTGCAGTGGACAACCACCTGTTTACTCTGATAAAGTGCTGTTCTCAGAGTTATGTCACGATTCGAATGCATCATTTATGTAAGTTAAGGAATGCAAGTATGCATGAGAAGGTGATACGAAAGCAGTTTTCAAAGCTTGTGTTGTTCAAACACCAGTAGAGTTTACACGTGTCCTGGGCACTCTTGTGGTGCTTTCGAGGTTTGCCTGTATGCCTTGGAATGCAATGTCAATGTAACTGACTATGAACTAATGGAAATTGAAATTTCATCCCTTTCTATTTATATCAATTAATTTTCTACATCTTTACGAAAATTGAAATGACCAAAGACCTCATTTCTCAATATTTCAGTCATAGACATTGTATTTTTCGAAGGTTGGGCGTATCCTGGCACAATAATTTGTGTTTCGAGGAAGAGTGTGCATTGTTGAGAATGCATGGTCAACGGAACCTGCACATTTTAGATGTGTCTAGGGGTTGACAGAGTAATGTGTGTATGCATGGTGTTTGACAACAGTCAATTAATATTTGGCAGATGAACAAATTATAAAATGTATTGATATGTCACTATAGGTAAATATTGTTTTTGTTCTTTATCTTTTCAATGTGTTTGCATTCATGCAGTTCTGTCATTAATTTTGTATTTTTTTTTATTTTTTGTTAGACTAAGAGCAACTGAAAAGATTTAACTACAACCATAAAAGAAATTATTTAATATTACTATTATTATTATTAGAATAAATATTAGAAGAAACAAATTATATTTATAGATATCAGATGAACTAAATTAAACTTTTGTTAAACAGGAATATGACCAAACAGACACAAGGGCAATATATGTTAATGTTTGGCTAGCCATGTAGATATTCCATCTTTCTTGACATCTTCCTGAGTTGTCCAAAAAAATTAAGGTATTGCATCACAGATCCATGGAAGATATTCCTCAATCCTCATTTGCTTTGGTATACTCTTTGTTCAATATTGTAACCAAAAATTGTTGAAGAAGATGTTGTGGTATGATCACACACTGACTTTATGCTGGACAAGAACAAAAAAATCTCATCAATCAGGACGATCGAGTTGCGCTGAAATACAGATCTCAATTGACTGGTCAAAAAATTTATTGTCACATCACCATTTGATGATACATCAGCCAGTGATATCACATTCTATGAAACAAAATCATGGAGAAAACACAATCAAGAGAAACAGTCCAGTCAACTATTATTCTTGTTCTCAAAGTATCATGATGCCATTTCATCTGTTTATACATGAACCAGTGATACCACATAATGTGCAAATCTTGTTAAACACATCAACTAAATCATGGAGAAAAGACAATCAAGAAAATCAGCTAGTCAACAATATATATTCTTGCTGTCGAAGTATCATGATTGATGCCAATTAAAGATGCTGGTTGTACATAATCAAAATTTAATTTACCATCACTCATGTGGAGGAATTGGGTGTCACAGAGAGAATGGAGTTCAGGGTGTCACAGAGAGAATGGTTTATATGCTTTGGTAGTTAAACATTGACAGTGTAAATTTGTAAAATATAGCTATTATACTGTAATACTGACATTAGTTTATATTGCACAATAATTCCTTTTCTGTTCATATATATTTTTGTAACAGCAAATTGTTTTATACACTTTATATTTTTTTTGAGGCAATACCAGAGGTGTAGCTGGAAGGGGGCTGGAGGGGCTTGGTAAAATTTGGGGCCCTCCTGGGAAAATGAAGTGAATCATTGTTATGCCATCAATAATGCAAAACACCTGATCTGGCCTATTGAAGTTGTCCATCATTAATGTCAAAAAATCATTCCTAGAATGTTTAGCACAAATCTTGTCTTGAGTCACACTGCTGCCCGCGTAGGTTTTCGATAGCCCCTCTCTTCCCCAAAATTCTGGCTACACCTTTGGGCAATATATACATTGTATAAATTGTGATTATAGTATATTATTAATTTATTATTATTGCAAAGATGTAGTTATTAAATTATATATGATTTACTGTTTATAGTACATGGCTTAATTTACACTTTCTGTCATGGGTAATTGAAAATTGAGATCTAATGTGTTAATTAAAGCATAATATATTTATTACTCTTTATTACTTTTAAGGTATACAATTAATACAAGGTAAAAAATACTAGCAGGATTTTATTGTGTTATAAAGGTCAGGGATTATAGCCCAGGGTTAAGATAAAATTATAATATTTGACAAACTTGCAAAAATCCCTTTAATGGACATTTTTGTTTAATTAATACAAATAAGCCAAACAGAGTACCAGTTGGCAGTACTGCACATATTTGAATGGTTTATTTAACATTGTTTTGCAGTGTAAAGACCCGAAATTACCAAGTCCGACGACAATGATGATGATGATGTTACCAATTAGTTATTAATCAACTATAATTTTTGTGTTTACTTATAGCAGAGACTTTATCAATTATTGACAATTGTATTAATACTATTTTAAATAACCAACCACCTGATACTAGAAACTTGAATAAATCATGAATATATATTCTATGAAATCTCTATATTAGCCTTTCTCACGATGACATTTTTGGGGTACTTTCAATTTTCTCAAATAGGATTTAATAAATTATAACCACATGAAAAGCATCAACAGTCCACGTACTTGAAGAATAAAATTAAAGCATATTCATCATTGTGAGAAAGGATAACTAAACTTTGACATGTGTATGAGTTATCAGAGGAATATTAAAACTTTTTATGAAATTAAATGCACCTCATTAGTTTGTCACAGTCCTGTATAAGGCCTTAGGCCTACAGAGTCGATGATGCATTGGTTTATTGGCTTCGAAATGATAGGCCTGTTATGGCTGTTAATACCAGTTAGCTAAGGATTCTAGTCATCTGGTTTTCCGGGCTTTTTTGCCTGTAGATTTAAGAACAAATAGTTTACACAATACCATGTTTATCAATACTTTCATTTGTAATTTGTTTTTAACCGCGTGCAAATAATGCCAAATATGTGAGTGCAAATGTATTCCTTGCTTGTTTGCCGATAAAAAGCAATTTCATGATAATATTTGACGTTATTTCGGGCCCTTAAGATTCTTAAAAAACAAAGGAATGGTCAATCAATAATCGATGTCTATACAAAAGTTGTGTCTTAATACCTGTTTCACTTCAAGGCTTCTGACTTTTCTTCTCGCTTTCCTCGGGCTTGTAGAAGTTTAAATATCAGACAGATTCAAAAAGATATTTTTCCTTCGTAAATGCAAAACACCGTATTTGTGGCGGAGGCGTACAAAAGATTCGTATTGCCTATATTCTTTGCACACTTTTCACAGACAAAATTTAAAAAAAAAACAGGGGGGAGCATTCTCTTGTAGCGGGCTCATATTTGAGCCTGGTCAGTGGTAATTACCATGGGCAAAGGGGACCATGTGGCGTCAGCAAAGCTTCTACGCATGCGCAGAAGGGCGAAATCCGCCATGTTTTTTGCTTCACTTTTTAAGAAAAAAACATTAGGAGCCGGTCCTCCAGGAATTATTATATAGCTCAGTGGTCCGGATGTGTGTTTGTGTGTGGGTGCCACACACTGAGCTATATAATAATTCCTGGAGGACCGGCTCGCCACCAAAAAGTGTCCGCAAAAACATGGCGGATTTTGAGCTTTGCTGACGCCACATGGTTCCTTTTGCTCATGGTAGTTACCACTGACATACCGCGATACAAGGTGAAAAACTGTGTCCATCTCCCTCCTGGTTTTTATGAAAATATTTTTGGCTTTCGGTATATATTTTTTGTATTTCATATAAATCCTCTTTTTTCCTGTTCAACAAATGGAAAGGAGACGTAGCTTTGTGCTCTATATGTCTGACGTTTTGAATGGCTTAATTCACTTATCGGGGGAATGATTTTTCTCATTCGGCTGTTATTTTATGGCATCCAGGTGAGCCGGTTTTTATAACAATTTCAGTTTTTTTGCCTTTGGACTCGAATATAAACTGATTACCAAAGGTTCTGAGCCATATAAATCCATCAAAACTTATGGTACAAACAGCAAATATACTATTTTAGACCTTTGGTACATGTGCAATGTAATATACTCAAACTTTATCATTTTCTTGTCTTGTGTGGGGAAGGAATTAAATTCCTGGCAATGTCAATCTTTGAGTTTGGTCTATTTTGTTTTCATGATAGCAAGCAATAATGTAAATAGGTAAACCTTCCCCCCAGTGAGTCTACTAGATTTAAGCAATAATTAACATGATCTGACTGACAAAAGTGTGGAGTGGGTGCTGATACAAAGTAATAAGATTTTTGCTGCAAACAGTGTAAATTTCAACCTCTGATGATGGTGACTGTTAAAACCTAGTTAATATATTATCTTGTTTGCCTTGTCAAATTCAAATCAATTATCATGGCTTATAATTAATTGATTTTTTAACTTCTTGCACCTTGTGAATAAATCTTGATCAGATCTCCATTTATATTTTTCAGGATGAAGATGCTATGAAATAAAGCAAGCTAGAGATGGCTTATTAATTGTCATGCAATTTGTTGAAACATTGAACTGAGATGTATTAAGCACATTATACACATTGTTATGAATCTGCATTGTTATCCTTAATTACCATGTTATCTGATTTTGTTGTTGGCTGGTATTTTTATAACCATTGTTATATTTATAAAAGAAATAAATATAAACATGCATTGTGTGAGCAGTGTATCTTCAATCTGCAGCCACTTTTATAATTTTCTGTTTATGGTATCAAACTCAAGAGGGCTAAATTCAATGGGCTAATCAGGAGTAATTGAGTCTATGGAGGGATGAATATTATTCATTAATAAGACCAGGGGTGCAATTAGATAATATTGAAAATTTTATAGCCCATTGAGGTACAATTAAGCTGATGACCTTACTGAAAAGTGTATTATGCAAATATGACTCATGGTTGAAACTATATTCTTGCACTTAGTCTTCTGCCAAGCATCTTGCCCCTGAGCTTTGGCCTCTGTTTCTTTGGATTATACCTAGATATATTGTTCTGAAGACATTCAAGACCATTCAAGAAAACATTATTAATTGCACACTTTCAGTAATTCTGCTGTTCATGCAGGGTTCAAAAAAGTCTAATTGATGTCCATAAATATCCAATTGTCCCCAAAATGTCCGACAATAGTGCCAAAAAGTTCAAGCATTTGTTATAGGAATGTAGAAATAATGAAAATATAAAAAAAAACACCTGTCAGTTCGTGTCAGAATTAAAATCTTCAATTTTGTCCACAATTTTTTGACGTTTTAATATATATTTGTTCTTGCGTTGGCAATAACAGCGTCTACGACTTGTATTCATCTTAAAAAAAGCTTTATATTTCAAAAAAATGCAATTAATGATGTTTTCATGACTTTATATTTCAAAAAAACAAAACAGGTTTTCACGGGAAATTTTTTTTATAAAGGCCAGGGGGGAGAACCTGTTGTTTACTAAATCCAGGGGGGAGAACACCCTTGTAGCGGGCTCATAATTGAGCCCGGTCAGTGGTAACTACCATGGCCAAAAGGAACCATGTGGCGTCAGCAGAGCTTCTGCGGTTGCGCAGAAGGGCGAAGTCCGCCATGTTTTTGCGGACAAAAAGATGGCGGCAAAGTTACCGAAAAATGACGAGCCGGTCCTCCAGGAATTATTATATAGCTCAGTGGTGCCACATCTTCGGCAATCGTCGGACATACGAAAGATGACGAACGGTACGTTCTACTTCCGGAAAATTTCGTTGTTTTCTAAGGACGGAAGCAACCGAAGTTACGATAATACGTTTGTCATATTTTAAAGCGAAGTTGAGTACTTTAAAGACGAAAAAGCGGTGATCGGTGAGCGTTGAATCTACAACTACAAAGTTACACTAATAGAAAATAAATAAAACATTGCCTTATTCGGCAAATGGTAGTAACAAGTTGCCCTGTTTTATAAATTATAATGCAATATTTCACCTGTCAATTTCTTGCTTGTGGACATGCAGCTATTAAACCAAATACATTACCTTATTGCAAATGGTAGTAACAAGTTGCCCTGTTTTATAAATTATAATGCAATATTTCACTTGTCAATTTCTTGCTTGTGAACATGCAGCTTTTAAACCAAATACATTACCTTATTGCAAATGGTAGTAACAAGTTGCCCTGTTTTATAAATTATAATTTGGCAAATGGTAGTAACAAGTTGCCCTGCTTTATAAATTATAATTCAATATTTCACCTGTCAATTTCTTGCTTGTGGACATGCAACTATTAAACCAAATACATTACCTTAATGCAAATGGTAGTAACAAGTTGCCATGCTTTATAAATTATAATTCGACAAATGGTAGTAACAAGTCGCCCTGTTTTATAAATTATAATGCAATATTTCCATCTGTCAATTTCTTGCTTGTGGACATGCAGCTATTAAACCAAATACATTACCTTATTGCAAATGGTAGTAACAAGTCGCCCTGTTTTATAAATTATAATGCAATAGTTCACCTGTCAATTTCTTGCTTGTGGACATGCAGCTATTAAACCAAATGCATTACCTTTATGCAAATGGTAGTAACAAGTTGCCCTGTTTTATAAATTATAATGCAATAGTTCATCTGTCAATTTCTTGCTTGTGGACATGCAGCTATTAAACCAAATACATTACCTTATTGCAAATGGTAGTAACAAGTTGCCCTGTTTTATAAATTATAATGCAATATTTCACTTGTCAATTTCTTGCTTGTGAACATGCAGCTATTAAACCAAATACATTACCTTATTGCAAATGGTAGTAACAAGTTGCCCTGTTTTATATTTTATTATGCGATATTTTATCTGTCAATTTCTTGCTTGTGGACATGCAGCTATTAAACCAAATACATTACCTTATTGCAAATGGTAGTAACAAGTTTCCCTGTTTTATAAATTATTATACACTTAATGTATGCTCCCGAGGGAAATAGTGAGTTTTGTTTTCCCAAGAGTCTGAATGTTTCCCGAGACAAAGTCGAGGGAAACATTGAGACTCGAGGGAGAACAAAACTCACTATTTCCCGAGGTGTAGTGAACATTAGGTGTTTTGTTATATAGGAACCAAAACATACATGTTACACGACAATTTCATTTCAAAAAACTTTGTTATGATAATATGCGGGCAACAATTTTTCACTTGTTTCCCTGGCGGCAAACATTACATTTATTTAAAGTCATGTGACTACGAATGAACCAATCACATTTAAAATACACAGCACCTATATAACAAAATGCAATATTTCACTTGTCGCATTAATAATACAGGCTACCCACATGTACGCATTGCGTACCTATTTTTACACTTATGCTTTTACCACTGCTTGATGCTGCGTTCTTTCTTACCCGAGGGCAAGGGCCTGATCGCAGGTTATTTTGTCGCTGTGCAGAGGAAGAATTTTATAATATGTGAAATTATAAGTGATATATTATCAAATCGTCCGTGACATCATCCACATGATACTAATAAATCGTCTTTCTTTAGAAAAAGCCCGTTAGAAATAGGACAGTAAATGACAATCAATGCTCAGTTACGCACGTTTACATTCACGCTCGCTTCGACATATTATTGTTGAAAGTGACACGTGAAGTGACACGTGCATATAAATATTCTTGTATTCAGCAAGTTTGTTGTGTCTTTATGCGGCTATTTTGATATGTACCAAGCTTGGTTGTTAAACATTGTATCTAGTTATTCACCTTGGTCCAGTTTCGTCTTGATACATGTACGAAACAGTCAAGAAATTTAATAACAGGGAAGGAGGAAATCGTATTGTAAGGATATCAACATATTAGAATGGATTCAGGTAAAAATGAGATAACTATATAAATAATTATTATACTTGTATATCTTACATCATATTTATCAATTGTACCGCCTGTTAAGTAAATATGTGACTAATTCTAGTCGTATATTAATTTACACAGTAGCTGAATGGCATGACTTTGATTTCATCAGTTCAATATGATAGTTAAGTTTTGGTGAACTACGTACGATTCCTTCACCTAGCTTCGGTGAATATAGCTTTGGCATCTTGTTTACTAGTTTTCAACGGTGTGCTGCAGGGATTCTTTTTGGGGGGGGAGCAAATTTTAGGAAGGGCTAGAATATGGAAAATTTTTCTCCCTTCTTCTTTCCTGTTGGAAGAGCACCTGGCATCCCTTGCTGGCACCCATATTAAACTAGGCATCACATAGAATAAAGGTGAAAAGATAATTAGTCACTAATTACTACAGTATTGAGAAGCATTTTGGTGAGGTAGAGTTAAGGGGGAGAGGGAGGTTGTGACGTGTGTTTGTGTGTGTTTTCACTTAAGTCTATTAGCCTAGCATCCCAAATCTTTATTATTAGGGGATGGTTAGGCAGTGCTCCAGCAATGTTAAAGCCACCAAAGGAGTTGACTGTATATGTAGCTTGCTAGAGGCTCAATATTTATAGAAAATCCAGCCTTTTTTTTATACTTGCAGAAGCCATCAGCAAACTGTTCTAACCATCTCAAATATAAAATTGCCAATGAAATCGTAATAAACCATTATGTATATTTTCAAGTATGAATTTCGTTGTTGTGGTAAAGTTAGCAAATAATATAAATAATTGTAGCACTGGAGTTTGCTATTTGAGATGCCTAAAGTATTTTTGAAAAATCAAAATATTTTATTGTTGGCTTGTGTTTTTAGGGAAATGCAAGGGAAATTATTTAGACTAGAAAGAATGGAGGAACATAGAAATAAAAATTTAGGACTGATTGATATTTCTGTTAGATTCAATAAAAAACCTCTAAAAGCTCCATGAATTATATTTTTTCCATTGTTGAATGATGACATGCTTTTGTTGGCAAAAATTAGGCAATCTGAGAGACTGTATGAAACCACACACTGTGATGAAACATGTCATATTGAAAGTGATGTCAAAGGTGTGGTTAAAATTACCATGAGTATTTATGAGGTGATTAATACGCAGATGATGATTACCCACTACGCATATGTACTAATATTTTCCGGTATTAGGAAAAGAAGATTTGCACATATTTTACCAAAAGGAGCGGGGGGGGGGGCGGAGTAGCGTAAGACACAAGACTCAAGACTTATAGGAGGCCTCGTCCAGGTACACGATGCTGGAGGAATTTTATAGGTTCTGTCCACACATATCGGACGTTTTCGCCCACTTTAAACGGAAGAATCTTAAAAAATTTAAAAACGACAGTTGGACTGATACGTGTGGACGGCTTTGCCAAATTAACTGAAAAACGATATGAAAACGATGACGTCACGTCTGAAACCCAGTCTCCTTCATTCATTGCTATCTGCATTTTACCCCTATTAAAGCGGATTTTTTATTTCCAGTGTCGCGTTTTCTTATTTATACGCACGGACACGCGCGTGAAAGTCTGAATCCTTATATATGTTTTCTTTGAAAAAAATTAATGAAAAGAACAGTAATTCAGCGTTGATAACTGTTACTGCCATTTGCGTACAAGTAGGACGGGTTTTTCAATTAGTACACATTTTAAATTCTTTCAGGTAATATAAACAACTGTGGATTGTCCAGAGAGTGTGATTTTATGCAAGAGTTCATGGATTTAGAGGAGTTTTTAGATGCTTCAACGAATAATGTAACATCACCTCATGCTAGAGGAAACATTTCTCCCTCGGGGAGAGATACGTCTTTGGATACTACGACGTCCGCCAACGAAGAACAGGGATTACAAGGACAGAATATGGATAAGTCATTATATGATCCAATTCCCCATATCGATGATCTCGTTCAAAGCAATCTCACTTGTTCCATAGCCAACGACGGTACACAATGCACAACAGATACATCAGATCGCCATTCATTACTCGATAATGGTGGGATTAAAGATCAAAGGTACTGGGATCGGAGAGTGAAAAACAACATTGCTGCGAAAAGATCGCGCGATGCGAAGCGATTGAAGGAAACAACGGTTGTGAAGCGATGGACACATCTCGAGGAGGAAAATAAACGGTTGAAAGAACAAATTTTGGACATGCAGAAACGCTTAAAAACTGCAACTGAAGAAGTAGAATAACATTACCGTTTTTTAAACAGACGAGATGGTTCTCAGATTTTTTTGCTGAAGAAATACAACAATTGCAGACATACAACCCTTAAATCGTGGTATTACAGCATGAAAACCGTAAAAAGTAATACATAGTAAAATAGGGAAAACGCTATAAAAAGTCAAGCCGACATATATTGTGCATATATACTTTGTAGAAAAACCGATCACGTTCTGTGGATAACTTGAAAATCTTGAAAATGTAGTTTTTCATGCATTCACTCTGTTTCTATGTCCGCCGTGTTTATGCTCATCTATTTTATCATGGCGCCAACCTTCTTTCTTCCCATCCTTGTCATCATGCCCTCCTTCATGATCACCCTCTCTTGGTTCAACCTGAATAGATGAAAAAATCGTGGTCTCGATCAATTAGATTCAATTTTTTTTAATTTAACTACTGCGGACTTTGTTTTGAACTTTGAAGTATTTCTGTTGCGAATATGGCGAAATTTATGGCGAAATTTAACAAAGACAAAGTCAGTCGGTCATGCAGTCAGCTAGCCATTTGTATTGATTGAAAAATGCTGACACTTGGTGCCCTACATGCGTCATATGCCCTGAAATTAAAACGACGGTATATCTCACCGTTTTAAGCATTTTTATTCTACGTTTCGACTTGGTCATAAAGAAGTCGAAACGTTGAAAAAGAGTGCTTACATTATTCAGAATTATTCAGAGTTATGTTTTGTATTTTATTTTAATTATTCTATTTGATTGTATTTTCTTTTCCTATTAATTTCCTAATCATTATGGAACGAAATTGCGATTTTGTGGCATTCTAATAAGTGGAATTTATATGCTTTAACTTTAAGTTGGTCTAAAAATGAAATCGCCATGTTCAACCAGTTACGTCATAACGTGTGACGTTACGTTATGTGTGACGTCACACTAACGGCGAAGACATCAATACCCCAATCCTGATCCAAAACAATTGAATTCGAAAGTCCGAGTTTTAGAAACGAAATATGTGAGATATGAATAAAACTATAAATTCATTAAAATCAGGTAATCTATAATATTTAGAGAAACGGATTTCACGCGGCGTTCTGTCAATTTGTAAAACTAATCGCAAAGGATTCAGAATGCAAGCATTTATTACCTTTTCACACACGTGATTCTTCTCTTTCCTAAGAAATGACTCCACGTCATAACAAAAACTGCTGGATTGTTTCTTCATATCGTCAGGTGCTGAGTTTTGGCATTCAGGGCGTTCTCCAATAACGATGCCCATTCCACGTATGAGATGGATGTCAATATGACAATGCAAAAACCACCATCCCGGATTATCAGCCAGAAAGTCAACGACTACGTATCCACCGGCAGGAACAGTGATCACGTCTTTACGGATTGTGTTTCTATCCACTCGGATACCTTCTGGTCGTACGTCGTCCGTCCAGCGCCCTGGCCCACAACTCTGTATGGTTAGGTCTTCATTCTGACTAACGATCTTTCCATTTTCATCATATTTGGGGTAGGCGATTTTTGCCACAGAAAAAGAATGCCCGTGCAGATGTATTGGGTGTGTTCTGATGGACGAAAAAGCATTACCAGGGGAAATGGATGAGAAGACAAATCGTATAGTTTTCATTCCGTGTTTTTTCGGAATGCGGAGAACATGTGGACAGGGCCCTGGGTTGGATTTACATCCGAGGGTATCTTTATACTCGCATACATCAAGGGTTTGATTATGTCTCTGCTGAACCAGAGGCTTTGATGGTAATGTAAATCGTATATTATTAACACTTGCCGTTCCTCTTCCCGCGACAAAGTTGAAAAACGCTTCGAAAGGTATGTCAGTTGGTGATGGTAACTTATTATTCGGTGTGGGATAAAGCAAACTCAGTACATCATACACATCATGACAGTCCACTGACACATCACTTGCACCTTTAGGATATGATCTAAACGGACAGTTCAACGCTGTACATCGATCAGCGCTGCAACGGGACGCATGCTTCTCAACTGTTACTGTTTCTGCAGAATCCCCTTTAGTATATCTAAGATATGCAAAGCCTACACGTTCTGGTATGCTGAAATGATCACATAACACCGCAACAGATTCAATCCGAATGGGAAAGACTGTTCCAGGGGCAATTTTTTCATCAGCCTTCAGTATGAAGTCGTACCGTTCTCCAACATGCATTATCAAAATATCAGTTTCGAACGGCTGTGTAAGGTATCCATCAGTCGACATAACGTACAGTTTGTGATGGTCTATCGAGAAACGCAGTATTGTTTGTGACATACTCCCGATGAGTCGAAAACGATATTTTTTTCCTGGTACTACATTAAACGAAGGTTCTATGTTTTCTTCGTTTATTTTGCTATCCAGTTTATAGCCGTTAATTTGAAACGAATCCAAAACTTCACCTAAATCCGGCATTTTGGACTTATCTGGAAAACACGGCACTTCGTCAGTCGGGGTCTCTTCCCTCATGTGTTCTCTTATGGAAAGAGTTGTTTGGCCAGGTTCATCTACAAAACTACCAAGCTTCCAAGGCATGTGAAGGTCTTTCTTGTTTTCACGAATGATCAATGCACCATACAGTCCTGCATCCCTTTGCGACCGCATGTGGGAATGGTACCAGTGTGTTCCGGACGGCTTAGCCCGCAAGATATATCTGCAATTGTTATACAAAACGATACAATTTCACCTGATAATTTCAACTAATCCGTTATTAGCAATTTTGTAACAATTAAATCGTTCGGCTTGACATTTTTTTCTCCCGAGAAATTCACATTTTCAAATAATATGCATATATTATTGTAATGTATATACAGGGCTGTTTCACCCCTCTTTTTGGTATTTTATAACCCCTCTGATTTAAAAGTATTCAAATGGGTCGTGATAAACAAAAATAAAGCTATAAAACCAAAATAGCATATGCTATCCATTCCACAGTGTATGCCAAAAATGTCCCCTATGAACCATCACAAGGCATTTTTACCGAAGCAAAAATCATGAGATTGGTTTCCGGTCCTCGGGTACGGTACCATTATTTTTTTATTGAATGAGAGAAAAACGAACGTTTAGGAAAAGACGGCCAATGAATTTGTGTAGAGGCGTGGGTTTCGGGGAGGCGGGCTGGTTGCGGAGATTGGCAAACTGTTTAAAAAATGTCTTTGGTTAGTTTACCTGAATTTTCCACCGGGAGGTATAGCCCACTGTGTGACAAAACCAACTCCATCCATCCAAGGAACATTTACCTGATGCATGCCATGCCAGTGCATAGAAGTATCGTCATCGCCCGGAGCACCAACGATGTTATTAAATATATCAACCACTAAAATTGCGTCAGATCTCGCAATAATTGTTGGACCAGTAAGTTCGTTATTGATTCTGAAAACATCATTCGGGTCAACGCCAGTGTCGGGATGGTCTGGAACTTTGGTTATATCAAATTTTATATAACATCGCCATCTGTTTTTGCAGTCGCAGACTGATGGCCGGTATGCGGACGCAGACGTGCATCTGATGTACTTTGTTCGATCAAAGCAACTTTCGTCTTTACCGCCAACATGAGCATAACTTGGCATTGAGTAAAGTGTGATGAAAATCAGAAGAAGCCACATAGCAGAGGGTTCTTGAATATAAAAGAATGAAACATATTTCACATGTCAAGTGTTGTGCCTTCTGCATCACTTACTATTACGTGCAAGTCGACATTCATATTATTATAGCGTTTATTCTTTACCATTTTCATACCTATAGAAAAACGAATGTATTGTACGTTCCCAAAGCAATGGGGGGGGGGGGTGTTTTCAGTGTTATGCATGCATGTCCTTCAAAAACAACTACTACATATGCATGTCTGAACGTTTTGAAGCTGCAACGAACGGCAAGTTACGGCAAATCGCGTTGCTAAACCTAAATTTTGACATTAATATTCATTTCAACTGGTTGTAGTCGTCTTTTTCTATGTACCTATTTGTTTAACGCCTAAAAAAATTTTTATTCGTAAAATTTCATTTCGTAACAATTTTCTACTGAACATTTGACATTTCCAAACAATGAATTTCATCATAATTCCGCCTTTCGTCAAAAATAATTTTCATTTAGTTATCATTAACACGATGAAACAAAGCCAAAAAGTAATTTGGCTTGTAGGTACACCACGTGAGTATTTAATACTGCATACTGCTTGTGTATACCTATAAGCTTAATTACTTATCGACTGTCACCATGCAAACATACAAAAAATTTATCATTTACATGGCTTGCATGAGCTATAATTACTTCAAAAGATGACATGTTATAACATAGATTAGTTTTAATTACAATAAAGACCAATTGCTAATTACAATAAGGTCAAAAATTCGAGTTTAATGAAAAATTACATTCTTCAAACATTCCTAACATGAGCAGCAATTGCATTCCACGGTTGAAGGGTAACGGCGCAGAATGCATGCAAGTCGAAATTAGTTGCAACAATTTTCTACTGGATGCATGGTGCTTTACACGCACGGTGCTCTATTTCCAGTGCATCATATATATCTCATGATTCTCATATTTCTAAGATGATTACTAGACAAGCTGGATCACAGCTTTTAGCTCTATGAGTTATTGATAATCACTATACTCCCGTTAGGTTTAACAGTGTGACTGTTTGACACGCCAGGAACTGTGTTAATTGCTATGATGCAGAAAAACAGCAAGAAAACTTGTAAAAAAATTCGAAACGACTTTGTCATCGTCCCACCCAAATCTACCGCAAAAAATGTTGAACCCTCAATTATACACCTACGCCTCTGATTTATTTCAAAAGAGTTCTTTTCCTCGGAGCCTTGAATTTCCAGTATGTTGCTTTTCTATCTGGTGAGATATTCTAATATAATAATTCAACTGTCTTTTCATCAGAACATATAGCTACATATGTGTAATATTTTATCTTGTTGAGATATTTAATGATAAAAATTTAAATTTACTAACCGTTTTGGGAACACATTCTCTCACTACGACCAATCAGGCAAACTGATCACGTTTTAGCACGAGCGTTGCTTTTATATAATCAGTGCAAAACGCATGCGTGAAAGAGATTATTACGTTGCGTGTATACATTCTATATGGTAAAAGGCAAGGCGTCGTAACGTCTACGTATGCGCAGGTCAAATTTACTTTACAAGCTAGTGATTGCTTTTTTCATTCTTCAGTAAACATAACTCGCTACCTTTATACTACACCAAACCCTCCCCTTATGCATGCGTTGCCATGTTCTGGCGGTTTTCATTATAGACAGTGATTTGAGTGATGGTCAGTCTGAAATGTTTCGACGATTATGCACCACAGGAGTGCATGTGGTATGAAAATACGTACATTTTGTAACCCAGCATGCACAGAACTAACACATAGAGTAAAGAACTAACTCCGATTGATGTTCTCGATTTCGAGTGAAATTCCCAACAAGTGACGTCTAACGTAGGTTGTATGCTATGTTATGACGCAACCCTGGGTACGAGGTTGGTTATGACGAAAAACCAAAGACATTAACACCCCAACTCCGAGAAGCAGAAATGTAAGATAACACAAATGCGAATGAACGAAGTTTCAATGCTTAATCTTTTAACAAAACGAAAAGTAAAATAATTATTGAATTCGGTTTTCACCTGATGATATTGTTACCCTTGTCGCTGTTCTTTTATGCCAACTATGATTACACAACCGGCCCAGGATGTGTACTCGCAAATCAATAACTCCAAAGTTCTTCTAATCGTTACCAAAATATTTGACTTCGTCTTTTACAATAACAAAGGACAGCTTACTTTCTTCACTCTAAATTAAAACCTGATATACTAGCGTCTACGCGCACGTGTCTCCTCGTGTTCTGTTTTAGCCATATCATGCATTTTTTCCGGTTATCAATCAATATTCAATATTTCCGGTTCTCAACCCTAGCATTGAGACCTAACAATATAAAGATCATCCCAGTTTGTCGTACGTTATCAAAAATTTCAATAATTTTTCAATTAAGTTCAATTGCCTTACAATTTCAATAATTGTTCATACATATCATGTTTAATCCTTCAATAATTGAGTTTTTTAATACTATATTGTATGACTATCCTGGAAACTACGAAATGCATGGTGACCGAATATTATGACATATGCCCCTATATAAAAGATGTTATAAAAAATTATATAATAACGTTGAGAATTCAAGCAATTTCATTGGTCGAGAGCCATGATCTATAAGAGGACAGACGCACGGATTTACGTCACAAAAATATATACTGATGATTGTGAATGATTGCCTATTTTTGGCTGGTTGCGATCATCGCGATGGGCCGATGGTCCAGTTCAAATAACATCAAAGCCAGCAGAAATATTTACAAATTCAATTTGCTTATCCATCCATCCATCTGCTGATGTTGATCAGTGCTAATAAAAATATGTGATGATAGTGGTAGTGTTGATCAGTTTTACCTTGAGGCAAAGGTGGCAAAATTTTGAAACGGGCTATATAGCTAAAATGAAACTGTTTAGCAAAGTTGTGTCCCTAAATAATAATACCAAACACAAGATGAAAGCATAACCTCTCAACCGACTCAACGTGACACCGAGTGAGCCGGGAGAGTCCTGTTATTATTGGTCATGCCATGGTATTATTAAATCATGCATTCACAAGAACACCTTCCATATACAGGGTGTCCCCAAAAAAATGATCTTATCGAGTAAAGTTTTCGAAATGAAACAACTTTAATTAGTTAGAGAAGTGACAGTTGTTATAGTTGTATTTTTAAAGAAAATTCATAGAATATTACATTCCAAATAATACATTCGAAAATATAAGTTAATCTTCCCTCTATCTAATTAGATTTATTTCAGTGTAATGGCTACATTAGTTAAAAAGTTATCAGTCAAACCGGAGTACTCTTTTTGGGACATCCGGTATTCAAATCTTTCAAACCACATGTACAATCCTTATCGAAAGATTAATTACCCAATTTTAACAAAAAATTAAATCAGTTGTGTTCTTTAATTAAACAGTCGTACCAAGGCGCTTTAATAGTAAAATATATAACCTTATTGTATAGAGGTCAGTTGAAACAAGGCGAGCGCGCGGGGGTGCTTGGAGTGGTTTTGACAAAACAAAACCACCCCAAGCACCCCCGCGCCCTCGCCTTTTTTTCTGCTGACCTCTACACAATAACTGAATGCAACATATATTTTACTATTTAAAGCGCCTGGGTACGAGGCGCCTGTGTACGTATGTTTTCCGGGATTTCGCTAACAAGCATGGTTCTCATATGTCACCGACGGTCGGCGATGGCTATTGTCGGTGATCATCAATAAATGAATTCCTTTGTTATTTTGAGTAAATTTTCTTCATCACCAGCCACAAACAATACGTCGTCAACTGTCGGTGACATATAAGAACCAGGCTTTACAGTCAAAACTTGTGCGTAGAAAACATTCACGGCAAAGTTGGAATATTACGGGGAACATAATACTTCAGTGACATGAACAATTGCGAAAAATCCCCAAATATAAGTCACATCGATTTGTTCAACGTCAAACGGAAAGCAGGTTTTTCTCTGATACCATTCGGGAGTGGCACATCCTGATCCACTCACCAGCAGGGGATGACAGCGCCACGGCAGTGACGGCACGACCACGACGGGTCGTTGGGCATACTGATAAAAACCATGCCGGATAGGTTCCCATCGTTTATTATTTTTTTCCTGGTACTGCAATAAATAAGGACAGAGGAAGATATAGCAAAAGATAAATTTTCCTAACCCCTGAGGTGCATCTTCTGTGTACGGTTTCGCCCCCCTCCTATGGCTCCTAAATCCCATTTCCTATATAGATCTCTACAGTCGATCATAGTTATGAGTCGATCGAGGAAATGGCGATCACCCGTTGACGGATGTTATTTAACACGGTTGACAAATATCTGCTAAAGCCATCCACGTTGAATTTCTTTGTATTTGTTCGGTGAATTTCGTTGACTGGCAGGTGTTCTTTGGTCAGAATAAAATATTACTTTGCGATGTTGACAATCAGGCGACATTATAGTCCCTTTCAAGTGACGTGAAGCGACTCAAAATCCAGCACAAGGCAGTACGGTTCGCCGACTCTGGGTAATGTTTTATTTCAGACTATTATTTGTGTTGATTGATGTTAGTTCGATATTTTCCATACACATGCTTTTATCGCCGAGGGATTTGTTCTTTGATGTTCCTTTGAATGACGGGTGATATATTTTAAACGTTTTGAAATATTGATTTGTTTTAATGTTTTCTTCTGTAGGCTAAATTCTTGCGAGTAATTCATTCGTTGATACAACATGAATGGCGAAGCTGAAAGTCGTGAAAGATCGCGCACACCGTCTCCTTTGTCGAGATCGAGTTCTAGAAGTTCAATAGGTCAGTCGCCAGCGCGGACAACCCTTCTGAAAAGAAACCAAAGCTTGAGCGCCAAACAAGTACGCTTCTATAGAAATGGCGACAAATACTTTGGTGGATTGAAGCTCGCTGTCTCGAGTGAACGTTACAAGGAATTCTTTGCATTGCTTGTCGAACTTTCGAACAAGCTAGATCTGAAAACCGGAGCGGTTCGTTTCGTATTCGACGCAGAAACCGGCCGCCAGATAACAGATGTCTCGCAATTGAGTACGAATTCATCCTATGTGTGCTCGTCGTCGAACAGTTTTAAAGAGATCGAAGGAGGCTATGGGCAAACACAACCGAAAAATTGGAGCACTGGTGGGAAAAAAGATCGACGAGAGCTAACTAATTGGGACAAATCTTCACCTAGAATGGATAGCAAGCGCGAGTTCATAAAACCAAAACTTGTGACGGTTGTTAAGAACGGTAAACCGCCCCAAAAGAAAGTTACAATGCTTTTGAATAAGAAAACAGCGCTTGATTTAAACCAAGTGCTCGATCATTTGTCATCAAAAGGAACCCTGGGCAAAGTGGACCGGCTGTGTTGTTTGGACGGGCGTGAGGTAAGGCTTTACACATTTTCAATTCACTAGAATAGACGAGAAAACAGACCCGTATAAAGGGTGGCTCGATTGCTTTGTGGTCTCGCTATCTGCTGAATAATTAATCATTCATTGTATAACTACCATAAGTTAGTATTTAATGAAACCGACGCTTTTATGTATCTACCGTCTGGCTTTGTGCCTACTGAGACAACATCATTTCAATTTTGCTCATTACAACTGTTAACGAGGAAAAAGTTTGCGCCCTTCAAAATGGGCTGATTTATTGCTACATTTTTGCTATAAATTGCTACCTTCGAAACTTACACTTTTATCTTAAATTGCAACATCCTAAATTGTCATTGAAATTTGGGTAGAGCGGTACAAATACAATAGTATAACTGTTGTCATTTTGTCTATAGTTTTTTTGTTTGGCTTATATTAGAATGACTAAGAGAGACCTTGAATAATTGTTTTTTTCAAATTTGTGCAGCCTTTTATGGTAGCTATATATTACAGCGAGTAGGTATTTAAACTTCTTAAAGTATAAGTACAAGTATATATATTATATTCCTGTCGGTTCTTATACGTTGTTCTGAAATCATTTGTAATAATCTGAAGACAGAACTACCCCGCGGTGAATTCAGCTTTATATTCTTTAAAATCCTTATTTATTCAGTATTAAAAAAGCGCCTACCGGATATTTACAAACATATACTTGAATAGATGAATTTTATGGACTAGATACGATTTACTTTTGAGATTTGGTCTGTTTGATGTGCGTGTTTTATGTTTTTCTTTTTCATTCTTCCAACCTTTTCCCAATTTCCGGTGCAAGGTTTAATTGTTTGGTTGCTCTTTGTTTTTTTCTACACAATATATTAATGTTAAGGTTGCGCGACAAAACTTCCGAAGGAGAATACAGGATTATTCTTTTAGAATTTGCCATCTCATCATCCGCACGTAGGTTTCGCATGAATAATTTTCAAGTCGTAGAAGCTATTAATAAAAGGCCTATATTTTTGAGTGATCGTGTGGGCTTAATTAACCATAAAACTTTACAATAGTATTTTAGAATACAAACGTGCATGTTGCTATGGTCAGAAATGGTTCAACTAAATATGTGGAAAATCCTGTGAAAATTCCATAAATGGTAAAGCATGTCTCAAGTAAAAAAATTCTGCCAGGGTTGTCGATAGGAAATCAACATATGAAAGTGACTTAGCAATGCAGGTGTTTCTATATATTAGACGTAGTTTACTAAATGGTGACCAGAATATGCTGTTTATTAGCCAGAATGATAGCTAACAGGGTTGAAACTTTCCTTTTGTTAACCTTTTGTCCCCTTTGAAGCACTGTTCAAAGCAAAATTTCTTGCCTTCTTGGATGTTTAGAAATTTTAACTCCTGTTATGAATCATAATGAATATTGTGTTTCAGGCCAAATCAAAACAATTTTATTGGCTAAATAATAGAATACCTTAATATTCTTACGAGAAAAGCAATTTGAAGAGTTGGATTTAAATGGATTTAATTCATTAATAAAATGAATCATAGTCTCAGTACTTTACTTCTTGTTCGGTTCCACCAGTAACAAACAAGATTTAAAACCCTAAATAATTAAAAAACAAGCTAAGGTTTTATTATTGTATTACATTCGCAGTTTCGTAAATGCAATTATATATTGTATTAAATCTATTTAGCATTATTGCTAAATTATTTCCTTTTGCTAACAACAATTTCTAATATTTCTAAGTGTGTTGTTTTGGAATAATACAATAATTATGAGCAGAGCATGCTGTTGCTCCCAAACATGGCCATTGACCTATCTTTGTGGTTGGTTTTATCATTTGAAAAACATTTGATTAATTAAAGCAACAAAGTTGTCCTCCCATCTGCTTGTATTGTTTAATGATCATATCCCATCATTAAGCTTCGTCTCCATCTTGCATCCTTAATTAATAATATATTTTTATTTATTCAACCCATTTCATTCCCTTCTTGTCCAAATGTTACTTGGGCTTATCATAAAGTTTTAATGAATTATGTCTGGAATTTATGCATATTTGGTGGCTTATGCAGCACTTTGTTGAATTAACTGTTGTCAACAGCATTTTCTTCCCAAGGTGTCCCAGCCTTTTATATGTGGCTCAGGCTGTTTTTATAGAGGATTAAGATTGACAAAAGAAGGGAACAAAGAGTTTTGAAAATAACCTATACTATGTGTCATTAGTATTGACCCCTTTCTCAATAGTGAAGGTTTTGTGTAAGGAAACCTGGCTATATATATATGAAAATACAGTTCTTTGCTACATATATTTACTTCAACGATGAGGGGATGATTCTATTATAACCCGTTATAACCACACAATTCAGGTTAATGAATGAATGAAATTCAAATTCAATCCGAAAAATTTAAATCCGACTCCGATCTAAATGTAAAGATCTAACGATCTGATTCGAGTTTTCTAACACACTGAAATTACTGTATGGTCAGATCATATCCAAGGAAAGTCACAATCAATTCACGACGTAATTATCAGTGTTGCTTTATTTATCAACGCGTGTTTGTTTCATCAACACCTTGCTCAAACATGTGGCTTTCCTAGGATTTCCGTTTGTGGCGTACCACTTATTAAAGAACTAAGCATTTAGCGTCCTTGCATTATTGGGCATGTGGAAGAAAACTCGTGTATATGTAATGACTAATGTATAAACGATATTGTATATTTACTACGGTCTGCAAATACGATACCGTATTACCGACGTCTGTGAACAAGGTTGTTCGTTTTGTACGATGTAACCAAGCATCGCAAGCAATATACTGTCACTCTAATTTTCGTGGAATGCAACATACAAGTGTCTTTTAGAATTCTAATACATCACACTAAAAGTTATTGGCAGTACCTAGTTTTTCAGTTTTTACAGTAATGATCATATTGGGACCCCAATATAGTGTCCAAAAAAGCACTAGGGTGGTGGGGAGAGTATGGCAAAAACACTCAGATTCCTTGTCAGATAATATCAGGTTATTATAACTTTCACGGCTTGTAAGAGGGTGGGAGGCAAGTTCAATTTGCCCAGTCCCAAGATGGGAAAAGGGGCTACAAATTATTATTTGTTCCTTGGCGCCAAATTCCTCTGCAAGGCTGTAAAGCGTGGCTTTTTTATGCCATTTTGTGATGACTTCATCTTTAAAAAAGATTAAAAACTCGATAACATAGGAAGAAACTTTTCGAAAATAATAGAAATACAGTAACTTGTGTGATTTACGAGACAGGTTTAAGCGGTATAATAATTCATTTAAATTTAAAATAGGATTTATTGGCGCCATTGTATATGAGAAACACGTGAGTAATAAGAGATCTATAAGAATTTTCTTACGCTGTGTTTTAGATAAAAGAATTGCGTGATCTCTTTGACGAGGATATGATCTTCATCGCCTTTTCGTCAAATGAAAGGTTTCCCGATGAAGGATTTGACGTGGATGTACAAAGTAAGTTACTTGCTTATATGGGTGTGTCCTCTGATTCGGGTTCAGAATGGGTGTGTCCTCTGATTTGGGTTCTTAATAAGATACAGATGCATATAGTTAAAAGTACATTGCAATCTAAAAGCAATGCCCCTTTAACAATTTCAGGTTCACATCAGAGGTTGGCATTCCGAACTTCGGTTGCTAACATGCATGTGACCACCACTTTATAGCCGTCATCTTAGTCTATTCAGCTGTTCAAATTTTATGCAGATGTACTGTTTGTACTTTGAGAATGGCCTGTCAACTATGCTTTAGTAGTCTTCATACAACTTCGCCGCACAGGCAGCCAGCTATCATCGTCTACTGTAGAGGTGATATTTGAACGCTATTAGACTTGATAAGCAATTTAAATGCTGGAATCGATTGTCGGTAAAAGAAGAGTATAAAGTAACGAGCTTTGGAAAACCAGGTGAAGTGATCAAATACCGTGCACCTTAAAAAATAGAATAATCATCACTTAAATATTAATTTACTATCACAATAATCGTAGAACAATTATCTATAATACTAAATCGATTTTAAACCAGTGTTAAAATAACAGAAGGTAATTTTAATAAAGTAAAACGTTCATATGTATACAGTACTCTAACTTAAATTTTTAGATTTATGTAAATCCAATACTTACCTTGCTATAAATAATGTTGCAATAAATAAATAAAATAACAAAGGTTCATTCCTGTGTAACTCTAATCTAACCTCTGGTGAATTTAAGATTCTACTATTCTGTTAATGTACTAGTTTTCATTCGCGGATCTTGACTGTGGCGGTGGAGCGAGGGAAAGGGGGAGCCAATATCGATGAAAATATCTAGGCTTAGAACCCACTCGATATTATCCATATCTTTTTTCATTTGACTTTTTTTCGATTGGTTTCTTCCAATTTTTCAAGTTCATTCCAATTTTTTTCACTAGGAACTTTGCATTATACATTTAAGAAAAACGATTAAAAAAACTCACCTGTCTATATGTCGGTCTTGATCTTGAAGATTGCATATGTCTTGCATATACCAATTCAATTTTTTTCCTGTTGCATACGCAGGTCCAAAGCAGTCCTGGAATACTTCGATTAGACCGTCTCGTTCGCCCTACACACCATCGTTACGAACTGAACACGAGTATTCGTGGAAAGATCTCCCAAGGGCGAGGTGCTTAGCTTGCGCCCTTAAGGCTCTTACCGCCGTCAACACTCCATCGCCACAGTCACGCCAAAGACCACGCCCGAAGTCTGCCCCGCCAAGACTCTCTAACCAAGGGCAAAAAGCCAGAAAGCCTGAATCAAGGCCAAGTTCTAGTTCTTCGAAACGAAGTTTGCAACCAAACCGGTCGAAGTCGCCAAGAATTAGTCCTAGCTACAAAGATGCACCGAGTTCTGGACCGAAATCCAGCAGCAAGAAACCAAGCGTTCGAGCATCGTATCCTAAAATGTCTTCACCAAAATCTTCAACTTCGGTAAAGAAATCGCTATCGTTCTCGCCTGAGACGAAAGGAGAGGAGACGGACAGTGCTCCGAAACCGAAAGGAATTCGAGGCGGTGGACGGCGAAGGAAAGCGCAGCTGGCGTTGATGAAGGGGGAGGTATTCCAAGCAGATGATCCGCAACATGCGTATTACGTGTTGATACACGAGGATGTGAAATCAGGAAAACCTACCGCGTCTGTTAAGCCAATAATGTCCGGTGAAAACGAAGCTGTTGGTGGAGAGAAAGTCACAGAAACTGGAGAGACAAGCGTCAGTAGTGGGGTCGATGATAAGTCTTCAGCAGATACTTCTGTTGTGGTATCTGGGGAAGCTAAGGTAGTAAAGAAAGTTGTACATGCGATAAGCGAGGCTCAAGGACCTGTAGAAAATGACATGGTGAACGGTTTAAATGATGAACATAGTAGGAAAAGTGAAGTTTTCGAGGAGAGGAAAGTGGTAAAATTGATCACAAGTGTGAATGGGACTGTTGAAAGTCCAGTGACCGAAGAGGAACAATCGCCTGCTACTAACAATAATACAAAAAGTCCGGCGAACGTAAACGAAGAGAAATCGATGGAACGCGATTGGTCAAAACCGAAGCCAATTCGAGGACGGAAAAAGAAACCAAAGGCAGACTTGAATGGCAATGAACAAAACAAACCGGAAGAAAAACATGGAATTACGTCAGAACAAGCCAGTGTGGTTAACGGGGCAGAGGAATTTCAGCAACAGACACTTGTTGTGGCCAATGGAGATAGTTAGTTAACGAGAAGAACTTAAATTTAAGCTGCATATTGAAATACGGCCTTAAAAGGAAACTCGTGTAGTATTTGAAGAACGATTGCCAAAAATATTCTCGCAATCCCGCACTGTTTATTAAATTCAGGACGAATTCCTTTAGATTGAACAAATTGATACATGTTTGTCATCGTAAGATAAGAATTACTGTATAAATCCCGGAAGATGGGTTTTAAGATATTTAGGTGTAAATGTATTACTTTATTTGGAAATATTGACTCGTACTTAGTTGTATGTTGACACCACAAGAAGCTAGGATGTAGTAAATGAACTGGAAAACTTGGCTTTCTGATTGAAAGTAGCTTTCCATCTATATTAGTTTATGGTTGAAACTATATATTGTGGTCAAAATGCAAAAACCTTTCCGATATAGAATCGGAATTCTGCAGCTTGTGATTTACTGTATTTGTTCTGTTTCTACCGAATTTTTTTATCCGCTATATTTGCCTGTAAATCTGCAGATGAACAATTACAGGAGATCGCAAAAATTAGAATTGGGTGGTTCTTGCATATTGAGGGTATCTAACGAAAAGAACTCAACGAACAACTTTAACGTGGGTGGGAGGGTGTAGTCCTCTGTTCTAGACCTATAGGCTATAGATGTTAGAAATTTTAAAAATTGATGTAGAGAAATTTTATTGAATTATTTTCCTTATAATCGAATGTGTGTGTGGTTTGTGCTTTGTTGATTGGATTAACGTATGTGACAATTCTGGGTCGACATTTCTAAATTTCTCTTGTCGTGGGGTGTTTAGACAGTCAACTTTCACATTGTTAGATCAAGATCGTTATCATCGTGTAAAACTAGCCGGATAATTATCTGCATCTGAAAACAACTTAAACTTCCTTGACAGGTTACCGAATAACTCCTTATCGTGATCTCAAGAGACCTTCTGGAGTGAAACGCACATCTTCACTTCGAACACCAAGGCCACGACGAAACACATTGGAATCAAACAGTAAGTAATGGATTGATTGATGATGATTATTTTAGCGTAGGTGGTCGCTACGCGGTGCTTTAAACTATCCAAACACACAACGAAATTATCGAACGATTCTTCTAACAAGCTGGTTAAGAAACTGTTTAGAGGGGAGAATTAAGGTTGTTAAATAGCATTCATTCTAATCTCTACAATCGTGCTTATAACAACGTTTACAACAAAGTTTCCTGGTTTTTCAAAAGTAAATTGGGACAAAACATCTTGTCATTTTTCGTGTAAATTGAGACGAAACATCTTGTCATGTTTCGGATAAGTTAGGACGAAACATCTTGTCATGTTTCGGGTAAATTAGGACGAAACATCTCATGTTTCGGGTAAATTGAGACGAAACATCTTGTCATGATTAATGTAAATTGAGATGAAACGTCTTGTCATGATTAGTGTGAATTGAGATGAATCATCTTGTCATGTTTCGTGTAAATTGAGAATAATATTTTTCCTAAAAGCATAAGGCGTTGACACTATCTTTATATAAGGACAACAGACACAATTATTGCTAAAGTTTAAAATTAACCACGTTCTCTAATCATTAAATAGGCAGTGGTGGAGGCAATCGTGGCAGAAGTGTCAGTCCATCTACCAGGGTGAGTGTTGATAAAGCAATTGGTAAATGAATGCTGCAAAAGCAATGACAATATTTATTATAAAACGACAGCACACGCGACCCTTTTTAACTTGCCTGTGATGTGTTTTGGATTATACGGACTGGCTTAATGTACTTTTAGCTGAGGCCATCAACCTTTGTGAATAATTCAGCGTCATCTATAGGTATATTGTGTATAACTCTGGTAAATGCTAATTTTTTCCTGATTTTAGACAAATGGTCAAATGAGCAGCAGTGAGTAAAATTTATTTTGTGATTTGTGGCTTAGAAAGGCTCCTATCTTTGTCTATACATTATAAGTTTTAGCCTCAGAATTGCGTCAATTTACTGACAAACATCCCCACAATACAATATCAGCATCCATATCAGCGGTCATTGACCACCATGCTGTTTTTTTAGCTCCAAGATCAAAGTTAAACGGATCGAAAAAGGTAGGACTATACACAGTCTTGCAAAAACAGTATACATGCATATGCATGTAATTGAAGCCAGATTGTGTTACCAATTAAGCCACAGTTAACATTCAATATTTGGATTTTTAAAAATTAGTGCTATTAATTAAGATGGTCAAGATCGAGACAGTCCCCCCATATGCATGATGTAGTGTATATTGGTTTGTCTTGTCCCGCTTCCTTCATACCCCACCCCCTTCCTTCCACAAGCTATAAACACATGTTTGAGTAAATTTCATAAATGCATTAATTAGGGTTTTTTCTATATTCTAAATAGTCTATCAATGGAGGGCCGTATACAAGCGGAGAGGAGCTGTAAGTGTTGAAAAATTAAAAACCTACATGGATAGAAAACCTCACGTGATATATTTCCACCAACAGATTCTTTAATTTTTTGCGCGTACGTGTTATTAAAGGCCAGGGAACTGTTAGGAATAGGGAATTGGGATAACCGAAGCAAAAAACATGGGGTGGTGATATATTATACTATAAGGGTGTAATATATTATATTATATTCGTGGGCTTACTTGGAATGCCATACTAGATACTGTGGTAAAGCATGCCCAAATATGGTGCATTTCAGTAGCTACTTGTACATCTTTTCTCATAGTCATTGCATCATTATATTATATGTGAAACATATATAGCAGCTAGTCAGGCTATTTTCTGATACAAAAAGAAAAATTTATTCACTAAGCCTAGCGAGCAACGGCAATTGATTTCAGCCAAAGAATAATAAAGAATGAATCATTCCAGGTACCCAGCCGCTGTATTCCAACGTGAAAATTCTGACTCTGGTAAGTTGCGTACTTCTTGTATATAGAGAAAGCGTTTATAATATTCTGAATTTTATATAGTGTTTATTCGCGAAATGCCCAAAACGAAAAACTACAGCTTTAATGTTATTTTTCGATTGAAGTTATTCATTGTATACACTTCGTACATAGATTGTGTCACAAAGTCGTAAAGAGCTAATAGTTTATGATTCTATTGAGTATTCACGGTTCTAGCTTACATATGTATTCCAATATTTTTTGTGATGGGATGTTTGCCAACTACATTTCAGTATTATTTCTGCTGTCGAAATAAATAGACGCCAAATGTCAAAAATCTTAACTCACGTAGCGCGAAAATATGTACTGCATGATGTACGACATGTAACTGTACCCAAGAGGTAAAAATAGGCAGGTGAATTAAGGTAAGTTAGTCTTCTACGGCCGGTCTTGGTGTTCAAAGTTTTTACACCTGTCACACACATAATGGTGTCTGGAATAAAACTGGTATTTTGCCAGACTGTTATAAAGACTTCATATTCTAAAAATTTTTTAACATCCGTCGCTTAAATACGTAAATGTTAAGCAATGAATGAATAACTAAATATCGTAAACACAACACGCAATTAAAAATTTTAAATGACGTTAAAAGTCTAAATAAAGGCTATAAATAACATAAATAACAGCTGAATTTTGCCAGAATACGATAAATCTTAGTACTTTAAGAAAGGTATATTACCCTTCTTTTCTAGCGAAGAGAAAAAAGAAAACGAAAAATTCAAAATCGGTCGCAAAAAAAGTGCCAAGAAAAAAAACTCTGAAGCCTGTTAATAGCGATAAGTTTTATTCGACTGTCTGGCTAAGTGACTACGAATCATGGGACATGAAATCCGAAACAGGGGACCCCAGCACGGGTGTTAGTAGCCGTGCGACCACGCCTTATAGCAGCAGACCGACAACACCATTTGACAGCAAAGGTAGTTCCCCTCTTAGCAGCCCGCCTTCGTCACCTTTCGTTGCCAGGGAAACGTACAATGATGATGACATTTCTGGGAACCCCTCCGAGACAGACGGACCACAAGATCCCATTCAGAAATCCAAGCCTGGAAAATTGAAGCGAACTTTGAGTCTTCCGGAATCGGAATTAAGTCAGATCGAAGCGAATGATCTCCAGCAAAGATTCACAACATTGCAACTTGAACAAGAGAACCGAGAACTAAAGCAACTCACCGATGACCTTCAAGATGCTTTGGAAAACCTCGAGAAACGCGTTCACTCCGTGTCCGAATCGGATCAAAATCTAGACGGAAAGACAAGCGACGGTCGAACACCGCCATATTCTAGCGACGATGTGTTCGCAGATATGAGGACGTTACCCCAACGGGCGATGTCGGAGCCGAGTAGTCCTAGTAGCATATCCTCGAACGACACGTTTGTACACAGTCCAAAACTATCAAAACCAAACAGTCTCGATCTTAGTGGCAGCGGCGCACGTAAACGAAAACATACGGAAAAATTGAACCCGTCCGCAGTAAAAACCCGAAAGTCTGCAAAACGCAAAGAAGAAAGCATATGCTGTATAACCAGTTGAATGCTGTCAGATTAGTGTTCGGAATTTTTACCAAAGGTGTTTCTACATAATTGTATATTTTGATATGAATTTTGCACGAACCAAACTGTTTTCCGTTTCCCACAGGAAAAATCCCACAATTGGGTGCATGAAGTGGCATTTCATTTTAACAAAACATTTTAAGTTGACAGAATTCATATGGCAAAAAATAAATGATTTCAACGGTCCTATATACACATAGCCATTCTCGTTAAATACTCCACTACCTTAATTCTAAACTAAAGTGTCTTAATTGGACTAATGATGTTAAAAACAAACTCTTTAATAAAATTTGAAAATAAATAAAACAATTTTTTCCAATATAAACCTTCACTATATATAGGTTTAAACTGACGGAGTTAAATTTAAACACAAACTCTTATTTTAACAGCGGATAAATATTTTAAAACAACATATATACTGTATATAATGAACACCATGCTATGCGCTTTTAAATTATGTATGTACAAATTTAATGAAATAATGGAAAGAATTTAAAGAGAATTTTATTCTCATTATAAATATGGTAATTTATCTAAGATATTATAAATACATAAATATAGTGGTTCTAGCCAACTATATTGTGTGTGACAGTTAAAGGCTTTGAACACCATTGTGAATTGACAATTCAAGATAAAATAATGCCATCCTTTTAATTTTTTGGCCCATGTTATATATTTGTCGTTATAAGGGACATTAATCCTTTGGATGGCACACACAATATAGTTGTTTTGCCACTTTTTCTCAAAGTGCCATTAGTAAGGGTTTACCCAGTGGACATTGTGCTCACTCCTTTATTTCCCACTTCAAACACTACATTAGGTTTTCACCTGCATGTCTAATATACTAGAACAAGGATCATCAGATCCTTGGCCTTTTCATGTAGAAAGAACAAAACAAATTTCACTCCACGGTTAAAAGGGGGTTTACATGTGCATGTCCTCCAAAGAACATCATTCGTCATGCTTTTACAAACAATTTCAAACTGCGTATATTTTGGCAAAATGTGAATATCCACAATCTATTTGGCATCCGTGAAATGACTGTCTTTAAGGACGTTTGGAAAAAAATAATTTTGTCTCAAACAAAAGAACAATTATATGACGATCGAAATCAATGATCTGCCGCCATGTTGGATTAATTTTTGATTCTAATCATCCTATCACTTTGAATTTTCAATCATGCAATGATATAATTTCAATCACCTTTCAGAAGAAATTTTTTGTGATGTATCGTGCATGTGTATAATCCAAAATTACCACAGCCCACTAATATAAGCGTTCTATTGAATATCTTATTCCCAATGTATGCATATTCTTTAATCATTATGGATTAATGATTTCCTTTCAAGCGAAATGTTTCTTTTTTTAAAATAAATAATAACATGAATATCTAATTTAAACCAACCCTGATGTCTTGCCCTAAAGGCGCTATTGGCATATAGGTTACTTTTAGGTACAGGTAAGTGTTGGGGAATATATCTATCCTTATGAGTAAACACGCGTTTCTTTTTGTTACTTTTTAAACCAAGTACGCAATGCATGCATGGGAACAATTGTAAGTGCATGCGCAATGAAATTGGTCTGAACTCTCTGTTCGTTCGTTTACTGATCGAGGTGGTAAATTAACCAAGCTGTGTATATGGCAACAGATGCTGTAAAACCAGCCAGTCTTGATGATATCACTCTGTAGGTGTTTATGCATTGTGCAACATCAGTATTGATTGTGATGTTCATTGTTAAAAAGCATTGCCCGACGAAAAGTTGCCTGTCAAAATTGTCGTGTTCTATGCTTGACCGGCAAAATCCTCATCGTTATCAATATCTGCGTGGAACGGTGGAAAGTATATCAAAGAGCAGTGTAGATAAATTCAGTTGCATAAAGTGATTTAACCACTAAAGGTTTTCTTGGCTAAAGCCTAAGTATTTAAAATATGCCTTGCTTTACTAAAATTTTGCTAAAAACGGAAAAATTTTTATCGGTACGTGGTCTTATATCGTTTGATAAAAATGTCTCACAAGGATAAACATTTTTTGCTCGTAAACATTTAACAAAGCTAAAAGAATATTTTTATTTCCAATTTGTAATTCCTAAATGTCGTACTAAATGTCGAATTTTTTAACATAAGATGTTTTATATAAAGGCAAAATTGCTAACCGTCACAAGAAGTTTAATAACTAAACACCAAGCAAATTCAGAGCATGCAGGCACGCAAAGTTTTATTGTAAGTGATGGGAGCTAACAGTCGACGAAAAATCGACAGTAAAATTACAATATACTATAAATATATATAGCAAGGGACTCGTCCGAATCTTTACGTTTCCAACTGTATATTATAACTGTATATTATGATCATTTTACATCGAAACGGTTCCATGCAAGGATGTTGTATAATTTAGAAGATAAAAAAATAATGTTATGCCGTTTTCACTTTATTGTCATGTTTAATGAAAATGATCTGCGTGGAGTGGACTGGTACCTGCCAGGGTTTTGGTTGTTCCATTGGCATTGATAATTGTTGTGACAATAATCAACAATAGTCGACCATATGGTCCTTGATTCATGTTTATATATTACCGCCGTTCTTATTTGCTCTGCGTGCATGCGTCCCGGCTGTATTTATTATATTAAATGTCTCTCTGAAGTATGTAAAATAGAGAAAGGATGTGGCCACAAAAATCTATGTTTATAAAAGTATATGGCCACTCTATACCAGGGAACAACTTAATTTTTCTATGTTCATCCTTCAGCAATCCACTAGGAAATATAAGAAGGGTGTAACTATATGAAACCACTCTATCCTGTCGTTACAAAGGTTTCATAACGTTGCAGGTGATTCCGTGCATGTCGAGAGTTCACGATATCTTGGATATCTTCTGATGATTATAAGCATGTATATCTTAATTCTGATCATGTTCTAGTGATGAAATCTTTGATATCTTCTGATGATGATATATATCTTAATTCTGATCATGCGTTAGTGATGAAATCTTGGATATCTTCTGAAATCTATTGTCACATCTATATCTAAACAAGAGTATGTTCAGAAGAAACATCAATTACAATATCTCTAGATATATAGTGTGCCTTTCCTTTACATCCCATTCATCGAAATCGCCATTTATTTTAGTTTAATTCGTTAGAGGGACTGACACACGCGCCACGCTTTAATTTCTTGGAACACCATGCAATGCACCATCTACAACATCCTGCCGTTGCAATAACATATAACTTTATAAATGGAATGTTACTATTGGACCATGCACTGCACTAAATCAGAGTGAGGACCATTTTTCCCAATTAAACCAAAAACTTTAAATAAATATTGGTCCACATGCAGTGATTAGATACAGTGATTAGATATAATCACTTTAATTTCCTAATATATACACCGACATGGCATATTTTGGTTTTGCACACGAATAGTTTTACGTGCGTGCTTCTCAAATGAATAAGCATATGGTGTAAATGATTAATGTTAATCATATATTTAAACTGCTGTCGTGATAGATAAATCTAACAGATTCTTATTAATCTTAATGTCATCATCTTGCAGACAAACGTGCAGCCTTTACTGATGGACTGGACGATTGCTATTGAATGCCCACCTGAAAAGCACCGCTAGCCTTCGACAGCTCACGGAAGTTCCTTGCTATATGTATTGTAAAATTATTTATTCTTAGAACTATTTAAAGCTTTATTTAAACGATAAACTATTCTTAAGATTGTAAACACTGAAGAAAGATGCCTAATAATTGTGCAATTTATTGAAAAGTTTAAATTTGTAGATTTAGATTTAGTCAGGATAAAAGTGAATGCTTATCATCAAATTTAAATTTAAAGTCTATAATGATGCGCATGCAATAACTGTGTATAAATATATACAAATGCACCATGCAGTGTTAGATTATTTATTGAAAATTTTTTCCTTATTTAAATTTATTGTCATTACATTTTAAATTAGTTTAAGTGTATATGGTTACAATAAAATTTCATTAAATTATTGTCTTATTATACGAGTTCCAATTTGCACGGTCGCGTTTCAGTGCGTCCTCATGAAAACTCTATATTGATATTAAATGTTAATGCTGATGCATTCAGAATTTCTGATGAATCAGTTATTATCCTTGACGAAAGATGCATGTGTATATACATAAGACTGTGCAATATATAATATAAAAAGTGTGGCTAAATAATATATAACGGGCTGCTATGCAAATTAATGATCGATAGGGCCCTCACTAAACCTTCTTCAGTACTTTTACCGCACTATAGGCCTATCTCATCAATCACTTTTATATTTATTGAGATATCATATGCATATGTATATATAGTTGCATGTATATATCTATAACGAAGTATATCGTGAATATTGAGGTAATGTAACGAGCCTCCCATTTTCCCCTTGGCAGAGGCAGCTAAAATGCAGAACCCTGAACTAGTGCATAAATGTACATATTCGTGAAAAAGCGAATGTTGCAAAAACCTACGTGCAGCGGTGCATGCATGCGTCCGCGATAGACCAACACGCATGCATTTACTATTTTCTTTAAAAATTCGTGGAGTTCTTGGATCTATATGTATATATGTATGCAATATCTGTATCTAATCCCTGCACGTTTTTTGGTTTGCATTTTTGGGAAGGAAGTCGTTTATAAAACGACTTGGTTCATAAAAGGTAAATTAATGCATGTAAAATCTCATAAGTAATTTTCATCGTTGACAATTTCAGAACAACAATGTTATTTTACATTAATACTCGTTTAAAATTCTCGTTAAACTAAATTCAATATATTACAGTTTTGTCAACAATCATTAAACTTTTGAATTAGTGTGCAATTATATTAATGTTTCCGGCCCTTTCGGCGCTGTTTTGTATATCATGATAGTTATTGATAGGATATAAAATAAATAAGAAATAAGAAGTAAATATTTAGCGAGGAACACCTGCTTCGTGATTAGGGCGTGTGTTGTTTGTATTGTATGTCAGTTGTGATAACGTCGTGTGGTTTCCTTGCAGTCCTATAGAGGGTATATGTTGCTGTATTTTTTTCAGTAACCCCAGGCATTCTTCAAAGTAAACAGTATAAGGCAGCTCGAGTCCGCATGCATCTTTTCAGTTGGCATTCCCGCGTGAACATACGGCCGTGTTGCTAATGCAATTTTTCTTGCAACCTTGGCAATGTTGAGAGATGGAAATTTGGCAACTACGAAAAGTTTTGTACTTATTCCCCTCCGCGCATGTTTTCGTACACATGCATACGTTTCGAAAATGCTTCATTAATTTACATCTTTCAAAAGAAGACTATATATAGCATCGTGTAATACGGCGCATATAAAGACTGAAGTTAAAGCCCCATTTGTACTACAGTCCGTTTATTGGCACATCGCATGTAGAATTGGTTCGCGTACCCAATTTTATTAGTGCTCAGGCTATACTAATACAAAGGCTGGGAAGGAATGAAATACGCAATAAATTAAGCGTAGTGTCAACGGTGTTTTAATTGACGCATGGTACTAGTCCCTAGGTACTAGAGCGCCTGTTCTTTTCGATGCAAGCACTAAATTCTGCTTGAGCCCCATGCATAAGTCGAAAGCAACCGACGAAATTCTGGCAAGTCAAATGAGTTATATCAGCCTATAACACAGTTTTCAACTGATTATATATACACGCTACACCTGCATCAGTATGGCATATATACGAAGCTAAATAATCACATTCGAGAAGCACGACGTCTGAAACATGCCGCATTTCACCCTGGGTGTTTTATTTTTGACGAGGGAACGACATTTTCTATGATGGATTAGTTAAGTCTCTAAAATCGTGTGTTTCTGCCTTTGTTCGCCCGAAAGACCGCGTCAAAAGTTTGCACAACAGTTTTAAGTACCTGCAATTGAAGTTCAAACATCGTGCCTGTAACAGATAGTGAATGAGTAGGGAAGATATATTTCTATTTAGTTCGTTTTACGTTTTTTCTATAGTCGAAGTTTTAGTACTGCCTGCGTGAGTATAGATAAACAATGCCAACAGTTCATGTCAATTCGCTTTTAAGTATATGAAATAGTCAACAAGGTACATTTGTCATCTCAACTGTACAACAAATTGACGCCTATAATTCATATCCTGGCATATCCTGTCCGTCCATGCAGCCATGATGATTATAGTGATGCACTATAATCTGCACCCATGTGAACACCTGCAATTTTTTTTGCCGATCGAATTAACGTCTATTTGAGATGACTTCTCTGCTTTCGAAATGTTAGAAAACGGATGGCAGCAGGGAGGGGGAGTGGGGGCAAACACACGATGTTCAACACAAATTAAAGTGAATATGCCAGACCATATAAATATATTTAAATCAATGTTCAGCACTTCAGCTGCCCAACAAATTGTATTATACCGTCTTAAGTTTTTAACATGCATTACCAAAATTCATGTGACACTCAGAAATGGGCACTCATAAATATTTGCTATAAATTTAATTTGTTATTTTTCAGATAGGAATATTCAGAATAGCCGGAATGATCGCTTATCAATTCATGGTTTTTACAAGATTGGCAAAATAATCGGTGATGGTAATTTTTCTGTCGTTAGAGAATGTAGAAACAGGTAAAAATCAATAAGACAATATTATGAGAAATTATTACATTTTGCATGAATAAAGTTCTCGATGAATCAATATCCATCGATATAAAGTTTTAATAATTAATATGTCCAGTTCTGTTCATCGTTGGATGTGGTTATTACATTCACTCACTTGATAGTCGGCATGCACTTTGAAACTGGATCCACTTTCTCCTGGGTTTAATGATGTCTAATTCAAGACTTCTAAAACAATAAATTGAAAATTTAAACCTTGCACATGCAAGGTTGAATAATTGAAACGTGTGTTTCAAATAATAATATGACTGATTTACACTATCAAAGTTTTCGTGAAGATGCATGGCAGAACCTTTTGCAAAATCTTCAATAAATATTCGGGCTTATTTCTAATGTGATTGAAGCACGATAGTGAAAACCTGACCTCACATTTTGTATTTGAATGTTCTGTTTAGACGAACTGGTGAGAAATACGCTCTGAAAATTGTAAATAAGGCAAGGGTAAAAGGAAAGGTACGTTGGTAAAGTTGTATAAAGTTTTACATTATATCCATGCATCCCCACCCTGTCCTTGGTCACATTCGGGCCGTTGAAAAAAAAATCAACCCTCATGCACAGAAATGAGGAAAGATGGAAGAAGTGTGAGAAAAAATAATGCCAGTAAGGATTTGTAGTATTACATTAGACTCTTTTAACTCTCTCAAGGTAAATTGGACAATCAAGTTCGGGTCCTGTACAAGATGCTTCCTAAAAAAACATTGCAGGGGGGAGGATCTTTAGCCTGTGACTGGTGTTAGCCAACTACTAATTAATCAAATGAATGAATTATTCATCTTTTGTTAAAATTAATAATAGAATTAATAAAAAAATTAACGTAGCTTTCTGTTCTATACATTCTCAGGAATACTTCGTAGAGAACGAGACATCCATTCTTCGTCGCATTTCGCATCCAAACATTGTTCAGTTAATTGAAGAGTACGAATCTGCGAAAGAAATTTTTCTAGTATTAGAATTAGTCCAGGTATTGTTCCTGTCCTGTAAAACGTTAATTCTTATCGCTCGAGCCCCCAAATTGGCAGAGGTTGGCGAGCTCATTATTAGCTATAAGACGTTTTACAGTTAATACCTCTTACGATATGACGTCATCTGAGGGGGGGGGGTGATGTGCGTTGGAATATTGGCTATTTGACTATTGCAACCGAGTAGAATACCAGTTTCCAACCGGGAACATCATATATCATGTTTTCAACCTGAACGATTTCTTTCTCTTGTCCTTTAAAGGGTGGAGATCTTTTTGATGCAATCGTCCGAGCTACAAAATACACGGAACGTGATGCTAGTCATATGATCGGAGACCTTGTGTCTGCTTTAAGTCATCTGCATGATCTTAGCATCATTCATCGAGATATAAAACCCGAAAATTTATTGGTAAGTTTTTTTAAACACTCTGTAATTACAGCTGCGAAATTAGATTTGTTACTTTGATGTTACCTTTTGCGAAAATGTTTATAGCTTGTCGGTGTTAGAGTATTGCGTTTTAACCTGCATGTGTTGTGATTTGTGTTGCAATTTGTGTTGTGATTGTTATCTTTCGTTGTAACTTGTGCTGTGGCTTGTTATAGCTTGTGTTGGGGTTCGTGTCATGTCATTCATGACTCGTGTTATGACTTGTCATGCACTTGTGTCGTGATTTGCCTCATGTATTGTGTGTCGACGCATGATGTGATGTAATTTGTGTTTTGATGTTTCTTGTGTTGCCTTGTGGATACGCTATGGGGTGAAAAGACGAGCTAAATGTGTACTTATTAGAGTATTGCGTAATTCTTTTTCAGGTTGTAAATAATCTGTCTGGATTACTGTCCCTGAAAGTAGCAGACTTTGGTTTGGCAACTGAAGTACATGAACCACAGTTTCTTGTCTGTGGCACGCCTACATACGTTGCTCCTGAGATTCTCGATGAGTCAGGGTAAGGGAATATTTACTTGGTATTCTAACTGTCTATTTACTTTTCCCTCTTTATCTCTTCATGCCTACCAACTACGAACGTATTGAGAGAGAGAGGGAGTGATTTGATAAGCAATTTCGCCAAAGGGAAGAGTGAAAAAGACGAGTAAAAAAAGGCTTGAAAAGGGGTGCGCAGTTCTGTCAGAATAGACTTTTTTCAAATAGTAACCACATTTATACCTTCCCCATGTATTGAAGTGCATTATGATACTGCTATAAAAAACATGTACTCATGCAGTTATAGGAGTACATAATGATGCCAAATGTAATTTACATGTCTGCATGCCTAAGAATGAATTAATGCCTCAAATTTGCTAGTTAGCCAATAAATGGAAAAAAACTATTTACTATCGCTGTAGAATTACACTATAAGTGTGGATATTATATGATTTAAAAATTTCTCAGAAGTGCAATGTGAATGCTTTTCGCAGCAGCGATTTAAAAACAGTGAATCCAGGTTAACATATTCAAGAATATGTAATTCTTTAATAATAGCTTAGGTTGAAGTTACAGAAGTTAACAAAGACCCGTTTATTGTTTGAATATATAGATATGAGCTCAAAGCAGATGTTTGGGCGGCTGGAGTTATCACGTACATACTGCTTTGTGGATTTCCACCTTTCAGAAGGTTGTTTTAACTTTCACGAATTTTGATGAACTATGCATTATTCTATTGTTCCTTAATAATGATCTTTCTTTAGCAATGATCAAGAAGAGCTCTTTGATATGATATTAAGTGGGGATTACGAATTTCTGTCGCCCTTTTGGGATAACATATCCCAGTCCGCAAAGGTTTTTATCTTAGTATATTGTGTTTTAATATTAGCTAAATTCTGTCAAAGGTGTTACCATGCAGGTGATAATATAATCATAATAGATTGTTTCCTTTTACAGGATTTAATCAGTCGTATGTTAATCATAAACCCAAATCAAAGGTATTCTGCTAGAGATTCACTAAACCATCCCTGGATCCAGGTAATCAATTGCTTTCTTCTTTATGAGCCCGTGTACAGGAGGAATGGCAAACAATAACATCATACTATACTATCGTGGTGTTTCAGGGCCACACAGCAAAAGATACGAATTTGCAAAGTGCATTTGCAAGTGAAATTAACAGGAATTTTCAGTCTAAAAAGAAGCATCGTGGAGTTGCAACTACGACAGTACGTTTTATTCAGTAAATCTTATAGCCGTATATAAATACTAAAACGTCTTATATATAGTGCAGCAATGGGTAAAGATGAAAAACGATATCATACGCGACAGATATATGATCCGAGAGGCCTATGGAGAAGTAGTTAAAAAGTTTTCCATGTTGAACTACAACATGTAGAGTTGCTAAACTAATTGGATTATAGACAACCTTTGCCTGACACATGCAAACATTTTTCAAACACCCACATTTAACAAGATAACTGTGTTTAAGTTTTAATCTTCATGTCGCTCGTCTTTCTCTGTGAAAACTATATAACTGCATTGTTTCTTGATGAAAAATAGAATCCTGAAGATGATGAGTCGAATATCGTGTGTGAGGTTGAAGATATTGACGATGAACAAAATTCGGCAATGCCAGTGATTGAAGAGGATAATGAGTTACGGACAGACCTGGTACAATATAGGCATTCACCACTCTCAACGCCAGGAAAAAGGAAACCCAGGCCAAAAAGTATGGACTTCCATATGCTGGGAAGACGTAATGAAGACTATAGCCAACCGGATTATGAATTGACTCAAAGGAATCTAATGGAGGAATTTCACGACGAAGATGAGTATTATTAAAATTAATTTATTTAAACCATGTAATTGATAAAAATATTTAGCTGTAAATAATGTACAAATCCTTTACCATGCATGATTATATTTCTATACATATATATAGGAAATCCTTCTCGGCCTGTTCTTATATAGGAAAAATATGATCACGCCTTCCCGTTTACGCAAAAAGTAGTGAAAAAGATTTGTAGTAAAGAAAGCGAAATTCGGTTGTCCAGCTTTCCTCGCGCGCTGATCGATTTCAATCTTTCGGTATGTTTGTTCATTAGCCACGAAGAACGTATAAGTCGGTTTGCCAAGGTGTGCTAAATTTGCCACTTTTTTTGACCAAATTTTAACACACCTAAAGATGAGTTTTCTGACATGCACCTAAAGGTGTGTTTAACAACCATAAGGTGTGCGATTAGCAAATCCAAAGGTGTGTAATCACGCAGCTAGGTGTGTTTTTGTGCACGCCAAAAGGTGTGTAGAACACACTAAAAGGTGTGTCAAAAAACACACCAAAAGATGAGTTTTCCGCTTGTCCAAATTTTAACACGTTCTAAGGTGTGTTTTCAAAGAAGGTGTGTTTTCATACACCATAGCGTGTTTCATTACACAGCTAAAGCTGTGCTGCATAACACACAAATCAACACAGTTGCACACCTTTCCAAACAAATATCTGGAATTGCTTTAAATTTCTTTTAGCCTGGGGAAGAAAGCACAAACATGCATGATTTTTATGCCCGGCGCGTCAAGGCCGCATGGGCAGAAATTCATAGGTCGCTTCGCCCGTGCGGGCATGCAAGCGCCTATAAAAGCATCCTTTAGTTTATTCTGCTTTATAATTTAAAAAGTCGTTTTCAGTAGCTCTTTAATACATAAAGCTTGTTTCCTATCGCCATTACGATGATTTTTCCATGTGTAGAGATATTCAGGTCTGGTTAATGTTTACTATTTGACTATTATATCTAGGGTTCATGGTTGCGTTTGAAACACAGCTACATATATATATTCATGTAGATAGAAATCATGTAGATAGTAAATCATATAAATATGGTACGAGAGGGTTGTTTATATGATAGGCCAAGCAATGATATTTTGGCATATATAGTAACATCAAAAATATAGAAATGGCGGTGCGTGGCGCTCAAAGGCCTTGTCTCCAGGGGTCAGTTGTTCAAAGCTATAGGTTAGGGCTAACCCTAGTTTAAATTTCAATCCAGTGTTTTAGTTTATGTGCTCTGAACTACTGTTCGTTTTAAAACTTTAACTGAAAATATGACTTCTATCGGTCCAGGAAATATTTATGAAAAAACTCTGTAAACAAGCGATTAAAAAAATTAATGTAAAGAATTGCTTTAATCCAGGGTTAAGCTAACCTGCTTTTGAAGAAAAAATAATCATATTGTCTTATATATATATATATATATATATATATATATATATATATATATATATATATATATATATATATATATATATATATAACTTTAGGCACTCCAATTGTAACCAAAATTCGGTTAAATTAATGTATGTGAATTTTGTAGTATAAAAAATATTTCATTATCTATAATTATTTTTGTACATATATATCTATCTATATCTATCTATATATATTCATATATAATATATTATAATATTGAAAATGAGGAGTTGTAGGTGGAAGTAATAGAAATTTCAACTAGAGTTTTCAACAAACCTTTTTAAAGTGTATTATTGCCTGTATTAAGGGATTTTCAGAGGAGACGCAAATCGTCGCAAATGTTGACTTCCCGTGACATAAAAAAGTTAATAATGATAAAATATGCATTAGGGTCAAGGTGTTTCGAAAAAGTATAAAGTAGCCTAAAAGTAAGGTGCGCGCGAAAGCTCTCTGTCACAGCTATATAGCATGCATGCATGCATTGAAATTGTTTACTATATATGCAAGCTTTCTATCGTTTTTATTAAAAATTGGGGAAATATTTAACTACTAGTTTATATACATTGAAGATCATAATGGGCTTAAAAAGATTGCAGTTTAAACGAGGATTTGATTTAGTTTTAGATTTGGGTAATCAACTAGGACAGCCTATTTTCTGTTCGGAAGCTGACAGGATTTTTGGAACACTAAAATTTCATCTATAGTCTATACTCTCAATCCCACTGTTTAATTTGCGATTATAATTTAATTTATTATCGAGACCACTGACGAACAATTCCCATTTGGAAGCCCAGACATTGCTAAATGTTTGACTATTTACTTAAAGAAATATTTACTTATCCATTTTTGTCTTATACTCGTACAACTCCGTCTCCGATAATTAATTTTCCTTGCGTGCATGCATGTCCATATAAATTGCTACTAGTGTGAGGAAACGAGCGATAATAACTTGCGGCTGACTTTGTTTATCAAAAGAATTAGTCTATAATTTCCATCGCTGTAGGGAAACTGTAGAAATTTGAGCGGTATTTCACGTTCGCGTCGTAGATTTGATGAATCTTAAACTCACTAATGACTGAAAACACAAACATAACTCTTAGGTCAAATCCAATAACATGAGGTCGAGGAGGGAGTTGTTTACGATTTCGGGAAGGACAAACAGCGTGCGACTTAAGTTTCATTTCACAAATTTGGTCAACCTTGAAATTTGGTTTCATGTCTACTTTAGTTTGTCTCTTATAGATTTTATGAATTTGTATTTGAACCCAAATTTCAACTCATCAATACTCAAAAGTGCGTCCGGGGGACAGGTTCATGAATGATGATGGAAAATGCTGGATGAAACCTTAAAATTTAACAAAATCAAACCTTTTATATACATATATATGTGCACTTGTGAACATATACGAGTTTTTTTAATTATCAATGCCTGCATGCCAGTGAATGAATGGTTACTGTATATATATGATCGCTTGTGTTAATTGTTATACGTATATTAACTAGTCTATTGTGAATTAAGCTTGGCTTTGTGCAAGAGATTATGGCAGCGTTCCTGTGTCTTGATTAGATCCACGGCCGCGGCCAGTAAACAACCAACCACAGTCTTGCTGCATATATATGGAAGATTATAAAGTCACCATGCACTCACCACTGTGCATGCATGATTCTGCATGAGAGAATACCGGCTGTAGATAAGTATATATATGTATTCATAGATAACGATCGTGTGAAAGAGATCCCTTCAAAAGAATGCCGCTTACCAAATTAGCTGTATAATTCTACCCGATTTTTGTATGAAATCAGACCTGCAAGGCTGTATAACATGCGTAGTTATACTTTTGGAATTTATATTAGCTTTTAATTGAGACGACATGCAAGTCTGACATTGATTCTTATAGCTTTTTTAACATTCTCATTTATTGAAACGAACAGTATTACACTGCAATAACAACAATAACAATAAGATTTATTAAGTTTCCTAAAGAGAAACTAATTTACAAGATTAATATATAAAATATAACTATATATATATAGGTATAACTATTTACAAAGACTTTTTTCGCAACACACCACCAACGCAAAATATCTTTATACAGAGTATAAACATTCCACCCCGTGTAGATATAACCAGAAATACCAGAGTTAGCAAATCAAATTATTAATCGCATATTTACGTTGCATGCATGGCCAGAAAGAATTATTCTAATATAATAGGGACCTTAACATTGTTAACTGTTCGAAGTTAGGGCAATTAACTACTCGGAGGGCCGCGTGCTGTAAACGTCAATCTTAAGATCCCTAATACCAAGAGCAATTATAGCTGTAAACCTCATGCCTTTACGCCTTTGTCTTTATGTATCTTGTGGCCGGAAATGAGTTCACATGTTTCACGTAGCCTGCCATTGTTATGGCTTAATGTTTACTATTCTTTCTATAATCCCTCTATACGCAATTATACCTATGTAATGCTTGGTTGCTTCTTCTGGATTCTGATGATATAAAGAATAACAATTTAAAGCTAAACTCCCATAGATCCCATGCTATGACAGGAAATCAACATGCGCAAGAGTAAGGCGCAAGTGATTGCTGGTTTTATTTCCAAACATTTCCTTCCTATTGGTACAATATTTATCATTCTTTTCGGGATTCTCTTTCCAGCTCCAGCAGTTTACGTTCAGGCTAAAGTACCTGTTGTTAAAATGTGTATAATTACATTATTTTTTATCATCGGAACAAAATTTCCTTTGAAGGAAATTCGATCAGCTTTGCATTGCTACAAGGAGACGGGCCTGGGAGTAATTGCTGTTTTACTTCTCACTCCAGTTATTGGAACGAAATTACTAATGATACCGCAGTTTCGTGAGCTTCATCCATCAAGGTTTTATCCAAACAAGACAACATTTAACAGTACCCGGTCAATTCTGGAATTACCAGATTTTGGTCCAGAGGAGTTTCGTATTGGCCTACAGATATTTTGCGTATCCCCGTGTGCATCAGCATTTCCAACGGTAGTGGTAAGTTTGTCTCAGTTACCATATATTTTATATCATACTCTAGTCTCTACGTGCGTTAGTAATATATAACTGAATAACTATACCGAGAAAGGTCGAAGAAGATGGTAATTTGGACTAATTGTGCATGAAAGGAGAAAAAAGAGGAGAAAAGGAAATCCAAGAAGGGACACCTAGCGAGTACCAAATCTACGATGCAGACGTGTTTTGAAAACAGCCACTTGTGATGGTTTTATTTAGCGCTATTTAGTCAGCCGACGGCTCTGATTGTATTTACCACAAGGACTATAATTTTTATTCCTGTTGCGAATTACTATGGAAGTAACGAAGTATCATTTCACGCCCGGGTCGTAGATTTGGTGCATCTTATAGCCTGTTTACATAGAGCGAGTTATCCCGGCTAGGCGAGGTGAAAACTGCATATAATGAAAGACTAATCGCCTTTGATGTGATGCGCTACCTCGTCTATAGCCGGGATAACTTGCTCCATGTAAACAGGCCCTTAAACTCACTTATGGCATGTTGTAAACCCGTGACCGGATTAGACTGGCTTGGAATCGAAAACTACTAACTTGGCCAGGTAATTCGTAAAACATGCACCGAAAATGTAAAGTAGTCAGCGATTTGTAGAACACTGCACACTTGATCCTGTAGTCAGTGATTTGTAAAACACTGACCCAGTATAGTTATACAACAATGACCCCGCAGTAGTTAGTGATTAGGATGTATTCTTGTTTACATAACGTAAGAACAAAAATAAACTGACAACAGCTTGCAAAAGAAATCAATCGGGCATAAGACGAATATATGCACCACAATTCAGAGTTGCAAAAAAGCTGCGGGTGCGCGGGTACCACCCGTGAGGAAGGTTTGCTTTGAATGAGGTTTGTGAGGAAGGTTCAAAGTTGAACACTCAATTGATCACATGTATGCACCAAAAAAGCAAATATTTCTTTATGCTGGTTGCCACTTGACTCTGTGACGTAACGTCATTTTGAGGAAGGTTATCAAAGCTTGAAATCCTACCGGAGGAAGGTTGAACTCTTTTGGCAACTTTGCCCCAATTATCAAGCTTCTAGTTACGGTCCTTCTAATCACACTGCTTCTGGAGGCCGAAGTAAATGTATTTTAATTTAAAAAGTTATAGTTGCTCCATGTCCGCATGACTCCGGGTACACATATACACACGTAAGTTTGATTACCAATTTATACTGATAATCTGGTTAAATTCCTCCCCGCTGGTGACGTTTCAATCGGTTTCATGGAATTGGCATGTAGCAAACTTCAGTTATATATAAATTCCAAACAAACTTTTATTGCTTAAAACGACTAAAATCTTTTTATCATGCATATAAAATTAATCAAAGAGATGAATCTGAGGCAACCAATTAACGCAAAGAACACGCTTTCAACAATTTCAGTTATAGATACTTCAATGGCCTTCACAACTAAATTCATTGGTGTAATCTACCCCAGACTACTTGCCTGTACTATACTTGCAAGACATCATTTTACCAAGCAGCTTTTGATTATAGACCGCTTAGCAGCTTTTGATTATAAACCGCTGGAGTTTTTTCAAAAAATTCCGTGAGAAAATAAAAAATCTGGTGAGCATAACCAGTCAACCATCAAAAACACACAAGTTCACACAGTTTTTAATTAATCCTCTCAGCACTTTGGTGATTGAGATCTATATAATTTCAACAGGTCACAAATATACAGGGTGTCTCAAAAAAAGCGGCCGCTATTGATTCACCTATTGTCAGAATTTGAATGGCACAACACTATAACTCTATAAGTGTTCCAGAGTGTTCCTAAAAATAACGGTGCCTAGCACTAAGCTGAACGCGAACCGGCGTTGAGATTCATGTGTAAAGCGCCCGAATAACGAATTGAGGCTTTTGGGAATCTAAAGTAGCTTCGTGAATAATATAATAATAACCTTGCGAAAATTAGGGCCTGTTTACATGGAGCGAGTTATTTTGGTTAGGCGAGGTGAAAACTGCATATAATGAAAGACTAATGAGGTTTTAAGCCTTTGATGTGATGCGCTTTTTACCTCGCCCAGCCGGGATAACTCGCTCCATGTAAACAGGCCCTTAATCCTATGACCAGTTCGGGAGAAAATGGCTCCATGCACTGGCACTGATCACGGAAGAACGAGTTTTTGTTTTTAAAAATTATGCGCGCTAAGTCCAACTGCAGTGCGAAACGCTGAAACAATCTGTCTATTGGGTTCAAGCCATTCAAAGTTCAAACAATATGTGATTTCAGCATGCAGCGTGTATTTTCACGGACATTCTTGAACACTTATTGAAGTGCTATATGCTATTGAAATTCTAACTACAGGTGAATTCAATAGCGTCCGCTTTTTTGAGACACCCTGTATAGATTCAATTTGTATTAATGCCTATAATACCCTTTCAAATATTCCTTTCCTTTTTTTTCAAATACTGTCATCAACATAACGGCTGTAGAAGAAAGGATTTTTACCGCTGTATTATTAATCCAATTTCTCTGGCTATCTTTAAAAGGGGGAACGGGGAATGGGGGAACGGGGAATCGGGGAACGGGGAATGGGGGAATATCGGGGAATAACGGGGAATAACGGGGAATATCGGGGAATATCGGGGAATGGGGGAATAACGGGGAATATCGGGGAATAACGGGGAATATCGGGGAATATCGGGGAATATTAGATTCACCCAGCAAATTTTTAACAGTTAATCATAATGCATTATCTAGTCATAAAATTAGGAAATGTTTAGGACGGAGGACCTAAATATTTGCAGAAGAATCGGTCATAAAAAGTTTCAAAAGGATAATTTTCGATTGAAACTTTTAAAGTTTCTGCGTTTGACACTAACTATGGTGTAACTTCATTAAATACCAGTACCTAAAAGAACATAACGTAACATAACATAACATAACATTTGCATTTTTTCATGCATTAACACAACCTAAGTTATCAAACCTAATAATCAATGTCAATAGTCGATACAAATACTTATATTCATTTTCAAAACATATATTTCTTAAGGTTTCACGGTTCAGTTATTAACGTCTAAACCAAACTCATTAGTAAGTCTCTCAATATGCTCCGATCGAAAATAACGTGCGAAATAAAAAGTAAAGTAATAAAGTTTTTCGTCTCAGACGGAAATCCGTCTACTAGTACTAAAATAAATTCTGCTGATATGTGGATATATGAAAACCAGGCTTTGGGACCGAAGTTGTAAGTGGGAATTTGAATTCCCGTCTGCGTCGAGTTTTTCCCGATATTTAGGTCCTCCGTCCTAAATATTTCCTAATTTTATGACCAGATAATGCATTATTTATTAGTAGGTTGTGATACTTTGATATGTTGTATTATTGGACTGCGGTAGAAAAAGTCTAACATTATTCTTTTTAAACACGCCATGCTACTTTTACATTGGGATGATTAATTGTTAAAAATTTGCTGTGTGAATCTAATATTCCCCGATATTCCCCGTTATTCCTTCATTCCCCGATATTCCCCGATATTCCCCGATATTCCCCGTTATTCCCCGTTATTCCCCGTTATTCCCCCATTCCCCGATATTCCCCGATATTCCCCGATTCCCCGTTCCCCCGTTCCCCCATTCCCCGTTCCCCCTTTTAAAGATAGCCAATTTCTCTCATGGTATAGCCCATGAAAAGATTAGCCAGAACCAGAACAAAAGGAGAGTCTATTGCGGCATTGCCACACCATAAATTTGGTGGTAAAATCATGCAGCCATCGAAAAGAAAATGGGTTTGCGATGTAGCTATAATAAATAAATGTGTGAGGTGTTTTAGTCGCCCTAAATAAAACAGATAAAAAGGCTATGACAGGACTCTGAAATGATCATTTTCGAGGATATAGAGAAATCAAATTTCAAAAATTTTCCCCTAATCCTATATAAGCACATTCCACGCTCAAGTATATTTCATTGGAGGCATAGCTGAGCATGCTCCCTCGTGCTTCGACTTGCATCTTTTACCACTCGTCGGATGCAGATATTCTTTCTCCACTTCTCAAATTATACGTTTGTACCTCTAAGCAGGTAAAATATACGTCTTATTATTAATACTAGGCTAACATAATCAAAACAATATAAAAGTCAGTCTCAGAACGTAGGACATGGACCCACAAGAATATACGTGTCGAAGTACCTCTTCCCCGGATACGATATTTTCTGGCTATGTTTTTGTGGACTTGTGAGAAATTTTGCGGCGCAGTGCAAATGCCCAGTATTCTAATATTATTGATTATTCTTAGATAACTGCAGCCAATGGTGATCGAGCATTGACATTGCTGGTAGCAGTAATAGCAACCATTATATCAGTTTTTACAGTTCCTATTATGGCGACATGGCTGATACCTGCACTTCGGGCTGCTAGTGTTAGTTTCCTCACCATATTGCCCAGAGTTGTGCTGTACATTCTCCTACCTTTAATTGTAAGTATAACCACTATAATCATATATATAATGTCGGTATCAAAGCACGACCATGCACACTGGTCTGAACAGATGAGGAGTTCTGACTTTTCAAGGGGGATTGGACTTTAACCCGTATACACCGAAAATTGCCCATCCTTTGCTTTGTTCGTTACGTCCCAATTATTGCATGTAAGGACACGCACGTCACGTAGAACGACGGCAAAATTGAGTGGGTTTTTTCCAAAAGAAACCGTCCGACTTCACGACAGCAGTATGTACGAACAGTTAACGTTGTTCTCTTTGGGAATAAAAACGCACATGCATCACTCGTGCAAGATGGTGAACTTTATACTTAACTGAACTTTGAGCTTTAAACCGTTTAATCATAGACAATCCAGAATATGTCTTCTGGATTGTCTATGGTTTAATATATGCGAGTGGAAATCGCAATTAGGTCGACAGGTCGTAATTAATATTTTAGTGGATCAACAGGGCCCAAAAGTTAACGATTGACGGTGCCCACAATGGTTGCGTTACGCCACTGGCTGATTTGAATCCCTAGGGTCGACTAGCCCTAAACCGATAAAAGTGGGTCAACGTGACTATGAAATTTAGTATTTTGTTTCCATGACCCCCTTCCCTCATGTATGTATTTTTCTGTTTACTCTCTAATATTTTACATCATGGATCCATAGCATTATAGATTTGGCACTTAATTTAGTCTTTACCCCTTTACCACATTTTACCACTTTAACGTTTCATAATCAACAACAGCAAATTAGAAATGATTGATAATATAAATGGCATATCCACCATTTCAGGCTGGACGACTTCTAAGATTCATTGGATTGGTGAAGAAGTTTGTTGTTAAAGTAAATACGTCTCTGAAATTTGTCACGTCGGGGGCTCTTCTTGTTATGTTTTGGGTGAAGATTAGTCAAGCGACGGCTAAAGGGGACCTTCAAGATTTTTCACCTCGAATGATTTTGGCTGTGACAGCTCTCGGGACAGCTGTTATTACGTCATTTCTCGTTATGACCCTGGTATTATCTTCTCTACTAAGGCTATCTAAGAAGTCAATCCTGGCTGTTACCATACTTTCATCAGCAAGGAATTCAAGTATAGCTATTGCTGTGATTGAGAACTTACCAGTTAGTGTTGGAGACAAAGATCTTATGTTTTTTCCTATAATATTTGTCTATCTTGCAATGATTGTCATCATAAATAGCTTTGGTTATTTTATGACAATCAAGAAAGAGGAAAATGACATTGAGCAAGAAAACGAAATGCCTGAAAGTAAACCACTGGATACAGTAAATCATGATAAAAGTGATAAACACCCCAAGGGAAAGTTAGCTACGCTAGAACAAAATAAGTTGTCAAACTCTAGTGACAAACTCGCTTTACTTGTAAATCCGTTGGAACATGCAAATAACTTCGCAAGCCATACCAAATGTAAGCGCGATACATTGACGAACACACAGCATCTTACAGTTGTATGAGTATATAGAAACATATCTACCAAGTGCACCTTTAATTGTAATGCATTAAACAAACACTGATCGCAAAGCACAGTAATAGAAAGCTACCAAATTATGAAAACCAGCAGTAGACTGGACCGGTAGGGTGAAAACCGTGGGGAGAGGGGATTATATAAGTGGAAAATGCGGGCTAAGTGGAAATACAGGACATATATAAATGGAGTACATATACAAATTACAGGCTGTCAACGGATAAAATTGGCTTTGGCGTATTTTCAATTCACTCGCTTTGCACTCCCCATTACATGCACCCGCATCTGTAATATGTGTTTCCACCGAACCGAACCGACCGGACATTTATATTTAAATATTACAGCATTATGGCAATCTACATAGTAACTACAGCTAACCAGGTGTGTTTGTTAACTAGTTCAGTAGTCCCTCGAAGGGACAATAACACTCCCTAATTAAAAATCTGACAGGGGAGTTCTGCGTAACCGAATAAAATTATAGGTCGGTTGTGTAAAATTTTTAAAACGGGGTTACAGCGGCGTCCGCGCTTCGGTTCTGCTCATAACGATTATTAAGTAGGTTAATTGTTGCTCGAATTTGGATATTTTCTATTTTTCTGAACATGAAACCTAGCTCAAATTTACAAACGTAGTTTTATAGCAATGCGATGATATAGCAATACAAGATTTAAACTAGGCGTTTGTTTCATGACTGTACCCAAACTTTAACAACATTCTTAACACCACAGTAAAACGTTACGCGCAGCCGCGAGGTAAATTTAGAAAACTGCGCAATTAAGGTAGAGAATTCGTGAGTATTTTTTGGGCTAGAAGAATGTTTCCCCCTCGCTTTCTTTCAGTTACTAATTGTTTTAACAAGACGATCGTTAAATTATTTCTCCACTTTCTAACGGCTGTTGTTGACACGGCCAAAGGTGTGTAAAAAAGGGAATCAGTGAATCACTAGCGACTAAAATAGTGAAAAGTACAATAGCAGGGATTACAAAATAAATAAGACCTGGGGCCAGTTGTATTGTTAACTTTTAACTTCATGTAGTTAAGGAAAAATTGGCCAACCAGAGAGTCGTGTATTTCTGAGTTAACTAGTATGTAACTATGCAAAATGTAGTTAGAGCGTTTTATACAAGCAGCCCCAGGCGAGGTTACATTACTTCGCGCATGCGCAAATGTTCGACCGTGGTGTTATGAGATGTGCGTGCATTCTCGTAAATCTCGAGATGGGTATGCATGAAACAATGGAATATAATTCTTTAAAATTGACTATTAATATATTTCTTTAAAATTAATTCTTTAAAATTAACCATTAATCTCTTTAAAATTGACCATTAATTAACCATCGTAAAGTCAATTCACGTTAGATTTTCTCTTTAGTGCTCTAATTTCACTATTATTCAGTTAAAGATCTTCCATTCATTGTATAATCAAAAATGTACTTAGCAAATATTTAAATGTTCTTTCACTCTAGCTACACGACGTATAATTTCTATTTTGATCTATGGTGAAAATCTAAAATTACTGATAAAATACTTAAGGCCCTGTTACACGGTGCAATTTTTCTTGCAACTTGCAATGCAATTCTACTTGCAGAAGAAAAGTGCATGAGGTGTATAAACACAAAGTTTCGTTGTTCCCAAATTTACATCTCTCAAAAGTAGAATTGCATGGCAAGTTGCAAGAAAAATTGCACCGTGTAACAGAGCCTTAATTTAATTAAGGTCTGTTCGCACGATCCAATTTTGTTGGATCCAATGTAGTCTGTTATTGAAAAAGCAGTACTGCATTGGCTTCAGTGCATTTGCTGCTCATAAACATCAAAAGACAACAGACTATCCTGACAAAACATCCATCAGAAGTGAATTGGATCCAACAAATTGGATCGTGTGAACAGACCTTAAAATTGCTCACCCAATCAAGTCCAAAGCATTACATGCAGACATAGCTGCACTAGCTACCGCTTCTTCTTTTGTCGCCTGTGGTACCAAACTTTCGAATAGAACAACAACATAGAAACATAGCTCCCCTAAGAAATTTCCTGCATCTCCTTTAACACAATACTCCAGTTTAGAGCCCCCATCTTGTGACTGTAAAAAGAGATTAAGCGTACATTTTGCATTTTCCTGACGCAGGTTGATTCTCTTTTCCTCTTCCAAGAGTTTCACAGCTTGTTCTGCCAACCACAATTCTACATCCTTCTTTTTTGGTTTCGTATCATTACAAAAGAATTCATACTTCTTTTTCACCTTAACTTCTGCAATGTATTCGTCATTATCTGCAGTTTCTTTATAATCAGGGAATGCTGGAAAAAATCCCCAAGATCTTTGTGATATTCGTTCAACAACTGCTCAGATCCGGCATCAGGTTTACTATTTCGTCCTTCAAGGGTGGCTAATGCAATTTCAGCGACATGTTTTTCAGCTTCCCTGGATTTTGCGTACGATTGCTTTCCTTTGAAACATCGTTTTCCCACGAAAACTTTGCTTATATACATTTTCGTTGAAGGATCTTGCTTGGTTGTATATCGGATGCCTTGGTCAAATTTTCGCTTTCGGATATATTCCTGAAGGGCATTTTTAAAATTTGATTTTTGTGGTGGTATGGGCATCTGTTGGACATCCGATTCTCTGGGTGTTGTATTGTTCTTGGTTTGAACATTCAAATTCTCCAAATATTCGGTTATTTCCGGCGGGGAAGCATCCGGGCCTTCAGCAGAGGGAGGAGGTTCTTTTTCACTTTCTTTGGTTAAAACCTTCAGCATGGTTGTTTCTACGGAATCAAAAGTATTTTTCTGCATTCGTTTTGGGGGAATTGTCGGCCGACAATCCATCAAAATATTTCATTGCCTCCTTTGCCGCCATTTCTTTTGATTTTTTTTTGTTGGGCTGATTTTCAACACACTCGAACGTTTTGCCACATACTTTGACTTTACTTCGAAATTCTGTACCTAAAATTTCCTCGTATTCCGGGGTCTCTCCCATTCTCTGAGCATATTCATTTAACATACTTTTGTATGTCTTCCCACCAGGTCTATCAACCGGAGAAAAATTTGTGCTGCTCGTAGGCGTTTCTGTACTAGTTTTTTCGTCTGTCGAAAATGATTGAGGCGGCGCACTACAATCAACCTCATCAGAAATACGTTCTACCGAAGGTACTTTCTCCTTCTCCATATCCACAGATCTACATTAAAAAATCAAAATATCGTAAAATACAAAGCACTGCATCCAGTCTTCCTCAAAATGACTCTTACTGCTGTAAGTTCATATACCAGGACAAATAATGATTCATATTGAAATGAGATCAGAGTGGGCATGCTCTCATTTATTTAAGTTTAAAGTTGTATTTATAGTTTATTTATAGAGGTTTAACGGGCGACTTTATCACGTCTATCACATTAATTTCACGTGACTTTTTTGCTACTTGCTAGTGTACCATGCGTATGGCATATATGTATAGGTAAAGAATCACGTATTTTCTGGTTTGATTGACTGGGTGGAAAGCAAGGCGAACGGAAACAGCCAAAAGCCTGATGCATGTCAAGACGGTACACAGAAAAATATTACTCTTCCTCTTGTTACCTTGACACATTTCTTGGTACAGCTTCAACCAACTGAAGAGCCATGCAAGCTATGGTTGCTGCTGATTCTTTTGCATCTGCTATGCTGTTTTCGCTTGTTGGACTTTCATAAACTTCCCCAAATACTGTCACCTTACAAAGAAACTTTCCATCTTGATCCCCTTCGCTTCTTGATATCTGCACTCTCAAGACCCTTTTTGACTTTCTGTACATGTTCATTAAGAATCACTCTAAATGACTTTGATGTGTTTTTTTTTAAATTCATCTCTTTTCCATTTGTGTCACCTTGACTTGGCACGGGAAGAGAAGGGTTGCCTGAACTAAGCTCTGGCTTTTCTTCTTCACTAAAAAAAAGTTCACAAGTGTTGTTTGATAATTAACAAGAAATATGTTATTTGAAGGCTGTCAGCCTCCCTATGCTAGCTGCTGTCTTATGAATTTATCAACCATTAAAATTGGCACATTTTAGCCTAGGAATTGTGGAGAAAGGTAGAAGAAAATTCTAAATATGCCTTCAGGCACTCTCATTTTTGCTGAACTTGGTGCCATAAGGCACTTTCATCTTGGCATTTCTATCAACCACTAATTTGCCGACAACTTTTTTACAGTTACTACCATGTACATACCTGTCTAAAACAGCTAAAACAAATTTGGCTGCTTTCTGTTGAGCATCAACCTTCCTACTCTGTGGAACAACCTCTGGGGAATACCATTTACCATCATACATTACTTCAGAAATAAACCCAGCATCTTTCGTCTGGTTGTTATAAATAGGGTTTAGAATCTTCTTCTTCTGGGCTCTTTCTTGTAACAAGTTTTTATAGTTCAATTTATCTTTTGGTTCAGGTATCTCACTACTCATACCCGGCTGTTGTTCAGTTAACACAGATATATTTTTATTACTTAAAAGTTCTGAATCTTCATTCCCTAGAGTCCTCAATGCCTCCTCTGCAGCACTTTGATCTGCTTCCTTCTTTGATTGCTTTGGTTCCTTTGCTTTGAATTTTCTTTCACCAACAAAAACTGTACTAATATATTTACCACCTTCAACTTCATAGCTATATCTTGGTGGGTCAAGTTTCCTCTTCTGCGCATAACTTTGTAAGGCATTTTTGTAAAATGACTTCATCTCAGAATGTTCAAGTGCTGAACATGCATTACTTGAAAGGGGATTTGAAAAAGCTTCACCATTAGCAAGTTTTAAAAGTGACTGAACTTGACCTTTGAGCTCACCCAAGGTGACATGGACCTCTTGAAATTGGGCAGCAGAATCTTGCTTCATCTTTTCAATCTCATTATTAATTTTTTTTATTTCTTTGTCAAATTTTCTTTCCAGATCCTTGTTTCCTTTGATCAATTCAACAAGTTTCTCATATAATAATTTCATGCTTTCATCAACCTCTCCGGATTCAACGGCAAATGCATGAGCTTCCAATGCTGCCCGGATGCACTCACTTTCATCTACTGGCTTCAGCTCAAGCTCACTATTTCTCAATGATTTGATCAGTTCTACCTTTTCTTGGCACATTTGCAAATGCTTCAATTCCTTATCATCTTCAAGAAGGGCAATCACTGTATCTATCATGTCCTGCATTTCTGCATCAGTGAATGACATTGTTGCACAATGCATCAGCTTATTCCGAACATTTCTAACATTTTTGGGTAATAAATTATTATTATCCTTAAAATGTTTAAGTTTGAATTCCTTACAATTTACAAGTACATTCAACAATCCGGAAAGGTCAGTCTTAGCAGGCCCTGTATTGGCAGCTGCATTAGTTTTGTTCCCTTGGTCATTCATAAAACATTTTGCAATTTCCCAATGAGTATTGTGCCATATTTGTGGGTTAGCATTCTTCCAAATCAGCTGTCCGTCACATTTTTTCGTCTTGATTTCGGCCACCCATTGTATACAGCTGGCACAAATTGGCGGCTTTCCTTTTTTCGTATTACAAATGGGGGTCTTGGTACATTCTCCTGTGCCTAATTTACTTTTAATATCATTATGAACGTCTACAATGACTTTTTCAGTGAAGTCATGTAGAGCTTCCTTTGATTCAATCAAGGCACGAGATACTTTCAACCAGTTCTTATATCCCGAGTTGTTTAAACGTTTCTTTAACTCCTCATCTTCCATTTCGTATTTTCGACTGAGTTTAATCTGATTTAAAAAAACGATCGAAGAAAACGTCAGACGTTTGATATCTCTAAAGGTTCTCCTCTATCGTTTTCACTTTTGATTCCAGGAAACGAATATTGTAATCCAGGAATAAACAAACGACATGTCGCTGTCCTTAGTTATCCTCTAGTATCCAACATGCAAGAAAATTTGGAATTTTTGATTTTTCACAAAATATGAGCTTTCTCCGTGAGTCCGTAAATTTCTCCGCAGGCCGAGGCATCTCTAATTATTTTCAGATCTCTAGGCTAAATATGACACGTTATATATACGTTAGCACATTACAGGCTAGCCTCCTCCGCAGGCATCACTAACGTCCGTTATTGAAAAATGTTTATGTTGACTTATGTCAGTGGGTCAATAAATTGCTTGATAATCAGATAGTACCATCAGAAATGCCTGCGAACTGCGAAGAAGAGAATACAAAGGAGTATCTGTCTGCGATGACGTTAACAGTAATTAACACAAAGGTGACAAAGGAAAGCCTTATTTATTATTGCGCATTGCGCACGAAGGCAGTTAGACAGAAGGGTTTTTCTCAAGTCTGACTCCCTAGCAGAAGGGAACAGGGAACTGAAATACTACTACTTCTAGTACTACGAGATTAGGTCTCTTCTCCAAACTTCAGTCTGAGGAATGGCTTACGTATCGATCGTAGCATTGCACGCCACACCCTCGTCTATCTGCAGCAAGCTGTATCATTTCATCTACTGTTATATTATCATTTAAATACTGGGAACTGAAATACAAACAAAAAAATTTTCCTTTGTCTTTTAGTCACTCAGTTCGGATTTCGGAATTTAATTTTATCAGTGATTTTAAAAACGGACTGCTGGCTGGCATAGTGGCATAAACGTTCTATTTTCTTGGGTTTGCTGTGGCGTGCCACGTTGCTGGAAATCTGGAATTTGAGGCTTACAGCGCATGGCAGTAAATGAAAAGCGAGCCCACAGACTTTCCACAAGTTTAGCAATTCTACTTTGGAATCTTGTCTGTTTCTGCTGCGAGAAATTCATCGATATGGGCGATTCTTTCTTCTTAAATTTTCATCTTGGATGATACAACCAAATTAAACAACTCCGGCAATATGTCTGGGACAGGGTTTCAAACGGAGAGCTTAATACCGCCTCAAACGTACGATACAGTGCAAGGTAAACGTCGCGACTCCCCTTTACTACAAGGACAAAACGAGACTAGTACTAACCGATCTGGACCAAATTCTCCGATGAATCAAGGCAATATTCAACCTCCAATGAACATGAAAGGCATATCACAAGGTAATATATAGAATTTGCTTTGTGTCATTTTTTCTCTTGGGTTTTTTTGATGCGTTTAACGGAGTTTTTACGAATATTCTCGACGTTCGAAATACTGACAACAAATACAGATTGCATAAAATATGTGGTTTTTGTTGAGATTTAGAAATATATTGGTTTAAATCATAACTGTGTGCGAGCGCGTGATCTTATCCATTTTGTGTTTTCGTTTTCCATAGGAAATTGTTTTTTTGTTATTATTTAGGATGCGTACTTTCCCCTGATAAAAATTTTACATTTTGATAATATATTATTAGGAACTTAAAATATTAAAGCTCAAATGTAGCATTTATAGTATTTAAGTCACAATGACACGTATAGAATATTTCCATAGCATTATATTGCACATAATTATATTTTTCATTTAAAACATTCACTAGGCAATATCAATTTATATATTGTTATAACCTGGAAGTTAAAGGATGAAATTATCATGGTATTGAAAATTAAATTTCAATTGAATTTTATCAATCAAATTCAATAGAGTGTGTGATTACTGTGATAGTAGTAGCATATTTTCATTTGTGAAAATACAAGTTGTGTGATCAAACTATGAAACAGTTTTGACTATCTCTTGTTTGAATCATGTATTTTATTCCCAAGAGGTCTAATGTACAATAAAAGAATACAGTATTTTAATAAAAACAGTGATTCTAAATGAGAGGTCCTTTGTTTTCTAACATATTAGCCTGGCCAGCTTTAATTAAAACAGAAGATGAACTACCATTAGACTACAACAAAAGGGTCACAAGACATTATTCAAAAAATAGAAATAGAGTTACAAGGGGTGGATGAAAAAGTAACCAAGCAACAATCGACAATAACAAGCATAATGATTTTGTTTCCTCATGTTTCACTCTTTTTTATCCCATCAAGTTTTAATAATCCACAAAACATTATACGAATTCATCAATTTTATTAAAATTGATTTTTCAGGTGGAATGGAGTTTGCCCCTAAAAGTGTTTAAGAAGTATAAATTGTATTTCTAAATATAGTCTGATAATTATGTATTTTTTTTCGAAATTTCTTTCATCAAAGGGTTTTAAAAAGCAGATGATGGTTGTTATCAGGTCCCAGTGGCAAAATAATTTTATATAAATTAAATCCACTATTTTCAGGTGGAATGCAGTCTCCTGGGTATGCTGGGTTTCACAATGGTCCTTCTAATGGTTTGTCTGTTCAGCCATCGTTACAGACTAACCCACAGTCAAGGGTGATGAGTTCAATTCATTCTAGATCAGCCAGTTCAACACCACCATTGCAATCAGCCTTGACAAACCAACCAGCTAGACCAGGGTCTGCCCCACCACCATCCACTGGCCCTAGATTATCCAGTCCTATCCATCCATCAACACAGGGCTATGTAGGTCATTCATCACCACCAACTCCCAGTGGGCATGTGTCACCATCTAACCTAACTGCTACTGCAAATCAAAGACCTGTTCAACATGCTGGGCACCATGCATCACTTTCAGGACCTTCAATTCAACCAGTTTCACCACAAATCGGGCAGCCACCCAATTCTTTGGCAACAGGAGTTAGTCCAATGCAAAACATTGGCACAAGCCTAAATTCAGGACCGCCTCGTATGGCAGGAACAACTCACTCTGTAAGGCCATCACCATGGCAAGCTTCGATGGCAGGAAGACAACCTGGGGTGGTTTCACCATCTGGCACCTCTGGTGGTTTAGGAGGACCACTCCATCGTACTGCAGGACCACCCGTTCTTCCAACAGGACCACCAACAGGACCACCAACAAGTATGGCAAGGCAAACTAGTTTGACTGGCCCACCAACATCACAAACAGGTTTTACTGGGCCACCAACAAGTATGGCAAGACCAACTAGTTTGACTGGCCCACCAACATCACAAACAGGTTTTACAGGACCACCAACAAGGCATCCATCCAGTTTGCCTGCCACACCTACTGGTCAGATGATGGGGTCTACAGGTCAGCCATTGATGCCACCAATAGTTCAACCCCCATTAGCTGGTCAAGGTAGGTTGGAAATAATTTCTATTGGATTTCGAAAAGTATTTAGAAGTAGACTTTGGAACAAAGTATTGGACTAACTTTGGACTTGAACTTTGATTTCACCTTTTCTGAAAAAAATGAATACTATAAGTACAACTAATTGCTACAATTTGCAATGAACCTTATTTTAGTGTGTGTTAAAAGTCTTTTGCACATTATGGTTGGTTGTAAAGAATACAACAGCATTGTATATGGTTTTCCATTAACATGCAGTGAAATAATTTTTTTCCAGTTTGCAACTTTGCAGCCAACTTGTCTGTTGCCTCCTATTACTTTACCAAACAAATATATATTTTATTTCATTCAGGACCGCCAACATTGTCCAATCAAACTGGTTCTATAACTGCTTCAAAGAGAAGAGTTTATCCAACTCAGGTATTAAAACACAGTCACTCCTGATTCAATGCAAAATTGTTTTAAAATTTTCCTCTCAGTGATAAATATATTGCTCTAAGAAACTCTCCCTCCCGGTTCAGTACGTGGTTTGTCTCTACAATATTCAAATTCTCTCATTTTTTCTCGGTGATTCTCTGATCACACATGTAACAATGCTATTCTATTTTGTTACATGTAAAATATGAATCCTGAAGGAAAAGCAATATCATGTGTGTGAGCAGAGAATCGCCCTGCTACCAACTTTCTAAGAAAGTGAAGAGCATGTAGTTAAACAAGCGAAAATATTTCAACAACTTTTCAATGACTACTGAAAACCATTGACGCTCTATCAACTGACCAGACTGTCATTTTCAAGACTGGCAATACACTGGATTTTTTTTAATACAAGATCAACATTAGTATCATCCTGTAGACTGACCAAGCTCTAAAACTTGTTTACATAATATTTTATTTTTGTGGATTAACCACATAGCTATGTACTGGAATTAATTTTGCTTGTTTTTTAGTCCTACGGAAACACGTACCCAACCCAGGGGTTTCCTGGTACATCATCACCTGCCCCGTCTACTCCTACTGGACCTTATGGTTCTCAAACGGCTCCCCAATCACCAGGCGCAGTGCCTAATATGGTGGTAAGTAATATAGAAATATATAAGTTTAATATTAAATGAAAGATGTTTATATGAATGGTGTGGTATGACCTCGATCTCCATACGTGTACTTACGAGTTACGACTGATTAAGATTTGATGTTTGCTAAAGAACCACGTATTGCAGACTCAAGCTAAAAATGTTGTAGATATTGTTGTCTGTTTGCAGACATCCTAACATTTAGAACAATATAACATAGTATGGCAAAACATAAAAGTTCTACAGGCGAAAGCTCTTATATATTGATGAAAACATGAAATATTTCGAACATGTACGCACCCTGCTGATGAACGTGTAACTACTGTATGCATTAGGGTGCTAATACAACGACGTATGGAAGCAACCAATATGGAAGCAACCAATATGGAAGCAACCAATATGGAAGCACCCAGGGAAACCAACTTCAAACTCAAATGGGAAAGTTATCAGTTCAGGTAAAAATAATTATATATAAGGATTTTTGGCTGCATTTGTCATCTCTTTATATCTTTGTTTTACCTAAATTATTGTGGGCAAAGTAACATGTATGGTGATTACGTTTCAACTTTTTGTCTAAAACAAGCTAATCGGAACTGTTTTAAGCCTGCATTTATCCCCTTTGTTTTGATATTGCCAGAAATATCAGAAATACGGAATCTCCAAATATACCAATTTTGGTTTAATGTTCGTTCATTGACATTCGTTCATTTCTCACCAGCAAAGTGACTGTCAACCTGTGAATATCCTCGACGGACGCAATATGCTGCCACCACAGAAGGATGATATGAATTTATCTCTACCACCGGTAAGAGCAGCATGCAATGCAGTGGTTCGTATTTCCACAATCACACCTCTGTACATGTGTTTCAGAAGCCTTATGGCTTTGGTTTTTGTGGGAAGGAAAGCGAGTTCAACATGTGCATGAATAGTTGAATGTTTTGGCATTGCAATGTTATATAGGCACTTCTGTATTATATGATACTTGTTTCATTACTCTGTATAATTTTCAGGATTTGCAGAAGAAAAATGCTAGACCAAGGTTAGCTCATTGAACTTTGTCTTTAATGTGTCAACAGTGTATCATGTATCTTTTAACAAATAGATTACAATGAACCGTTGTCTGTTCAGTTATAGATACACGGTATGACGTCATATGTGATAAGAACAAAAAAAGTGGCCACGAGCCGCCGGGGCGAGTGGTCACTCTTTTGTTCTTATCACATATGGCGTCATACCGTGTATCTATAACTGAACAGACAACTGTATTATATACGTATGTCACACTAGTTCCCTGTGTTTCTACATTAGAATCCCATGTTCATAAAAATCGAGTTGTTCTTAGAAAAAAGTTTTCGTAGGTGCTAAATTTAGATAAGGGCTTCTTTGATTATAGTTGAATATGTCACCACAAAGACTCAGTAAAAATTCAATAAAATTGGTCATTTGCACTCGTTCCAAAGAACACGAGAACACGCTTTCATCAGGACTAAACTAGCCTAAAATTAACACTGGTGTGCTAAATACCACTCCCTTTTTTCCTTCTCAGTATCCTAAGCTGCACACTAAGTAGCGTTCCTGAGAACGAATCACTTCTGAAAAAGTGCAAACTGCCATTTGGAATACTCGTCCATCCTTTTAAAGACCTCTCGGTACGTATGTTTATATCATACTCAAAAGCATCGGTCAGTTGGAGGTGTTACGCCTCCAAGGAAACAGGGATATAAATGTATGGTCAGGTACTCCTGTCTATCCCGTAAATGCCCCTATTGCATATATTTTGGCGATAATTAAACCGATCATTTGTTTTTGATATAGAATCTCCCGGTGATCCAGTCGAACACCATAGTACGATGTCGTTCTTGTAGAACATATATTAATCCTTTTGTGACGTTTACGGAGACAAGGCGATGGAAATGTAATATGTGTTACCGAGTCAACGAAGGTTAGTTGCATGGGGCGACATACTGTAAATTATCAGGAAGTTCGTTTTGCATATTTCTTACGATGCTTGAGAGGAAATTCAGTTACTCAAGTTGTTTTCTGTATCCGTATTAGTTCCTGAAGAATTTTGTTATGATCCAACAACAAAGTCCTATGGAGAACCAACGAGAAGGCCTGAAATAAAGTCAGCGACATACGAATTCATAGCTCCTTCGGAGTATATGGTAGGTCCGACGACGTTGTCCTTGACATAATTCGAGGGAACTAGTACCGGTAGGGTGTAGTATATAACATAATACACTAGTTTATATATGGGTTAATATTGCATTGCTCTGTTTTGAATTGTACTGGATTGGACTTCATTGCTCAGCAGTCATTGCTCAGTTAATGCAATATGTACAATTCACGCGTGTGTTTCCTTCTTTCTTCAGCTAAGGGCTCCTCAACCAGCTGCCTATATTTTCGCGTTCGATGTGTCGTTCAATGCTATAGAAACAGGTAACATTAAAATGGTCTCACTCTTATTGCAGGAAGTGTACTGTAAACATTTTTCGCGACGTTTTCGATCCATAAATGGCGAATTCCATCTGCAGGTCTACAGATCCATAATCTATTGATAGAAAGCTTCTGCTTGATTTTTATTTGTATATATCATCAGTTTGGAATATTATCAGTTGCAGTCCAATACAATAATGTGTAAGCTATATACTGTAGGATTTCGGCGGTCCAAGGTAAACGATGGTTTTCTATCCTAGGATATCTGAAAATGGCCTGTAAAATAATAAAAGACAACCTGGATAAAATGCCTGGCGACTCAAGAACGCTGATAGGATTTTTGACATTCAACAAATCTGTTAATTTTTATAATCTTAGAGTAAGTATAAATTTATCAGTATGCACGAAACATGCGTATACCTCCAGTGCCTTGTACAGTACATGCAAGAAAATATAGGGTTATGATTCTAAAAATGAGTGATTGTGTCATTCGTATCTTGAGTCTAAATCTGTATTAATGTCTTCGATTTTTAGAATGATCAAAACCAACCCCATATGTTAATAGTTTCAGATATAGACGGTAGGTGAAAATATTCTTTATGCATCAAGCTATTATATGATATAGTCAAGTTACGCAAGTCAGAGTAGGCGTATGAATATAATTGAAATTTCCCTTATGATGCTTTTTTAGAATTTCGATCTGATACAAATACTTTTAGATTTAATAATTTGCGCATGTAAACGACATATTGTGTTCAAATTTCAGAGACACAACATTTTTCTACCAAAGATAGGAATCATTTACCGTTCAGATACAGGACTATTGTGATACGGCGCCGAAGTTAAAAGATGCCAATGCGTATCCGTCACACACTGTCTAAATCCCTAATTTTGATTTTACTGTAGATATTTTTCTACCCGCCCCGGAAGATTTACTGGTTAACTTAAAGGAAAGCAAAGAGGTGAGATTATTACCAAGTTACTAAATGTAAGTAGCTACGTTAGGCATAATCAATCTGCCATAGCGTATATACTTGCAGTAAAATCTTATAAATCAAAATTAAATAACATTCTATAAATCATCTCAGGTTCAATATCACATTTACACGCATAATATGAGATGAAGCATCGTTCTTTGAAGTCTCCTTTGTTCATTATAGTCATGCTTCTAATTTATCCACCGTTTATGCCCGTTCGTCCCGTTTGCCCTTAGGGCCTGTTTACATGAAGCGAGTTAACCCGGCGAGGTGAAAACTGCATATAACGAAAGACTAATCAGATTAAGCCTTTGATGTGATGCGCTTTTTACCTCGCCTAGCCGGGACTCCATGTAAACAAGTCCTTAGAGAGACACAATGTCATTTTCCAACCAAAATAGGATTTTCTTTGTCTTATTTCATCCCCAAATACTAATCCTCAAGATAGCTTCAATGTATTAATCTGGCCTTTTCAATTCTATTTTAGATGATCATACAATTCCTAGATAGCTTACCAGAGACCTTCGTGTCAACTCGCGATATTCATAGTGCGACTGGGGCTGCGATGGAAGCAGCTTTAAAACTTATGGTAAGTCGTAGTAGGATATGTAGTTTCACACGAGTACAATACTCTCTATAACTGTATTTCCTGATGATGACTAAATAAAGTCGAATCCTTACATTCGGAGTTACCGTTGTTGTGTGTTTAATGAAAATGCTCAGTGGTTCCCGTAACTATCTGTATATCATTAAATGGCAACCGTAATTTAAGTTTTCTAGTTCTAGGAATTCTTTGTCAAGAATTCTAAGAATTCTTTGTCACATTATAATTTTTCATCCTCCCTTGTGAATCACGACAGACACCCACAGGAGGGCGAATAACAATATTTCAAACAACGTTACCTTCTGCTGGACCTGGTTCTTTAGAGAACCGTGATGAACCGGGTGTTAAATCAAGTCCTAAGGTATTAAAGTTTGATTGTGTTGTTCAAAGAATATCTACTAGTTGTGGGTAGTAAGCTAACTGTAGCTTCTGTAACCACATTGTCATGTTTTGTAGCAATGCCTTCATACTACGAGCTTAAACCATGTATCCTAGAATTTGGTGTTTTCTATGACACTATATACGTACATGCAGCGATTATATAAACTGGCCCAAGCTAAGCTATCACTTTTAATTCATTCTGATTACTCGCCCATGCAGGTTTAATATCACGAGCGATGCTTGCAGGCATACATGCATGTTTTTAGCCCAAGTAAAGCTCTTTTTTTGACAGAACAAAAGGCGATGTTAATATGAGTTTTCAATACCATCAAGTAAACTACTGTCATATGATAATTATTCATATCATAATTATTTATGGTTTTTAGAATTGCGGGCTAAACGATATTTTATAAGTTAGTATGATTCCACCCCTACTTTAAACTATAAAACTTTTTCCACAGGACGCCGCCAAGTTAAATCCAGCTACGGACTTTTACAAGAAGTTGGCATTAGACTGTGCGGCAGATCAAGTGTCTGTGGACATATTTCAACTCTCCAGTCAATACGGCGACTGTTCATCTCTGAGTAAGTTCCATCTGCTTGTTCGCGATTTTGTACTTTGTAAAAGTAGCTGGACAAAAACAGTACTTCGTTATGAATAGAATAAGAATAATACTCGCATATACTATATGTGTTGTCGAAAGGCGTTAAGCTCAAACGGTTGATAAGTTCAAAATGGAAAACAAAATGATCTATATATTTAACAACTGAGCTTGTGAATGGAAGTAAATATTAAATGCATAAGATGCAGGTTTCACAAGATCTATGAGAGTATATTTAAAATGGCTGCACATTCGTCATCGTGAGAAAGGCTAATTCAGATTGCTACATTTCGCTATTTGGAGGGAGCTCTTCTGCAAGTGATAAATCCTCTTTGAATTGCGATGTTGATGCTGTGATATTTTTCTAGTGTGTGCTTCAAAGTACTCTGGAGGTTGTTTTTCATATTTTCCAAACTTCCACATTTCCAAGAATCGAGCTATGGTTGAGAAGTTTCAGAGCGACCTCACGTAAGACAGTATTCATTCAAACAACTTCTTTTCCTCGATTCATAATGGTTAAAATAACGTGTAACGAATTGCATGATTAAAAACAGCTTCATTGCTAGCCGTAACAACATTTTGATTTTTTGTTTCAATATCGTTTGTAGTCGATACTTAACGCGGAAGATTGGATTTGAAGCTGTTATGCGAGTGAGGTGCACCAAAGGTAATTTGAAATTCGGTTAGAGGTACATTGGGTTCCCGTTGCAACAATTACTTGAGCGAGAGCTTTGTAAATTTACCAAAGTGTGGCAGAATATATATTTCCTAATATCGTAGTAAAGTTTCAATGCCTACGTGTAACAGTAAAGGTCGATATCCTCAGGTTACGCTTGTGTACTCAAGCATACTCTTGTGTATTTTTTTTAAATATCGGTTACTATATATGAACGGTAATGAGATCAACTGGTTCCTTATTTGTTTCAAATTACTGTTTTTTAACCATCTACTATGAAAAATACAGATGGAGTTTTTAAAACTGTCAAAATAAACACAATTGTGTTGTTTTCGAGCATTTTCCATTTCCATTCACACAGGTCTCACCATTCACACTTTTCACGGCAACTTCTTCGTCCGTTCAACCGACCTGCTTTCACTGCCAAATGTTAATCCAGATTCAGCATTTGGTATGCAGATATCTATAGAAGACAATCTTTCTGATTCCGGTCTCGCGTGTTTCCAGTCGGCGTTGTTGTATACCAGTTCCAGAGGTAAAGTATTCAAACACGTGTGCTTGTTTTGAAAGAACGTTTTGTGATGCTATATTTCAAGCAATCAACTTTTTTCCCCTCAGTCAATTCGACTTTTATTCATACTTGTCCTGCATATGTAATAACTCTAAAACCTGCATGGTTCTCATATGTCACCGACGGTCGGCGATGGCTATTGTCGGTGATCACTGGAGAATAAAGTGCTTTGTTATTTTGAATAAATTTTCTTCGTCACCGGCCACAAACAATACATCGCCAACTGTCGGTGACATTGAGAACCAGGCTTAAACAATAAATCGGGGCGCGTACGCTTTAGGCAGGACGCACAATATATCTAAGGTTAAGAACGTTTCGCCCAATAGAATTTCTGTCTGCATGCATGACGTAATTTTTTTTCCAGGTGAACGGCGAATCAGAGTGCACAACTTGGCCTTACCTATCACTAAGAAAATGAGTGATGTCTACGCGGGTGCAAATGCCAGTGCTATTGCCTTGATGCTATCTAAGATGGGTAAGCTGGTTGAAGTACACGTCAATACATTCAATAGGGTCTATATAATGTAGTTATTGCTTGATATCATGTTCAAAGTTAACGAACTTGCTTCACTAATAGTCATAACGCAGTTAAAGCATATTGCTATTAACTATCGTCAATATCACCTACCTGACAATTTACGCAACCATCTAAAATATAATCGGACGCTGATACTTTTCAACGTCAAATCTTAGTTCTTCATAGATAGATCTGTTTGACAGAGGTTTGCCGGGTTTTTAAACCATATTTCTGTTGACTATATTAACGCTCACATGTATAACCCTCTGTATAATTTTTCACTTTCAGCTGTTGACAGAACGCTAACAGCCTCGCTTGGAGATGCGAGAGAGGTACGAATCACAGCTTCTTTTTTTGAAAATTTGCTTTTAGGAATCACAGCTCTCCTAAATTTAATAAAAGTTTAATAAGAAATTACATTATGTACCTATTGCTCTGATACAAAATGTCTAGACCTATCTGAACTATTAAACAGTCTATTACCTAGTTTTAAAAATTTTACAAAAAATTTGCTTTACAGGCTTTATTGAACGCAGTTGTGGATTGCCTCGGAGTGTACAAATCAGTTGTATCAGGTCGCACTGGTGAAATGATAGCGCCCAACTCCCTTAAATATTTGCCTCTTTATATACTATCTTTACTGAAACAGGTGTGTATGCGTAACGATCATCTCACATGGACATCACAATAACCGGAAGGGCACCACACGTATCTGGTATTCTTACCGTAAATTTTGCTTTCCTAGACTTCATTTCGACTTGGCTCTACGGCGAGTTTAGACATGAGATGTTACGAAATGCAGCAGTTTAAAGTGATGCCATTTGAAGTTGCATTGCTATCAATTTACCCAGCACTTTATTCCCTACACGATATGACAGATGAGGTAAAAATAAATCCCTTTACTTGTCTTTTGATCCTCAGCAATCACTCAAAGGAATTTTTTCCCTTTAATTCCAATCCCATTCTCTGAATCTCTTGATCCCTTTCCCGATTGCACATGCATTCCCTGACTCCCCGATCCCATTCTCTGATTCCTCCAACCCATTTATTCCTGGTTCCCGACTCCACCCCCTGACTCTGCACCCCATTCTTTGAATCTCTTGATCCCATTTCCCGATTACACATTTCGTGATTCCGCAATTTTCTCTCCCCAACTCCATACTCTGATTTTTTTAATCCGATTCCGGGATTGAACATTCTCTGATTCCCTATTCCATCCTCTAATTCTCTTAATCCCATTTTCCGATTGCACATTCGTTGATTTCCCATTCCATCCCATGAATCCCCCAGTGCCATTCCTGATTCTCCTAATCCCATTTCTCAATTGCCACCCCCCAATTTCCTGATTTCTGATACGTTCTCATCTTCAGGGTGCAATCTCGACAAAATCTGGTACTGTGCCACAACCATCTCGACTTATATTATCTGGGGAAAAGCTTTCGCGAGTCGGGATATTTCTGATGGATTGTGGACAGGTGAAGTTTAAGCAGTGCTCAGCTCAAACACAGCTTCGTATCTTAGTTTTGTGAAGGTGTTATGAGTCCAGGTGGTGTAAAAGCTAAATATTTTTGTCTTATACTGCATTTTACTAAAGGAATTTTATATCTGGGTTGGAAAGGAAGCTGCAAATGCAGATATCCAATGTCTCTTTGGAGTTGCGAATTTTGAGTCAATTCCGGAAGACATGGTGAGTAGATGATCATAGTTAACAGAAATTAGAGTCGGAAAAACTATACCGTTAAACAAAGTGATCAAAGATCTCGAAACAAGTGTGTTGGAGCTGTTCCCAGTCTATATGAAACGCCCTGTTATATAATCTTTTTCTAATTTTAGAACAGGTGATATCATTTTGAGAATTTTTTTTCTAAAACGTTATATTATGTCATTCTTCCATCTTTTTGTAGGGAACTCTGCCAATTCTCGACAATAGTTTATCGAGCAGAGTAAGAGCGTTAATTGACCACTTGCAATCGGAGAGAACAAATCATGCAAATTTGTACATTCTAAGGTGATGTATATTTTAGTACATAATGAGATTTCTACGCGCTGGATGTTGCATTTCCCATCATATGTATTATAGTCTTTTTTATGCTCAACTACTTTATTATATCTTGCAGGGACAATAGCAAACTACGAATGAAGTTTATAAATAAATTAATGAATGACAGAACAGAATCCATGATGTCATACCACGAATTTCTCATACACGTACAAGGACAAATTAATTGAATGGATCTAATAATGAACGCGGTTCTTATCGATTCCTAGTTCCACTGTCGAGCTGCTCAGTTGTGAGAAAGCAAACCCTGAACAGCATTTTTCGACTCGGGACGTTAGCAATTTCGACTTTCTGACTACATTTATTAGAAGGGAAATTTTACCTTGCAATGAAATGAAATGAGTTGGGATTGATCATTGATGGTGATCAAGATAACCCGCGTTAAAATACTATAAATTTGTATGGACGAAGAATGACTGTAATTATATCAGATTAAAATTAGCTTTATCGCGTCAGTGGCGGACTCTAACTCTCTAAAGGCGATTCTCCATTACGTCCGCTCCGCCTGCGCGGGCGAAGCGCGCTTTGTTTTTCAAGCGGGTCACGGTCGCATAGGCAGATTTTCAAAAGCCGCTTCGTCCGCGCAGGTGAGGCGGGCGGTAATGGAGAATTGCCTTAAGAGGGCGGGGCAAGTTTACGCTGGTTTTCATATTGTGTTTGGTTCAGTTGACAGTGTATGCTCACAATAAACATAACGTGAAGGTAGCACCACGCTTAAAGTATGTTTTATAACCATTGAGTCCGAAGTGCTCGATGTCTGTGACTCACACTCTTACTTGCATACCTGATAAGCCGCTAAAGATTAGCCGATTTTGCGATCGGTGTATACCATTGGGCCGTGGCACTGAACCGAGAACATTCGTTAGAGCAAAACGTTTTACGTACAAATTCAGCCTCGTCCCCGGCACGTTTTATATTAAAGCCCTGTTACACGGTACAATTTTCCCTGCAACTTGCAATGCAATTCTTCTTTTGAGAGATGTCAATTTGGTAACTTCCAAACTTCTGTCTTTATTACACTCCATGGCGTTTCTCCTTCGTACCTTCTCCGACTGATACTCACAATACTGGTGCAGATCCGCGGCCGGCAGCGGATCTGCACCACTTTTGCTCCTATCAGTCTTCGAAGGTCCTCGGAGAACTACATCTCCCCTTCAGGTAAGTACCCTCCGGGGAAATTTTATTTCTTACACTTACATTTTGCCAAAGACTCTTCATTAATTTACATCTCTTCAAAGTAGAATTGCATTGCAAGTTGCAAAAGCTTTCAGTGGAAAGCTGCCCTTAGAAGGCTTGGACTACTTCACTGGGCGGGGGGAACGCCTAGCAGAAGATGTGTCGAAAAGTGAGACATGCAGATTTGGCAATCTTTTTATACAATCTTGAAGAATAATAGTCGAAGAAATCAACAAGTCTTCAGAACGTGACCATCGAAGGTAAATTCTTTTATTTTCTACCTAATCTTTGATTTTAATATCTTGCCGTTGATAAAGTCGTATGAAATATGAATATTTCTATTATATATATCATAGGCAAAAATATTTTCGACACAAAATTCATTTCGACATAAAATTATGTACTAGTCTTTCCATTCCCTAAATCGCACATAAGACATCTTCGGATTCAATATTTCTTCGATCTAACGTTTCGCCATCTTGAAGCAATTCTGATTTCTGCAAGCATAGACAATCCAGAAGAAGACATGTCTTCTGATTGTCTATCCACAAAAAATTGCGAAATAACGAAAGGTTGACTCGTATCGCTGTAGGAAAGAGAGAGAGAGGCGATGACTAGGAATACCAGGCTATCAATTCCTGCTAGGGAAAGAGGGAGTGCAATCCCAAATGAAACCGACAAATTGTTAACGCGAAAATTTAGACGGAAGCAAAATCAAACCGTGTCCTAAATCCTGAACCTGATGATGCCAAATACGCCATTTTACAGTGTTAACACAATTTTTTTAATGCTATTGCACATACAGTCAGGTGTTGACAGCGACTAAAACCTTTGAAGATAACCAGGGTCAGTTTTCAGCCATTAAGTGCAATTTTCAGACCGACTTCACCAATGTTGAGACCGACAGCGTTATTTCACGGGAAGGGGGGGGGGGTTGGTGACACCCCACATTTACTCACTGAGAAACCTGTTCCATGAAGCCTTTTATTAAAGTTGTTTGCATTAAAAAAAAGCTAAAATAATTCGCCACTTCCGGTGGCTTCGAGTGCTTGTTAATTATTTTTATATTATTATATTTTGTATCGCGTTTGTATCATTATAGGCGCTTTCTAGTTTCACAACTCACAAGACTTTGTGGGGGCTGCTGAATGCTGAACGCAACGTAGTGAATTCCCTTCCGTCGTCTAAAAATGAAGGGTATACTAACAGTGGCTGGTGGAGCCTTTATTCATGTGGCGTTGGGCATATTGTTTACATTTGGTGAGTATTATAACCCTATTTTATATAATGCAGTAACCTATTTCGGCTAGGTATTTGTATAATGTGCGACCTCGTGAGATAATCTAGATCCCTAGGCCAATTCCGTCTATCATGTGTTGAAGAGCAAAATGACTGTCTGGTAGGTAAATTTGGCATGCGCAGGTATAAGTAATTTGCTAGCCATATCGGCGTTTGCAACGCGAAACCAAAAAAGTTTTATTGTTGAGTAACTTGACTTGGGTTATAGGCCAATCTTACGCGATTTTCAAAGGCCCTAAGCTGGAAAAAGCGATACTGTGCAACCGTATGTTTTACGGAATTACTAACAATAATGGCCTTTTGGAGGAATTGAAGGACCGTAGCCGCTTGACTAATTTTGCGTGTCTTTTCTTCATTGGCATAGTTAACCACTTCTTTTATCTATCGTTCTTCACCCTAGGAGGCCGAAGGTCAAACAGGAACAAATATTCGAGAAAAAAACGTAGCCGATGTGTTTATGTAAATGATCGCGTAAGGCTGATTCGTGTACGAAAGGAAAGTGTCTCTCTGCTCAACTGTATAGTATAGCGCATGAATGAATGATATACACTACGCAGGAATGCGATACAGTTGAAGTGGAAAACTAATTGCCGTAGCGAATAACCTGAGGAATGTGCCAATATCTCTGCTTTCATGAAAGCAACATTGTATGACTTTGAAGGTCTAACAAGATCAAGTTTCACCAATACCTCGTCGTATATTCATAGCATCCGCGCTTTTGGTCACTGCAATCTCATTTTATAATTTTAAAATTAACCATCAGCATCGTTATCATACTACTACTTACCATATCGCTCTTTTTTGCGCATTTTTTTCCCTGCTGATAGGTAACATCAATCTATACATCACATCGTATCTTCGATTTCGATCGTCAAGTGTGTCAGTGGAATATTCCGACAGTATGCTGATTATGGGTTGTATACAAATCTCAATGCATATAGCGTTGATGTTTGGTGGAGTAATTGAACTTAAACTTGGTGCAAGAATTACAAGCTTCCTGGGGGGACTTTTATTGAGGTATTAAATTTCACCTGCAATTTGGTAGCCTCATTTCGCGCAATGCATATAGCTCCAGTAAATTTATGTCACAACAGTACCTTTGACGTCGTCCTAAAATGATTTAGGCTACATGTACAACCTTTTTTTACTCAGAATGACTTGCTTAGTAAAATCGGAAGGAAAAAGTTTAATGTTAACCAAAGTTGAAGAAAAAATTGTTTTGGTATATAACCCCCTCAACCGCGGACCTCGCAGAAGGGCGTACAAAAAGGGAGACAAAGATGGGTTTTACACACAAAGAATAAACCATGCCCATTATGAAAGGGCCCGAAAAATTATAAATTATCGTCCCCGTCCTTTAAAATTCTCTGAAAAAAAGAGCTGCATCTCAAAATAACTCACAATGCATTAGTTGCATCGTCATCTCAATCAATCTCAATATAACTTACCCTGCGTGACATGCGTTGGTAGTATCATCATCTTAATTTAACTCACTTATAGACTGGTAGCACCAGTCACCTATAGATCTGTAGTAGCACCTTTGAACTTATTTCACCTACCATCCCTACAAGTATACTCAGATTTTAGTTTCGCATTGTCATATATCCGTATGCTAATAAGTTGTTTTACATCCATTGCTTAGTTTGGGCCTGGTAATGACTTATTTCACAGCAAGACATTCTTTCGCTGCGACTTCAGTGAGCTACGGTTTGACATTTGGCTTAGGAATTGGAATTGGGTATTCGTCCTCACTTGGCCGAGCAATGCAGGTTGATAAACTAGTCATTATTAAGCATAAGTTGCCACAAAACAACAGTAGGCCTGTGTTTTTTATGCACCTGCTTCCGTTTTTCTACAAGTGTCACCGGCAGGTTACTTTCCACTTGGGCGTTTTTTTACGCGCGGCAAACTTTAAATGCTTCCAATTTTTTATTATTTAACACACGGGATAAATCGAACACATGGTCATGGAAAGCAGCCCTAAGGAGGAGAGCCATTAAATAATGTATAACGGGAACTTTTTTAAACAATCTGTCACATTTCATGATTTTCAGTGGTATCCGAATAATAAAGGTCTTGTTGGTGGGCTTGTCATTGGTGGTTCGGGTGTTGCAGCTATTATGTTCAGTGCATTGGAAACTGGATATACCAATCCAAACAATCTCGTCCCAAACGTTACAATAGAACCAAACAATGATAAGTAAGTGAAAATTGTAGTGTGCTCATAGGATAGGGCGTTCAAAAGACTTTCATGGAACGCTGAGTTATTTTTCAGACAGACAGATAAGCAAATAAAGGCAAAAATATATATACATGCAAGGAAAAATACCTTCCTGGCGAAGTAATACATGCAGTGACGTTTAGTGCGTGGACTGAATATTCACATACGTAGCAAATCAACGTCACCGTCGTCACGAATTCTCTTGATATCATATTTTAGATTTTTTGGTGAAGCAGAGGTGCTAGATCGTGTTCCATATTTATTTTTGCTTCTTGGTGTTGTGTGTTTTGCGTTGTGTTCTATTGGAGCAATGTTGTTGTTTGAGCCACCACCAGTTAATGTTATGGAAGAGGTTCGTTCAAAAGTTTACTTTGAAAAGATTTAGATCGCTTTTTATTGAAATTTGGCCGAGCAAGTTCTCCAGATAATTCCAGAAAAAAAGTGATAATAAAATTAGGTATAAAATTATGACAACACGAGTAAAATTTTATGTTGAGTGATTGTTTAAAGATATGAAATATCGAAAATAATATTTCTAGACTAAAGAGGGGAGAACGCTCTTTCAAGAATTGACCCATATAGACGACTTCACTGAAGAAGATGGCTTATTCGAAAACGAGTAAGACTGATTCATTTATATAAAAAATATGGATGATGTCAGGCTGATCAAAGGTATCGAGAATTATTATGGTTTGAATCTTTAATCTCGTCAAAATGCCCTGCGATATCACTTGAAGAATAAGGTGAAAACCACTGTTTGCAGTTATTAATTGAAATTGAGGCAGATTTTTGAAAATAGTCGACTTTGAGTTGCTCACAGAGGATGTTATATGAATTTCTAGTTTTGTATTTCAGAATAGATGCACCAGGCGATATACCTCCGCTGCAAATCATCAAGAAAAAACAGTTTTGGATATTGTGGTTCCTGTCACTAGTGAATGGGGAGGCAGTGATATTCATAACGACATTTTATAAGGTTTGTTTACAATCTGCCGCGATTTGGCATATAGCGATTATAGGTCCTATAGAGAGCATGTAAAAACATGTAAGGCAATGTAAGCATGTCCCAAACGAGTTTCAGATCGACTTTTTTGGTCCCGTATAAGTTTTCGGACCGACTTTAGACTAATTTCACAAAAGCTAAGGCCTAAGGGCGCCGAATTTATTTTGTTTTTGTCCTAAGGCATACGGAGTGACGTTCATTTCAAATGATCATTTCTTAGCGTTGGTTGGATCTGTCGGGACAGGATTTATTAGTGTCGGTAGAATATCCTGGGGGGTTGTTGCTGATAGATTACCCTTGAAGGTTAGTTAATTGGAAAATAACATCATGCATCAGCCGCCAGCCGGGTCAAAATTCCAATTATAGAATTATCATCTAACATTCTTCACTGTGTATATTAGAAACAGTTAATCCCATTTTTGGACGAAAACCTGAATCGTAGCCTTATTGTTGTGCTCACTTTTTATTCAAGTAATCATTTTTTTATAATATAACTCGCAATTAATTGTAGCAAGTATTACTCAATAAATCAAATAATCAATGCATTACCATTTTATATAGATTGGTCTTATCATTCAAAATGGCATCATGTTATTTCTATTGTTGACATTTACATTGTCTGAAAAGGCGGGAAAATGGATGTATTTTATTTGGGTTGTCACAATGTTTACGACAATGGCTGGTACGACAACGTATTTAACAGCTGCAACTGCCGCGACGTTTGGTCTGAAGTATTTTGCAACAAATTATGGCTTAGTCTCCAGTTCAATGGTTTGTATTTAGCTCAGTTAGAACCCTGAGTTAGTTTCCTTGAGTCCAAAACGTTATAGCATAGGCAGCGCGCCGACAAAGAGATTATTAGTTAACATATTTTGCGCATTTTTCCTCGCATTTTTCAATTGTTGTTAACTGTTGTATTTAATTAGCATTATTTCAATAATATTTTTGGTAGATACCTGGTGGAATTCTTGGATCAATTCTATCGCAATATCTCAGTGATCTTATAGGATGGTGGGGGATTTTTACGTTAGTCGCCGGGTTCTCTTGCTTAGGTAAGTAACCATTCCATTTCTGAACTTTAACGTTGAAACGACAAAAAATGTGATATAAAAAAAATGTTCGAAGAACTTATTTTGTTGTTTTAAGTAAAACACGAGAAAGAGCGTTTTATCATATCAAAACGCTTGGCGTACGCCGCATTGCTGTCGACCAATAAATTTGCTCCATGTATACAAATGCTAATTAGGATGAAATATTATATAAAGAATACTAATGAGCATGACTAATTATATGATTTGTCCAGCCTCGTTCCCAGGCGCTTTAAATAAAAAAAAATATAAGAGCACTGCAGGCTTTTACATAGATCAGTGGCTAAGCAGAGCTAGCGCGCAGGGACTTTTTGGGAGGACGCGCGAGGCGGGAAGGAGGCTCCGTTTTTCCGTCGCGTCCAGTGGTCGCGTCCTCCACAAAATTCCCTGCTGCGCGCTCGCTCTGCTTAGCCACTGTTCTATGTAAAAGCCTGTAGTGTTCCTATATTTATTTTTATTTAAAGCGCCCGGGAACGAGGCGTAGTATTCATGGTATTTTACCACGTATAAAGCCGCCACATGTGACTTCTAATGGTTCATTTCGTAGATTTTTGAAGATTCCAAACAGCAGTTTAAATCTTTTCAACTGTCAGTTAATACACGAGTTGCCATTTTTATAACGGAACACTTCAACTTCTTAATCTTATTCTGAAGTAACTTAATACGAATTAGACAATATTCAGGCTTACTGTTTTTGCAAGAGAAAATTACTTAATAAAAATTTGTTTGCAGGATTTATCATTGTCAGTGATTCTTACGATCGGTATATGTTTGCAGGAATTGGATTGTCGTTTCTTTATGACTCAAAGGTTGGCAAACCAAGCTTTGACTGAGGGGTAATTTGCGAGTAGCTGTCTGTATACAACACAATGAAGAAGAATGAAAAATTTGATTTATAATGTGTTTGTGTGCATGGCGCTTTCTTGACGATAGCAAGCGTTCGCACAATATACGTATACGTAGAATCAAGATGAACAGTTACGCCCAATCTTGAAGCATGGCTATGATTAAAGAAGGAGTGGAAAGCATGATTAGAATTCCATACTAGACTTGCTGACGTGAAGTGACTTCAGTTGCAAATTTTACTGCATCATATGCATGCATAAAAATGCTTATGGCAAACATTTATACACCTGTGGGTCCCAACAGAGTGTTTAGGCATTCAAACTCTAACAAAATACATTGTTATGGGTGATTTCAAATATTTTTCGTTTTTATATTTTCGCGCGTATTTTCCTACTCATCTTTGTTCTTTAAATTTTATTAAATTAAGTAAGATTTTGGTTGCTCTTCTAATTTTTGTGTCCGTCAACGAACATCCGAAAATCGTCAACTTTTTTCTAATTATATTGCTTTCCCCAACACACTTGTCGCGCACGGAGTATGATATAGCGCATGGTGGCGAACATTGCCATTGGATGTGTGTGCATGTGGGTGCATGGGTGTTACTCCCCAACAGAAAATTAGTCCGAAACGTCGGTCCAAAAAACTGCATGGGGCGACGAAGATCAGTCCGGAAACATATATGTATGGGGCGAAAATAATCGGTCTCGTCTGCACGGGGTTAACCAGAGTTTATAGGTGTATTTGCTAGGCAGTTAGTGGGAGCCCAAAAAGAGCATTCCCTGGACCTCCGAACTGGCTTGCAGCTTACAGCACCTTCTTGTATGTCCGCTCAACTAAAATTTTTAAGCCTCTATGCTTATATTTATACACATATGCCTTATAATAAAACTTTACTATCCGATAGTCTATCAAATATAAACACGTGCACTACAAAAGGCTGCTTTCCACTTACGCGTTTTTTTACGCGCGGTAAACTTTAAACGCTTCTAAATTTTTATTATTTAACACACGGGCCAACAAATGCATACTAAAATATGCGGAACTTTTACGTGCGAATGAAAAACGCGTAAGTGGATAGCAGCCCTAAGTCACCCCAAATTTTTTTATAGTGCCAGGTAACTGTCAGTCTATTGTTCGTTATTTCGATATTTTGAAAGCTTTTTAAGGCTCACTGGCTTTTACCGGCGCAATCAGGAAACTGAAGAAAGGCCTACGCATTGCAGACAACAGAAGAGGTATTTGTGCCAAAACATTGCGGAAAACTACATTAAGTTCTTGAGTCGAGACACCATTTTAAATGCAAATATCGTACGGTCCCAGAGACCGATGTGGTCCCCTCAAGGTAAACATCTTGGACAGGCCAGACGAGACCTCCTGTAAGATCGAATGGCCAACAACGAGTCACCTCTGTATTGGAGGCCCCCGAGACATAACCATCGTCTTTTTGGTCCGTGCAAAACCAGACAGAATCAATACTGTAAGTGTAACAGCTTACACACGGAGCCCAAGATATTTGGCCAACCATCATTGTGGATCAAAGTGGATCTTTGTGATGTATCATTGCCAATGGTAAACGACACAATATAAGACTGGTGGCAAGTTACACGACCAGTCTTATTTGTCAAACCATCTACAAATTCTAAAGTTTTTTTTACATGTTTTAAGTTTTTAATCATGATGTTTGTTTTCGTATCATTCTACCGCATGCATGTCGTTTAGATCAGATTCAGGTCATTCCACTATGCTGATAGACAACAGGCAACTCGCAGATAAAGTTGTACACAATAGCATAATCTTGGAAATTCACAGGGTGAATTCACAATCAACTCAATCCAAACTCAAACTACTCGGTGCCTGAGCTAACTTTTAGTAATCTATAAGACTAAAAATAGTGTACACTGAACTTAATACGATAGTGTGCGAGATAGTGTGTGTGAGTGACAACTGCCAACCCAACACGTGTGTAATGGCATACTCCGGAATCAATTTTGAAAGGAGATGAAAAGTCGATGATCAATATAGGATTGTTATTTATAATTTGGATGTTAGTCAAAATCCAAGGTCAGCGTATGTCGTGTGTCGGCCGGAAATTGTTACACGGCCCTCCTAACTACCGTAACCACCTACGCATAATTGTGGCCAAGGATAGCAAACGTTCCGTTCTACTCCGTTATATCACTCATCACAAAGAGGAAAACAACCTTTTTACTTGATTGTTGTATTTACCACAGGAAATACGAAAAAATATATAATCTCGGAAGAGGATGTCCGTTTAGGCGAGAGTAACCACAATTTTCTATGACAACATTGTTATTTCACTACGTCACTTCACAGCCCAATGCGGTCGGTCGCATCCAGTTTTATTCAGGGTTTTTTTAGATCGCTTTGCCCGCCGCTGTGCGTGCTTTAAATAAAGTCACGTGATTTATTTCGTCGCGGATGATTGGTCGCTTGCGTTGTGGCTGTGTTTTGTCTCGCATCGTGGCTAACCGGCTAGCATAAAAACAATTTTATTTTGTATTCTATTTTGATGGTTTTGTACGATTTTATTCACATTTTTACGTATAATGCCACTTTTGGTGTGTAGTCTCATCTGCCCTTGAATATGGTAAGCAAAAGAACCGTGTTACTGTCACGAAAATCGAACATTGGCCTTGCATAGTTTTCATATAAATGACAACTGTCGGCGTCCAACACTGTCTCGATCGTAGTTGTGTTAAATGTGCTGTGAAATCTGATAACTGTAAATAAAAGGTACAATAAAGGCTTCTATGCATACTCCTTTTATCCAGGTTGACGTTTTGACGGAACAGGAGTCAGAATTGCTTGAAGCGTACGATAGGTAGGTAACTATGAAATTGACCCTATTAGTATTGAAATTTACAACTTGCCATATTGCCAAGCGAGAAGCATTTTTGCATAAAATATCATCTTACCCTTTGGGGATTTGCTATGGCTTTTTCACACAATATTCTGCACTAATTACTATTTTATAGCCGCCTATTCGGCTTTCTACGACTGACAGAAACGATATGTGAAAACCTCGATATTACACATAAATCTCTTCTTTCAAAGGTATGGTAACAAAAAATACGATACCGTATGTTTATATTTTCCAAGTATTATATTAAATATGTTTAGGAATTTGATTATTATGTCATCTGCTATTGATTTTTACATAAAATGAAGAGTTTCCTGGTTCATTTTTACATTTATTTTTATAGTGAAACCCTTTGTTTATGTTTTGTACTTATGTTTAAAGGCTATACGACACTACGATAGCACGCTGATCAAAGAGGGTACTCAGGCCAACCCAAATATCTACTGTAAACTTGGCCATTTCCACTTGCTCCTTGAGGACTATGTAAAAGGTAAATACGGACAGATCACCATAAGTTACCGCGTGCATTGAAGAAATCCTGCCAAATTTGTCAGTGATCGGTGTTTATGTCGAAGAACCATTGAACCGTATTAATTTGCCATATCCGACACTAATCGGCTTTTCGCATTTCTACGCGATTATATATCTGAAATGTCGAGGATATGAATCGCAATAGAAATATAATATAAGCAAAATCATGAAATTTACAAATACTCAGATCTACTTCTATCCATACACACCCACGTAAAGGTTAGGATGCGTGTGTTCTCAGACATTTTTACCTGGAACAAATAAATCTCAGAATTCACTACATTACACATATGCTTTTGCCATATGAAGTATCAATTTACACTATATTTTTGTAACTGTTGTGGATATAATTTATGTTTTAAAATCAGGTAAATAGGGGATTCCCTTAAATTGTGAAATCCAATTTGATATTCAACACCTACAAAAAACCTGCAGATTTTTGAATATCTTCTGTTTTCAAGTTAATTGCCCCCATTTTTAGGATTCACCACTTTCCACTCATTTTTCATGCAATTTATTCAATACTTTTGTATTATGAAATATCATACCAACTCATAGCAAGACAGCAATTTAAGCTGCCTTGGGTCCTGACAGTGAGACCTGACTGGCAATGAATAGAGATTTTTAAATGCAAATATCAATCAACAAGGTCAGGACAAGAAAGCTGATATAGAATATGTAGAATGAAGCAGCTGTTTATATATTAACATTTGTTTTGCAAGCTATGTAACATTATTGTTGTATCAGGCAGACTATTGTCAGACACTGTGCTAGTCCCAGAAAGAAAAAGTGGATTTCTAAATAAATGTATAATAATTCATCTTTTCTAATCAAGGTTCAATGCAAATTAGCAAACATGAGCATTAAGTTGGAATACAACATGCTCTATGGGTGCACACATTGCGTACCTAGCTCTTATGTACAAGGTTGGGTTCAAGACAAATTTTAAGAGTAAATTTTCTTTTCTTCAGCACTTTCGGCATATCAGAAGTTTTTTAGTATACAAGGGGATTATTGGAAGGTAAGTAACTAGACTGTGGTAAAGTGCAAAACATGTCCCAGTCAATAACCAGCAGCTACATAATGGAGTATTATAAAGATTACAATCTAGTAATCAGGTGGTCACTTAATCCAACAAATAGTGTTTTATAACTTTGCTTGCTAATGCACATTTTTCTTCTTATGTTGCCCAACTATTGTTTTCCTTGATATGTGCTTAGTTACTAAATGTCTACATTAACTAGTTTGCTTTCCTTATGCTATTGTGTTTTTGTAATCATAAATGTGTTTCCAGTCAATCAATATGACTGGCGTCGGTGAGTATACGAATTGCAGCCATTTTGGCGGGCAATGATATCGTTGAGACGCGGTTGCTTTCTGTGACGTCGCCTGCATGAAGAAAGTGAAGAAAAAAACACCTGGCAACTTCGCAAATTCCTCGAAACTTCGAGTATTTCGACTTCGAACATTCGTGTCTAGGAATTTTGCATAATTTTAGCTGCTGATCGGTCAGCGTAGTTGGCATGACGCCACTATTTATTTTAAATTCTCCTCTACCTGATGGTTTGAGATAATAGAAATTCGAAATCGGAAATCGTTTTTCGCCAAAATAGAAAGTAATACATTTACTGTATGCTGCAAGGTCTGAAAGCATGTTTACATTTTTCTTGGCAGGACGCGCCATTTTTGTATGGATTAGGAATAGTTTATTTTCATTATGGTGCTTATATGTGGTAAGTATTTTAAAAGAGCTAGTTTAGTCAGGAAGACGAAGAAAAACCGTCAGAAAATTATCTGCGCTGACAGTACATTGCCAGGACAGACCTGTATTCTCCTATGATTTGATTTTATTATCTATATTTAGAAAGATGGGAATCAATTAAAAAATTAGATTTATCGCCGATAATTTTTCCACACTCTGTCCTACCTCGTTCTCTGTCGCTTTGAATTAGAACGGGCGGAGAATAATGGGAAGACGAAGACTGTTCTTCTTATCATGCATCACCAATATTTTATTTAGGCCGACAAAGGTTGTTTACACCCACGTTTTGCTTTATGTGATTTTTAGGACGATAAAAGCTTTTCAACAAGTACTGTACGTAGATCCTGGATTTAGTCGTTCAAATGAGATCCATCTAAAATTAGGAATGATGTTTAAGATGCAGGGAAACTATGACGCTAGTATGAAGGTGAGTTTTTCAAATTTTATTCACAGCTCTAACTAATGGAAGATGTTCATGTTTAAACTTTATTTCCGCTTTGATTACAAGCCTAATCAAACTTGCAATATTGTGCATAGCAGTATGGCAATATGATGACTTCGTTCCAACCCCAGTACAATATCTTCTCATTAGGCATAATTTAAATTTTTTCAGCACTTTCACCAAGCCCTACTTGATTCACACCCATGTTCGTTATCGAAATTTGAAAGTAAGTCAGCAAGTATTTTTATACCTCTCATCTGCGTCTATATAGCTCATAATGCATGCCTGTGGTTTTACAAATATCCGTGTTTCCTGAAATCACAAGAATATTTTCTACGTGTTTGTAATATTTATTTGTTTCAGTTCAATTTCACATCGGTCATTTGTACGAGATGCAAAACAAGTGTCAAAACGCACGCGAGACTTATGAAGCTGTTGCTCAGAGTGAAAATGTGACGAACGATGTGAAGAGTAATGTTTATAAGCAGCTTGGTAAGCAATAACACCACACTGGACATCTGAACGAACACCTTCAGAGCTCAAATGAACGGCGAAATATCTTCACAAGCATTTTTTGCTTTATATATATACTGCAGTCATTGCACGTTGACCAGCCATTATTTTGAGAGTTGACCCTGACCATGCACGTATGGTATAAACTCAATCCGGCAGAAGTTTCTTAGTGTGTCAATCATGAAAACTTTACTATGGTATAGAATGTGTTTTATCAAATATCCGACATTTTAAATGCTGTATATGTATCGAACTTTAGGTTGGATGTTTTACACAAAGGAGCAACTTGGCGACAAACAGACACGATTGCAAGTTGCAGTACAGTATCTTCAAAAGGCCATTGAAAGCGATAACACCAGCGGTGCATCATGGTATTTGTTGGGCAGGTACGATCATATATATATAGTTAGACGTCTTTTCAACAGACGAAGCGTGAGAATGTCCGGATTGTAAAATATTGTTTTTCTCCCTCAATGTTGTTTAGATGTCATGCAGTTCAAGGGAAGGTTCACGATGCATTCACTGCTTACAGACATGCGATTGACAAGTCAGATGCCAGTGCTGACACGTGGTGCTCTATTGGGTAGGTTAAATACAGCATATTTCATTTAGACGTTGGTACACGAAGTTGAACTTCTAGTATAGTGAGGATTGTTTAAGGCGCGGGTCCGGCCCGCTTAATATTGCTCCTGATCTTTGCTCAAATCATTCCTGCTCTCAGCAATTTCAAATAACCCGTTATGTTTACAGCCTTCTAAAGATCGATCATTTCTTCGTTGTCCCGCAACTAAACTCGACTAACAACAATTTTACATTCAGTATTAGATGATCATCTAATTACTAACCATCTAATGTGGAAATTGCCGTAAACCAAACTAGGAGAAAATAATTTGAAATGTTTCGGCTTTGTATTTAGGGTGTTATATCAACAACAGAATCAACCAATGGACGCACTACAGGCGTATATTTGTGCTGTACAACTTGATCCATATCACGCGGCATCATGGACTGATTTGGGTATCTTGTACGAAGCGTGTGGTCAGCCTTTGTAAGTTTACTATTTTTCTCTTAACTTTCCTCGAATGATTAAATGTGTGAAATATGAAATGAAACAACTGCATGGAAGCTTGAATTAGTGGTAACTTAGTATAGTTTCAACCGGATTCTATACTTTAAATGCGTGTATTTTGTGCCCCTTTCCTCTTCTATTAGGAAAGTGTGACTGGAATTAATATAATATTTAACCATTTCAGAGATGCAGTAAAATGTTATAATGCAGCAAAACGTTGTGGTAAGTAGGAAAGTGTATTTATGGTTCAATAAGCAACTTGACCAGTCGACAAATTAGAAAACGGAAAAAATCCGTAATTTTATTCAAAACAATGTTTTCTGATGGAGTTACCGCTTTATTTAAGTCCTGTATAGACCTATAATCCTTCCAATTGCTGAATAATGTTTTGAACTATACATTCAGTCCATCCTGTCTAATCCTGTGTTATCTGCGGTATGTTTTATTTCATTAGGAGCTTCTAGTCCGGCGTTAGATGCTAGAATCAAACTGATTCAAGCTCAAGCAGATCTGTCACCAAACATGAATCCACAAACAAAGTATGATTTATCTTTGCTTCCTAAAATGAAGTTTGTTGGAAGATTTGCTAATTTTCAATTCTGTCGTTAGGAGCTTGCCTTTGATTGAAGAAGCGTGGAAAATGCCCATACCTGCGGAATTGACTTCGAGAACTAAGAGTGCAAAAGTAAGACATAAGATGGATGTACTTAGGCACTTTACTTTTACGTCTCCTAGCACTTTCAGTAGTGGTATTCTGTAATATTTTGTTTGTTGTTTAGCAGTCTCAACCACAACTTGCACCACCAGTTCAACATTCGTCGGCACCGTCTACCTCACAACAGGCGCAGCAACTAACGCTTCAAGCACAACAACAGCAAGGAACACAGCAGCAACAACAACAACAACAACAACAACAACATCCCACAGTATCACAACAACAACAAGCCCACCCGGCGGTGCAACATCAACTTGCTCTTTCACAACCAAACCAACAACCACAGCCTAATCAGCACCCGCAAATTCAGCAAACCGTTTATACATCAAACCATCAGCAACAACAAAGCCATCAACATCCATCGTTCAACATGGGAGGCGTACCTCAAAGCACCTCACCATTCCTACATCCGGCTTCTACGGTTCAGTTCCAAAATGGTTCATCGCGTTTACCTAGTACAAGCAATCAAACACCTCCGGTAACCTCGCGTTGTCGAAACGAACAATACACAATGCCGCCCATAAGTATGCACTATCAGTCACACGCAAACACCACCGATCTACAACACCCTATGCAAAATTTCTCACACCCAGTACACACATTACCCGTATCTAGCACGCAATCCCGCAATTTTACATCAGCCCCACAACAAACTCCCCTACCCCTAAACACAAGCATGCAATCAAATTTCACAACTTCACAAGCATCCTCGGCGCCTCCAATTGTACAAAGTTCTTCTACGGTAACCACAGCGTCGAACATTCCACCATCTTTAGTGAATTTTCAAGTTGATCCGGACACAGGGTTGCCATTAAGCATCATAAATCTTCAAAATGGTGGTATGCTCAAGTCCACACCAACACCTCCTGTACCTCAACCAGTGTCAGAAAGCATCGCAACACCCAGTGGTATGCTCCTGACATCACGGGACCCTGTGTTATCCTCGGGTCCATTAATGAGCGAACCAGCGATTTCAAACACACCGACACAGCCTTTATCAGTGAATGTCTTAACATCTTCAACTGCGAGTGTTAGTAGTCCGCCCTTAATATCACCGTCTCTTATGTCGCCTGGATTGTTATCTCCATCGAGGCATTACTCGTTGCTATCGCCTTCCGAACTCAAAAAGACCAGTCAACAAGGTACCGGCTTGAGCGCACTCGGGAGTGTTAAAGTTAGTTTGTTGTTGGAACCTGGTGCCTTGCCGCAACCACCAGCTCTACCTCAGACCCCTTGTCCTCGCGAGAAGTTGTCACCACCAACACCTAGCATTCGTGTAAGTATAACTCTTTTTGTAACTGGTATAATATATTCGTATAGCCAGGTGGGAATGTAATGCAGGACTATGTGTACTAAAATGAGCCAAGTTAACGTTTTTAGGTCAATAAGAGCCAAGTTAACGTTTTTAGGTTTATAAGATGAAACTTTTCCTCGGTTATGGCTAAACGAAATTGTACCATTTAACATGATTGAACCAACAAACATCATATTCCAACTTCATGAAATGCGTGTCGAAAGAAACCAGGGGGGGGTGGATTTGAGCCTGTCTTAATTCATTTCGTAAGAAAGCTAAACCATAAATTCTGATATCACACCATTGCTCTCGCAGGTCGAAACTAAATCTGAAGCATATTCAACTGAGCTACAAAACCTATGTCTTTCTCCATCCCAACCAATCACAGTTATAAGAGGACTCGATAAAGCGCTTGGCATAGGTAAGAAAACCCATATTTGTCGTTGGTTCGAGTATCGTAGATGAATGTTTTATGTTTAACTTCTCGGTAAATAGAGAGATTTGCGTGTACTTTTCGTTACCGAATTGTTTTTAGATCTCAGTTTATTCTCAACAAAAGCTTTGCTGGATGCTCATGCCGACCACGAAGTTGAAGTTCGAACACAAGTTAGTAGTTTGTTTACCATCCTTTTTCTTTTTATCACTATTTCAAAATATGACCATAACGACAACAAAGCTTTTTATCTATTCGTTTTACATTTATGGCGGTGAGACGGATATCTATTTATTAGCTAGCTCTGTATGAAATGTCGCGTGATCGATCTTTTTTCCGATCAATCGTGCGACTTTTACATTCAACGTCATTACCCGATCCTATCGGTGTTGGGAGATCGTCCTGCACTAGGGAGTTAAAGTTGCGTCTGAAAAAGAAAGCCCAGACTTCTGCTATTTTAGGATGCATATACGCGGGAGCTGTGGTGTAATTTTTATGTAATAAAGCTGTAATTCATGTGATATTTTCTCTCAGCTTTTCCTGTACTAATTTCTTCATTCCATATCTTTCATATAATTTCATATTTTTTCAACACAATTTAGAAACAGCAGCTGTCAGACGAGAATATTGACGACGAAGGACGAAAGGTTTGGCTTTGTGAAAGTAGCAGGTACATTATGCCTTGAGTCTATGTAGCTTTGTGAATTTCTGTTTTTTATATGGTCGTATACAGCGGCAACTAATTTTTACACTCGCTAATAATTTGTAAAGTATCGAATTGTTCAATTAAATTATTTAATATTTTTAGGTCTTATTCCACTATTGCTAAATACGCTCAGTACCAGGCTACGACCTTTCAAGAGTCTTTTGAGGTTTGTGATTATTTTATTTGATGTTTGTCAAAGTAAGTCAAAGTGCTTCACCTAATAATAATCAAGGCACACAAAGACTTGAATCTTTTATATATTTAATAATTCCATATATTTTTGTCTATATAAACCACTTCGATTAATTAGCTTTTTAGGGGATTGTTAGCTGCAATTAGGGGGATATTTTGGCGTTTATTAATTATCGCCATGTAATTTACTTTTTAAACACACAGAACATTTTGTATACATGATTCCACCCCTAAAGTAGACCCCATTCCCCAAATTCACTGGAAACCAATTTATTGAGGTGGTAAGTGGTACGTATTGGAACCCCAACTCATTTAAGTTATATAAACAGGTTCTATGCAATCCGTATTTTTTTGTACACAATGGTAATTTTTTGCGTTACTGCATGTATATCACTTTGGGGGCTGAATTTTTTTGAACGCAACTACATGAGTAATTTTCTTTATTTGAAGCAGGAAGATCAAGAACGTAGTTTGTCAGATAGTGATTCATCGTCATCTGGTCATAAAAGGTAAAGTCCGCCTGATTTAATATTTTCACGTACGTACATTCTTAAAACATATTCATAACGTAGTAGCTTTACTACAGTTGAGTTTTACAATTCGATGCCGGTATCATAAGAGCGAGGGTTTAGACAAAAATTGTCTCTTAAATACGACAGAGATGAGAGATGGCCTTGTTCAATTCGACTTTTTGTAGCAAGTATGATCCGTGCATGTTGTTTAGACTATCATCTATTGCAAATTGACCTTCCTATTTTCTGAACTGATAGGAAAAAACGAGGAACACGAAAAATTATAAAGTTTGGAACCAACTGCGATCTATCCGATGAAAAGAAGTAAGACATATACATATGATTTATATTTCTGACGCGGTATAAAAGCAAGTGTTGATGACATACTTTTCTCTGTATATCAATGTGAACACTGAGTGTGCTCTCCATAATAAGTATGTTTTCAAATATCTCTTTCAGATGGAAAGCTCAATTTCTTGAACTTAATAAACTACCGCCGTTTTTGAGAGTAAGTGTAATGGTACGATTTTATGTTTTGTCTCTTCTACTATCGTTATAGTGGTGAACATTTAAAGATAGATGGCTGCTAAAGCATGTATGCAGGGCTGTTTCTGTACCAGAATCAAGTTGGAAAGCCATCGTCATATGCAAGTGCACCACCGCTAAAGTGATATTCGCGACGATCTTGCCACCTCTAATGACGTTTCTAATTCACTCTAGGTCTTTTCACCTGGCAACATGCTTAGTCATGTCGATCACGTTATCTTAGGGATGAATTCAGTTCAGTTATACATGAAGATTCCAGGATGCCGTACTCCAGGTACAGTGAACGACAAATACATTGTACTAAACGAGAAATGAAGAATGCATGTTTTGCATGGTGATTTCCGTTCTTATGGATCGTGAGCCAATCACCTTGCACATCAAGAGCGAGGCTCTCAGGTCAAACCACATTCGTGACATGATTGTCGAAGGGGCCTATCGCATTCACTGTGTTCGCTCGTAGAGAGGGTGCTGAGCGGGAACGGATAGCGCATTCATGATAAAACCATATCGTATTCCAAATTCGTGGATGTGTACAGCTTTGTACTGAAAGGTTCTTGTTTATTGCAGGCCATCAAGAAAACTTGAACTTCAGTTCCGTTAATATCAATATTGGTCCCGGAGATTGTGAGTGGTTTGGTGTGCCTTATGAATATTGGGGAGCTGTTCACAACTTTTGTGAAAGGTTTGTAGTTTTAAACTTACCTTTTACCTGTCTGTTTGCCCGTAATGCATTGTGTGGCGGTTGTATCGATCGAAAATTGTATGAATGAGTTATATTCTTGATTACTATAAACCATATTTCCCGGACTAAAATGTGAAAAAAACATATAAGGTGATAATATACTTTATGTTATGGTTAGGCGTAATTACGTTTTTTGCCTGGTCCTGCATGGTATGAGTTAAATCCGGGTAAAAAACTAAAAAAGTACAGTGTATTCCCCCCTGCATATATCAATGACACTGTTATATTATTTTATTAATTGTTGTTTATGCTATATTGTTTCAGGAATAATGTTGATTTCTTAATGGGTGAGTTATTTTTATATATCTTGACTGCCCGAACACCACTTTCACACTTCTTTTTCCTACATAAGCACGCATGCGTCTATTTCATAAACTTATAAAAGAGTCATAACTGAACAAGCCACGAATGTTAATTGCCGCCATAAAGGCCCTTAGCGGTAATGAAGTCATTTATACCAGTTCTCGCTGGTCAACAGTTAACGTTTCTTGAATTAACATATATTTGATATCATACGTAGGATCTTGGTGGCCAATTCTTGAGGATTTGTTTGAAGAACGGGTTCCAGTGTACAGGTTCATTCAAAAACCTGGTGACTTAGTATGGGTGAATGCTGGTACAGTGCACTGGGTTCAGGCTGTTGTAAGTGGGATTATTACGAGAAAGTATAATTATACGCAATAAAAGTGTCACAATGACTATAGGGTGTCAGGTCTATAATATAGGTTGTCAAACTCACACCATGACAGTGGTGGATCCAGGGTAAGGCAGAATAAAATACCATAGCTTAAAATCGCGGCCGCATTGGTACAATTTGGTAAAAATTAAGCCGTGTAATTTATTCTGCCTCTCCTAGATCCGCCACTTCACCGTCACTTAAAACCTTGCTAATATGTTTGTACTTAGAAATTTGTTTTTGTGTATGAGTTAGCCACACCCGCTGCCAAACTTATTTCTTGGGTGTTCGCTCTGTCACGGGCGAATAAGAAACACACCCTGTTGTCCAAAACATAGTGTTAAAGACACAGTTGAAAATGGAAAGTGCAAAACATTTCCAGTTGTGTTTCCAGTCAACAAGATTTTACTACCCTGCTAACAAAAGTATATTGTAATCTTTAGGGATGGTGTAACAATGTCGCTTGGAACGTTGGACCCTTAACAGGTACTTGAACAATTTTTTCTAATACAGATGCGCGAGTTGCTTGTAAACAAAAATAGTAAAAATGACTCACCTTTTTTAAATATCAACTTTAGTCAGTTTTGATTATTTAGACTAGGTTACATATTACGTATCAAAACTCGTATAATATGTCATTTCTTTTATTGTCAGAATTTCAGTACAACATGGCCGTCGAAAGATACGAGTGGAATAAACTGCAAGGTAAATACGCATGTATTGTTGATCTTTTTCCATAATATTCAACAAAGTCGCTAGAATTAGTACGGTATTTTTGCAATTGCTGCTCATGTGATTTATACTATTACATCAAACATGAATAATAGAAAAATAGTGTCGTGCTGCTATATAGTCTTGTTACATTCATGCACACAGTGAACTCTATGTGAACTGGATTCATAAGTCGGCCGCCCTCTTTGAAGCCGAAAGCCAATTTGAAGCCGGGTACCAGTGCCAATTCTTTTCTATTGTTTTTGTCTTCATAGTCGACGATCGCGCCGACAAAAACAATAGAAAGAGACTGGATCCATTTCGGCTTCAAATTGGCTTCAAAGATGGCGGCGAAATAACCATCAGTTATCATTCCAGGGTTTATAGAGTTCACTAGATTCACATGTAACCATGCTAAGTATAAATTAACAACACCTTGTATAAATTTTTCTGTTCTTATGCAGGAAATCGATCTATTGTTCCTATGATTTTATTAACGTGGAATTTAGCCCGAAATATCAAAATTTCGGAAAAGAAACTCTACGAGCACATGAGGTATGATAGTAGTTGTCGAATAATTTTAAGGGTTCTTTTAGAGAATCTACAAAAATACTTCTGATGTCCTTTAAAAACAATTTTTGTATATGTACGCATGCTCTATAAAAGGACTAAAAGGCTTAGGGACATTCGCTGAATGATTTCCAAAGTTATATTGGATTTATAAAGATATAGATATAGTTACATTCGACAATTTATATTCGATTATTATATATAGACAAGTGTTGGCGCGAGTGTTGAAATACTGTCAGGTGACATTGGACTGCTTGAAAGAAGCTGGTGTGACAGTGACATTACAAAGACGAGGTGAACACGAAGCTGCCCATTATTGCAGTGTATGCGAGGTAAATATAACACGAACCGTAGCATGTCATGTAAGCGCATGTCAAGAAAATCTTACAATGGCAACGTAAAATATACAGCATGATAAAGTGCAATTCCTTATTTCATTTATTTCGTCCGTTTGCCCTGGCGTGTACACACATACTTCCCTAATTGAAAAGCCCGCCGTCGCGCCCCTGTATAAAACAATAACTGCAGTCTTTTCCTTAATTCACAAAATTTTGAGTCATGTGACGTGAATCTATCCTGCCAACCAGTTTCAAGACGGCCATTTTTATTTGTCACTGTTTAGACTGAAGTGTTCAATATTCTATTCGTGACAAACAATAAGAAACACCAGGTCCACTGTCAGGATTGCGCAAGAAAGACAAGCGATGTTCTTCAAGGCTTTGTAGTCCTACAGCAGGTTTGTCTGTTCTTTATACTATAAATCACTATGACACTATTCTGTTTACCTGTTTAAAAAAAAAGAAAGTACTGTGTATTGAGTTTTATCAAAACGAGCCTGGTGAGATTATACCGCAGTTACACAGTATAGGGAATAAACCGTAGGACCAATCAAGTAGCTAGGAAATGCCTATAGAAAAGATTTATTAGTGATTCAAGGGCCTGATGCCAGGCTACAGAGTAAACTACACATACAAAATTGCGCAAATCTTCAGGACTATAATAAGGTTAGCATTTCGCAGCGGTGGTAAACAATTCAGACTGGAGGTGATAAACAAAAGACAAATCTACTTACATGCATCTGCCAACTTTTTTTTCATTGTTGTTTTTAGTTTCCTATGGAAGAATTATATAAAACGTACAATGACTTCAGGTTATTCCAGGTAGGCTTCCTTTTCTTACTTTGTTCCTGTATTCACGATATAGGCGAAGAAATATACGCTTTTTGTCGTACTTATTTAATTACTTATATACAATAAAGTTGCTGCTTTTTCCCTCTATAGCATTCTTCGGCAAGTGTAATTCAACCATAGTGCAAGTGTTGGTTTTCAGAGCCTTAGAAGTGTACAGTTTGTTGTTTGTCGTGAGGATAGTGTTGAGGAGAATTACGAACATTTTGTTATATAGTAGGGTTTATTTTCCTAGTTGACTTTGTACCGCAGTACATAATTATGTAGATAGTGATTTTCGAAATTATAACGGCGGTGATTGTATGCTAATGACCAATCCACCGATGACCACTGACAAAATTTTAATTACGGTCAAACTAGTCGTTTCTACTAATTTAGACTATAATCCTGATACCCCAGACTAGTGATATTTATACCATAATTTCTCACGACGGTTAACCTTGATATACTTAACGTTATACAAGCACATATTTTACATTGTTAAACACACTTTTTATTCAATAAGTTCTCTGTCATTTTAAACTTACTCAGAAGCCGCAGTAGTTTCAACCTCGTACCCAAGTTCATATCGTTGGACCTCGGTACGTAACTTGTAGTACTTGAGCTCTCGGTATCAACAGCATGAACGATATTAAAACGATAAAAATTGTTGGCATCAACAGCATATCATAACCAGAACACATGCAGCATTGACGATACTCTTATCATAACCATTGACAATATACCTTTAAAACCGCACACTGATATATAATCACTTCATCCCCGTGTATGATCTGTGCTGTAAACATTTTAAATATGTAAGTACATTGTGATTGCAAAATTTTCTACATTACCAGTTCTCCATACACACTTTGTAAATCTTATTTAAAAGAACGATTGGAATTGAATGATTGAAAGTAGGAAGTAAATAAATGTTGTAAAATTAAGTTGATTAAAGTTTGAAGTGAACATTCTGATTAGCTTTCATGTTAACAGTCACGAGAAGGGGGCGTGCTTCCAATAGTGCTATTATACTCATCGCACTTTATGTTCTGTGTGCAATACGTATGTCTGTTATATATAGTCTATCTCTGTGTTCAAATCAAAGAGCGCGCATGCAGGGGAAACACGCCTAATTCCTCATTTCTTTAAATGTCTTTAAACAACGCTGTCATGGGACCACAAATTATGCATAGCTTTTGTCTCGCGTGTGGAGTTTCTTTCTTTTGCAAGTGTGTCCTCGAGCTGGCCGCGTCGGGTAAATCGTAAACTCCCTATTAGCTGAGCTATAGACTTCACGAGGCGGTTAGCTCAGCAGTTACTCTCGTGTGCAAATAGTTTTTCGTGAGGAATTCGCCTCGAGAGGCAAGTTTCTTACCTATAATCCTGATTTTGTGTGTTGTTAAATCATGCATTACAGCCATTTGTGTATGGTCAGCCAATAAGGAGTTGACCAATGGTAACCTTGGAAGTTGGACCAGGTGTGGTCCTAATTTGAAATTCAAATTTAGCCCGCAACTGTGATTTTGAAGTGTCGTTCAACGAAGCAAGAGCACATTGGAAACTTGGTTTATAGAATTCTCCTGATATGGCTTTGCTTGTTTGAAGCAGAAAAAGGTAAATGTTATACATATGCTGTGTTTTGTGTGAAATTCTTTGCTCTAACGTTTGAGATCTGGTGTTGAGTTTGTCCGTTTCAATATCCTCGCTTAATCTTGCTTATTCTGTGTCAGTTTTCTACAAAACCCTACAATGTCATAAAGTTTTATTCATCGGTGATATGATCACGTTGATCTTAACTCATAGCTAGAAAAAATCGGCAAGATAACGTAAAATCTGTTTAGCGGCCGTGAAGACAGCGCCAAGTGTGTCCATCTTAATGGGCCTAGTCGATACGTCGCATTTTAGTCGCGCGGGGAATGCAATTCAAACAATAGATCATGAGATTTATTGTTTAAATTGCATCCGACGCGACGAAAATGCGACGGTATAAACTAGGTCTAAATGGCTTTTTTACCTACCATCATTGACATCTTTTCAATTTTAGCTTTTGGAACATATCTCTAACCAAAGCCATTTTCCCGGGCAAGCCTTTACCACATTTAATATCAACTAAATGACGACAGGTAACTACCACTAATCGCCTTTAATATAAGTCTTTTCAAATTTCATCATGCTCATATCCTTTTTTTACTGGGACTTCATCGGATACTAAAATATATAATTTCACAGTTCTGTGTGAAATATAGTTATAAAAATTTAAAATCGAGAGGGCAGAAAAATTCTTTCATATATAGCTGAATAAATAACTTTGTTTTAAGGATTAAAGTGCATTATAATAATTATTATCATTTATTTTTAACACGTAATGGTAAATGTCTACACGAGTAAGTCTAAGTTGCTTCGTCGTCAGAGTTCTTCTGTTTGTCTGCGCTGTTCAAATCTAGTGAGGCTTCAGATCGTATTTCAGGAAAAACGGTGAATATAAGCAGTTCAAATGTCAACTGAAAAGAAAAGGAATAACAATTTGTAATGAAATTTCCTCTTGATCTAACGTCGCATAATTTCATTTTTATTACAAAAAGCTTACATAAGCCAAATGCTTGTTGGTTCGGATATCTTGAAAAGCCTCAAACATCTTATAACGAGAGAAAATATATTAAAATCTTCAAAATAGTACAAATATATGAAATTCCCAAACAAGGAATGAATTTTTATGTCAAGCGCATTTTTCATATTTAGTTCCAGTGTTTGTATTGTATAGAAGTAATTCTTTCAAATATTCAACATTTATCGACTGCATCAGTTTGATACCTTTATTATTCCAGGCTTGCAATTTCTTTTGCCTACCAAGTTCTGAAGAACCTCTGCAACATATATATAAACTGAATGTCAAGTTGCATCATAGTTGAATTAATACGAGAAATAATACTTTTATACACTGACAAGACCTGGAGTCATTTCCAAAAGTTTTTCTTTTACTTTTCGCCTTGTTTTTATTTTCTCCTAGAATAATAAGACAGGCCATTATTAAATTCACCTAAAAAAACATCCAGAGAGGGAGAGATTGTCGGGGAATTGAGGCTCCGATGTTACAGAAGAAAACGTGTTCGGTTCAACAGTCTAAGTAACACTGTTGGTCTCTCAAAATTTGCGCAGATATTTGATCAAAATATAGCCATCCTTTTCTCTGTACGTACTTATAAAACGTTCCCAGTAACAGCTTTTTTTAACCGGTCAAACCCATATTCACAAGAAACACCGGTTGCACTTACATTTAGCGTTCCAGTCATGCATAATATTACAATAGTGAAATGAATAATTTGAAATGGAACAAAAGTAAAAACTGTTTTCTAGCCTATACAAAGTATAAAATTTTAGTGTTTCATTTCTAACACAGCAAGAACGTGATGAGGACGTTCATCAAGCGCTCGATTTACAACGTTTGATATCTTAGCTATACCTGATAGAATAGCGTAAGAGTTGTCAGATAAAAAAAATTAGCAGAAATGGCGGGCTTAGCACCTTTAATCAACACTATGATATAGGGACTGTAAAAACTCCCATATTATGTAGTTATAAAACTTACAGCATCAGTTCGTATAGGGGCAGCAGCAGCAAGCTTGCCTTGAGGCCACATGACGTCACAAAACGACTGAATGTAGTAAACAATCATTGGTTCAGATACGACCCATTCAACCAACACTCTGATTTCCCTGCAAATAACAAGTCAAAGCAAAATAGTACAATAATAGCATAATAAAGTGAGGTGGAAGACGGGCTAATTAAAGCAATCCTTCGCTGACACAGACCTGTTGATCGTTCTACCAAATGTAACTTGTACAAAGGCAATCAAAGTACGACGAAGCCACTTGAAAACTATTAAATGTATAAAGATACAAACATCCTTGGAATATATTTTATCATTGCCTTTGCAAGCGAGCGTTCGCCTAATGTTTCTATAAGTATACCAGAAAATATTATGTATACAAGATAACTATAGTGAAAAGATTTACTTTGAACCTATCTCACACAGATGTCAAATACATATCTCATCGGGTGTTACATTGTTATACAGACCAGTAGCATTTTTCCACTTTTCTAGACGAAGTAACATTGTGATAAAGTTTACATCAATAATCAAGTCTCGGTAGTGGTATTGCGGTTATTTTTTTGCAATTTTCCCGCCACTGCATGCATACCTTAGCGTATTATGAGATAACTTGGTCCATACACGGATACTAAAGGATACTAACCTCCCTTTAATTCAAAAACCTCGCTTGTGAGAGCATAAAGTGGCTCGGCTATTGAATCTTTTCTATCCCCAGGTTCAGGTCTGGTGGAAAGATAATGCATGATGGTTTATTCACGTCAAAAGAAATCGATATAATACGAAATATTCCGGCATTATTATAATAAAATTAATTTTGTGTTTGGTTGATCAAAATCATTGATCAAAGTGGTCGCGGAAGATCGTTAAGTGGGGGGGGGGGGTTGGTATATCTACGTTTTTCACAATAGTTTCTTTTGAACTTGATTGTTTTTATAGTCTGTTAACACGACTATGAAGTTCGTGACTATGAAGTTCGAAACATGACTATGAAGTCGATATAGTTTATCACACCATGCAGGGTATTTGGTAGAACTATACCTAAGTTCACTATATTATCATCTCTGATTCCTTTATTTTTAAAATGTTGCACTTCGCATTATTGCTATACTCAGGGACGTAGCCAGGGGAGGAGTCTTGGAAGCGGCATTTTTGCTAATATATTATACCAACTTCGAAATGAATTAATTTAATTAAGAATCTACTTAGTCTTTCAAATATGTTTTATTTTGTTCTGACTCGTCCAAAATCTTTAAAATAGTCAAGATGTTATTCCGTTACAAGAAAAAGCAAAAATTATAAGAGTAACCCACCCATCTTCTTCTGATGGTTCCTAAAAATAAGACCAATACGTTGTTGGAAAGGAATTGTTTCAAGAAATTATGAATTCATTTATTTATTTATTCGGGGAATGATATGCATGCCATGTGACATAGGTCTAAATTTCACCCTTTACCTCGTCCAGATCATCAGTAAAATTGAAATCAATAGGTAGGCTAAAATAATAACAAAACAGGAATTAGAAGAAAGATTCTACCACAACGGATTGTAAATAAAGTGGGGATAATTTTGATGTATAAAGTATATTGGTGTTCGATAATCTTCGATTCCAATGCAAATATCTGCTTTCATACACGCGCAGTCTGACTACACACAATTGCACAGATACCTTTTTAACACGGATTTCAATGAAAACCCAGACTTCTTCTCGACTGGTCTAAAGTCAACGGTCAGCAGTTAGTACACACTTTTAAAAATTCACAGCTAGTATATCAGAGCCATGCCCGCCGCACAGTTATTCACGTGCGCGGATGGTTTTCGGGCTGAGCTAACAGCCTCGTGAGGTCGTTAGCTCAGCTGATAGCTCTCGTGTGCGGCGGGCTTTAGAGATTAAGATGCTGTCACTTACGGCGAAAGCTCCTTTGTGTTTTCACTTGGGGTCAAGAATTGATACAGTTCTTCATTTAAACAGAGCGATTCATCTTCTAATAGCGTCTGTATGATGTTAAGGAAAATTTATAGGGTACAGTATATAGACGTGTCTCGGCAGGGTTCGCCGTTAAAAGGTCTCACCTGAACATACTCTTCTAACATAGACTTGGACTTCATTAAAAATTCCTCGTCAAATGTTTTAAACCATTTTTTACTAGGTAAAGGAAGCTCTTTTTTGAGACGACCACAACACTAAACGCAACAAGAAGAAACTTTATTGATTCTATCAATCCTTAATAATTACTATTATGGAATAATACACAATAATGGCAAGCAATATGAACTCTAAAACCTTTCCAACCATACCTCCTTCAGTTTCGAGTGGAGGTTTTGAAAATCCTTAATCGTTTTAGCGACAATCCATCCCTTTGTTTCCGACGACGGTTCATTATCGCCATGAAGAGATTTGCGATGAACCATCAAAATATAAACAGGCAATGGTTTGTCTTTAGTTTCTTCTATCTACAAACATGCAGTATAACATATTACACGCGATACATGCGTTTTAAACAGCTTCGGAATGAAGTCGGTTTAGGTCAAATCACTCAAATGCATAGCAGCAGGGCATATGCAGTCCTGTTTCTTGTCCAGACTTTGAACATCACAAACTTACTGAAGCACTCTGAATTACTACCCTCCAATTTCCAATGTTATCACACCACATCTCTAGAATACAATGAACACCGGTTACTTACACGGGTTTTTGAAAAGTTTTTTATCTCTCTTCCAGATTCCAGATCGGTGGATCAAACACGATAATCACACATGTGTTATTATCATGAATAATCGCATATGTGTTATTATCGCTTTTCAAAATGGTGGATTCGTCAATAAAACACTGCATATTATATAATAATATATATATATATATATATATATATATATATATATATATATATATATATATATATATATATATATACAATTTCTTTTATGTTAAGAGGTTCTTTATATATTTCATTTATGTTAAGAGGTTCTTTATTATGTTTTTTTTACGGCTATAATGTTTTAATTATCAGTGTTTGGTCTAGATCATTCTTACCAGCACGTTCCATTCGTGCTTCTAAATCACATTTCTCCTTTTTAAGAGCATCGATTTCCGTCTCAAGTCGTTTTCCCTATAACATACGTCGAAAAAGCCATTAATTTGTCACGACCATGTCAACGACCATGCATGCACGAAATTGGAAGAATGAATACTTAATAATTTAGCCGCGTCGTCGTCCTGTAGGTTGTCGTCTAGATCTCTGCCGTGCATGGGGAAAACTGTTTTTCTCAGTATTAGCACTTGCCGTATAGTCCGTAGTCATCTTACTTCAGACTCACCTCGATATGCATGTCATGTAATCTCTTCACCAATTCAACTTGCTGAGTCTAAAAACAACATTATGACTATATTAGCATACTTTAAAGTATTTTAGTATACTGCATAGCACAGCATACTTTTAGTATACTGTTAGCATACTTTAAAATGAAAGATATTGAAGTTGCTTTTCAATACTTCTTACGATATATCCACAAGGGTAATAAGAGAAAGAATAAAAAAGCCATTAAAGACATACAGGAACATTATCTATCCAACAATGAATTGAAGAAACTATTATAACAATATATATAGTAGTATGCACGTAACATGATGCTATTATATCAACGTATTATGAAATCTTGGTCGAGTGAACGCAGAAAAAACAAAACATGCATGTACATGATATTGCGAAGTGAATACAAAATCTTTTTCATTATACCTTTGATGCAAGTTTTTGATCCAAAATTGAGAGCTGTTTTATGATGTATTCATTTCTGTCTTCTATTGAATTCGTTTTTTCCCCTATAGTGGAAGAGAGACTAAAAGACTGAACACTACTGGGAAATTCAAATACTGGGTTGACCTGAAAATCCTACTTGAGGAAGACATGTTGGACGTGAATGTCGAGCTGATGTTAGTAGCAACATACAATACTAAATACTTGTTTGGAAAAGGTTTGCGCATGTTGAAAAACATCCAGATATTTTAATGAAGAATGGGAATACCCAGAGCACTTCACTTAGATAGGAAGCTTGAGAGAAAGTTTTACTCGTTTCTACAAGACGCTACACTATTGAAGAACGAGTGGAAATCAGCAATGTTAGTTTGTTACTCACCTTCAGACACTTGCTGCTTCTAAAGAGAGAAAGTACGTATTATATAATATCACGAGCTCGTGAACAATTTCTTAAATTTCCTTTGTGTTGTATCGGAAAGTAAGGTCACCCACCTGTTGGTCAAAACTTTCGGTACCATCACGCCAGTTTAATAGCATAAGATCCTGGTCTCCCTGGACAGATTCTAATGCGGACTCCAGCACGCAGATATACTGCACATATTCTTCAGAAATCACAAATTTGTGATAATACTTTTCATCCATTTTCAGATAGATTTGGATTTGAGCTTCAAAAAATGCGCTATCATCGTCACCATCACTCAAATACGATTCCATTTTTCGAACAAGCGCGGAGTCAACGCGCACGGATTGCTGTGCAGAAGGCACAATGTAGATGTTATAAATTTCCTTTGCACTGTCGTAAACTTTGTCTGGTTTAACTTTCTTAAGTTGTTTCATGTTTTCAGCAGCCATCCAAAACCTAAAGGAACAGTATTTCTTAGCCAATCTCTCCCCTTTTTGCCATGAAAGTTATTTTGTTACCTAGGGGCAGTACTTAGCTTATTAGTGATTTTCACACCAGATTTTTTAGAGTATTTTTAAAGCATAGTTTTTTTTCCTAATTTTTGGTTCTGTATCTGCTCTCACAGAAGTTAAAAAAATTACTATGAGGTCGATAGTACAATCAAGTCCTAGGTTTATAAGCAATACTACTACTGTTAGTAACTACCTTAACATATGATCAGCTCCGTTGTGTTGAAGAAACTGCATGAAATAGCTTCTTGCTAAGCTATTATCAATAATCTCAGAATACATCAATATCTTTTTTTGTCTGGCTTGTTTCTTGTTTCGGGATGACAAACTCCCATCATCCCTCTTCGCATCTCCAGAACTTTGGTCAGTGTAATCTGGTCCACCAAGCATCTTGATTCTCTTTTCACACTGTGCCTTAGCAACAGTACATTGGTTGATGTATCTTTTAAGATTACGAGCACGAAGCAGCTCACCTTTATCATTTGCCTGCCCTTGACCAGCCTGATCAACATGTAATCCTTTGAGGTTGTGAATGCTGGTAGCTTGCATAATTTCTGCAATAATGTGGTATCTAAAAATATGAAAAGCCTAATAATTTATCAAACCATAAAAAATAATCCATGTTCAAAGACAAGGCAATAATGACCCAAGCGATTGGCAAGCAATTCGCTAACATCTAGGTGAATGGTGAAGACAGTTTGTGTAAAGCAAGAAAGCAATTGTATTATCGAACTGTTGTATTATGATGCTTTGCAATACTTATTAGGGATATATATGTATGAGTATTTAGCTCAACTGATACACATTTCTGGTTAAATATCACAATAACATTGAAGTATGGTCTCATGTCATTGCTTGGCCCTAATTTACCAAGATTAAAACAATTTTTTACACTGAGCTCCACAATCTCAGTTGTACAGTAATAAGTCATTCACCAACATTGAATGTTCTGTTTTAACTTGCCATCCAAAGTGGCAGAAGCTAGGCTATGAATACAAGCTGATATACCCTGTTAGATGCTTTTACACTATGTTCGATAATTGAACATTGCGTAAAATTATTATTACCTTATCTGTTTGACATGTTCAATATCTTGGCTAGTATTAATCAGCCTTATAAATTCTTCATATGTCTCTGCATAGGCATAATCCTTCTTATGAGATTCAGATAGTTTCTCTTTTGATTCTAGATACCATAACAATGTTTGATTAATATAATCTGGATCACATAACCTCTCAAACATTGGTTGAAAGACTGTGTATGCCAAAATTTCACGAAGTAAGAGTCTTAAGGGGGCTGAATTTGAATTGTTTTTAGAGAGAAGTGCATACAACACAGCCTCTGAGGCTGTGCGTAGATATTCAAGTTCTGCAGAATTACTTGACAAGCATGGATGCAGCACAAATGGCTTTGCTGTTCCAGGATATCTTCTTTGATCTGACAACCTGAGATCCTGAAAATGACTACATAATAAATTAACCAAATCACTTGACAGAAATTTCACCATGTCAACATGTTGCAATTTTGATACAAAACAGTGTGTAATGTCCCACAATTCTTTAGTAAGCATATCTTTGAAAGCATGTTCATCCTTGCCTAAAGTCCCAAACCAAGACAGGCAAAAGTCTCTAATAAACAGGTCAAACACTTCTTGAATTTCCTTGTCTATTGTGTTTGTCACTACAGTTGTGTGTTTATACGGAACATGGAACTGTGTCCGTGTGATTTTGTCCATAAATTCAGACATCTTTTGTACATTTCGTGGCTTTTCTGGTACGTTCGCCTTTCTATATTTGCTGTTTCTTAAAACCAAAACAAATCCACATATTACTCCGCCAATACAGGCCATGAATATTCGAATGACAGGGATGGCAGAGGAGCCAAAAATTCCATAAAATTGCAAACCTATAATGGCCAACGCTACTATCAACAGGCTCATAATGTAGATATTTATTTCCATAATGTTTTTGGACTATTTTTAAGCAAAATAACTATAAACAAACATCACTTTTACTTTTTCTCTCCAAGGCTGCACGTCAAATCATTGTCCAAATACCGTCCAAGTTTTGCCAAAAAATACCGGAAAAAAATACAACAAATGAAAAGAAAATGGCGGAGGTTTTGCAAGAAAAGGATGGAAGCAGTTTCATTCCACTAAGAAAGAAAGCAAAGTTTGGCGGCATTGAGAGCAACTATGTTCACTCTGTGTATGAAAAAAGTTTTAAGGGTGACGAGATGTCTGAATTAGATGCAGAAAGATTTCGTTGGTACAACGGAATTGAAGTAAAAGGTATCGCTGGCGGTTCAGAGGCTGACTATTAAATATCTGTATTACTTAATGAATAGACATTACCATCATTCGATTGAATATCACAATTCACAATCAAGCGATAACGATTACGTATAACAATCAAATTAATTCATTTTCCAATCAGGGTCTTATAAAAACTTGATGTAAATGTTTTTCTTATTTAAGGTGTTGATTGTCCACCTCCAATTAGGAGTTTCTCAGACCTTCATCTTGATACTTCTGTCACAAATTACCTCAGGGAGGCCAATTTTTTAAATCCAACACCAATTCAAATGCAGTCTTTGAGTTGCACATTGAATGGGAGAGATGTCATTGGCCTTGCTGAAACTGGCTCAGGGAAAACATTAGCATATACTTTACCATTAGTAATCTGGTTGAAAGAAGAACCACCTAAGATGCATGGCGAGTCCCCTGTAGCACTAATTGTTGTTCCAACTCGAGAGTTAATGCAGCAAATATTTATAAATGTGAAAAACCTTTTAAATAGTATTTGTGTGCAGCCATGCATGACATCACCAGAGGTTTCAGGGATAAGTACAACAATGCGATACAAAGCATCAGCTATTTGTGGAGGTGTGTCAGCCAAGTCCCAAATCGAAGAGATAAAGGCAGGGGTAGATGTTGTAGTTGCAACACCAGGTCGATTGCTTGATTTATGTGAACGTGGTGTACTTTCATTATTGAGTATAAAGTATTTTGTGTTGGACGAAGTTGACAGGATGCTTGGAATGGGTCTGGAAGAGCAATTAAGAAAAGTTGTTGCATTTGTAACGGCTAAGAACAAACCTTGCCAAACGCTATTATTTTCTGCGACACTACCTGAATCACTAGAACGTCTTGCAAGGTCTGCTGTAGTGAATCCTGTCGAAATCCAAGTAGGTGCAACAGAAGTGACGGCTCCAAATATCAAACATCGGGTTATGTTCTTACATACCTATGAAAAACCTAACAGAATATTAGAAATTCTTCGTCAGACTGAATTCCCACCTGTTATAGTGTTCACGTCCTCTATACAAACCGTCGACTTCGTTGTTCGTCATTTGAGAAAAGAACAATTTCATGTGGCAGGCCTGCACTCGGAGAAGAGTCAGAACTATAGATTCAGATTGATGAGCGGGTTTAAAGATGGCAAAGTGGATGTACTTGTTGCAACCGACCTGGCGTCGCGTGGCCTTGATATTCCCGAGGTGACGCACGTGGTTAATTATGATATGCCAGATACTATCGAGGATTACATTCATCGATGTGGTCGCACAGGAAGGATGTCGAAATGCGGACTGGCAACTTCTTTCTTAACTTTAGATTGTAAGATAGCAGCTGAACTGAGAGATTTGTTAGAATCCTTGGAACAACCGCTACCGAAGGAGTTGGAAAACGTGAAGGACTTTGGAAAGAATGTTGTGCGAACAGAATTTGGTGATAGAAGCATCTCATAATGTACCCTTTAAGATCAAACAAGCAGCAAGTAGTGACAGTTTTAACTTGTGAAACGTGAAAAAGAGGAACACGTGGATTAATCACATGATTGTCGATTCATGTAGATATATTACGTCGTAATATTTATGTTGAACTACTTGAAATTAATCAAAGTATTTAATTCTGTGTCAAAAACGTTTCGCTTTGATTTTATTTCACGTAATTAGTCAGATCCAAGCGTGGTGATTACTGATTACCGCCGTTTCTCTGTAAAATGCGGAGAATCTCTACCGTAAAAGCAATTTCACGCATATTCGGAAAATAAACGAAAAAAATGAGTTTGCTTTTAAGTAAGAATATAAAGACTATTTTAAGTACGTGGTCTAGTTACTGTTTGATATTCTCGACTTTCGACTCTTCTCTGTTTTCAGGGTGCTTGGCAACTTTTGTAGCTTCACATACACTATCTAATAACAATCTAATAAAACTTCACACAGTCTAATAAAAACTACCACTGTTGCAGGTTACAAAATTTCGACTGTCTTACACAAAAAAATAGCATCTACATCGATAAACAAGAGAACTACACTTATAGAAATTTTATGCGACGTTCGGCTGAAAATATTGAACTATAAAGTACACACAACAGCTACTATTAGTAACCAAATCTTACGCCCGTATTCTAAAAGCTTACTCACACTCAACTCATTGAGTGGGATATCTTAATCTTCTCATGGCGTTTACATAGCGGTATTTCCAGTCGAATAGAGGCATGATCTTCAGTTTTTTACCTTAAATCTTTCCACCTATTCAGAAATAACTTTCTCATTGAGCAGCAATAGCAAAATTTCTAAGTCACACTCAATGAGTGCGAGTGTGAGTGAGCTTTTTGAATACAGCCGTTATTCTTAAATGATTATACTTAGTATACCTAAATGATTATACTTCTCTGACTAAATCAAGTTATAAATTATATCAGTGAATACTTCGATTATAGTTACTTTTAAGACTTTTAAGTTTTTAAAACGTCAACATACAAATTGATTAATTATGAATCAAGTCGTTCATCATGCGTGGTAAAATAACGTATAGATTTGAATTGTGTAGACTTGTATCTTAACCTTCACAAAAATACTCTCGGTATGTTCCACCTTTACCATTGAATAATGATTTAAAATTAGGCAGGCAAGCATTGTGACCTTTTATCCCACACGTGACGGTATTTGCACTTCCATACAATTTGTGTTCCAGATACCCCATACCATAATACGTTATGAGAGTCTGAAAGACATTTCTAGGGTAACGCACCCAGACACCATTCGTTTTCATTCTAATGTATCCTGGCGATGGATCCTTTCTAGGAAAAATTGTTGCCAAACCACCAGAAACATCGCCGATTTCTTTAGGAGTACAAAAGACGTGGACAGCATGGCTTGCCTTATGTTCTCGCAAGATATAGCCTTTCTTAGTAACCCATGGTTGCAATAAATTCATTAGTTTAGGTGCATCTATACCATACACATTAATATCTAGGTCACCAGCCTCCCACGGTAAAATTGAGTGCATTTTCACGGCTCCTAAAGAAATTCCTCCCTCGAACTCGTAACTTATATTGTGCTCTTCAAAGAAATTGCTAACTTCCTTTAATGAAACTTTCAAATATTCCAGTAAAAAGGGGTAGGTATATAATCCCAGGAAAGCCCAGTGTCCATTATTTAGCATCAGTTGGTGGGCATTTCTTTCGATACACAGGGCCTTTCCACTTAGAGGACTGGTTGGACTGCACAAATCCATAATGTTCCCGTCTTCATCCTTCAAAATGAAGATCTTGTGTTTAACTGCAAATGGAACTAAATCTTTGGTTATGTCATGTGACTGCCATTTATCATACATACTCATGAATCCGTCGGCCAACAACATGAAACTTGGCCTGGTGGCCACGACAACATTTGCAGTTTTTGCTCGAATAAAAAAATCCTTTATTACCAACATGTCAGACATATTTTCATCAAATCCATTTTGCACTTTTTTTACGCTTTGCTTTCTTCCCATGAAAGACGCAGACGTTCCATCACAAATCATAATATGATCAAGCGACCTTTTGTACTCGTAGGTTTCAAAGAATGTCCATTTACAAAATTTAAAACGTTGACAAGTAATATGCAACTTATCGCCTGATAAATACGATCCTCCAATAAAATCTATCTCTGGATAGCGCTCTAAAGCATCCCACAGGGTAGCTAATCCTTCATTTTCTTTAGCTGAGAGTGACACATCGGGTTCCAAAACCATAAAATACTCAGTTTTAATATCTTTAATCATGCGATTCAGCGACGTCGCAATGTTATTGGACTTATCATCCCATTTGATAGGCGACGAAGGGAAGAAACGCTTGATTTTTTCGAGCTGCGTTTCAAATACTAAGCTCTGATCTGAACGCTTTAGCAACAAAATTGTGACTTTTGAAGGCAAAAAGCCTCGTGGATTTTTGTTGGTGATGACTGCGTTATTAAAAGACGCATTGTTGCTTCTTCCACAAAAAGCCGTCATTTCGATGGCTGTTTTCAATTGCGAGTTCTCATGAGTTAGGAGATTTATCCTTTCGAACAGAATAACCACTGCAACTGCTAAGCAAATGATTACAAATATCATAGCCAATTTAGCCATTCGGTGGCGTATTATTTTAGCCAAGAACATTATCTTTCGTTTCTCTTCACAATCTGACAACTCAATTTGACAAAATATCCAATTAAATCGGTACCTATGTGAGACAGATACGTGATATATACCCGTACGTGTCGCATCGACGGTATATTGGGACTTTGTTACTTTGTGACTTTCTTACTTTCCTTAGCCACGCCTCACTTCACTAGCAATAAAATGTATGAATACATTAAGTTTGAAACCATAGGCAACAAACGCCAAGCTTAGTGGAATTTTAATTTCCCTAAACAAATACTGGCTGTGCTTGTATTATAACTATATTAATCCCATTTCGATTTCCCTGTAAAAATGCTTAACCTTAGTCAGGTTTTTATGACATATTTCCACGAGGATTTGGCTAAGAAGGATCCTTAACCTGATCCCAACCAAATCTATATTCCAGTTGGGTTGAGATGCGGATTCCTTGTGCTCGATTTAGTTAAAGATATATAAGGTCACAATTTTAAAGTCAATTCTCCAGTCCCGTCTAAGCATCTGTTATGCTCCTAATAACAGCAGTGACTACACGGATGCGATCATGCGGACAATATCGTATATGTTAAGAACTATAGCTGTTCACAATTGCAATGCTCTTTTTTTTACAGGTGCACTTCGAAACACGAAACAGGTGTACCGCCTCAAAAAGATAAACTTTCCGTCAGTGTTGGATTGCTTGGGCTGTCTCGTGAGTTTCCTTGCAATTACATGAAATCAGTGAATGAACTTTGAAATTACTTGAAGTGTGCTTTTCCAGTCTTTTAAATTCAGTTTATAGCGGGTCTTGCCTAAAACTGATGACTATGTAAGCCTAAATTAATCTTGTCCGACATAACAATTTTTTTTTAAAAAACGTTTTTCAATGTGACATTGACTGTCCGAGCTGTCGTATTTAGATAAACTTTGCCGCGTCGTAGTCACCTGCAAAGTTTTAAGTTTACACACCTTGAATCCTAGTAACAAGTTCTCTGTAGGAAGCTGAACTGCTCTTGTATCAATTATTCATATTGTATATTTTGCGGGGTTGGGCATATATAAACATTTGGCCCTCGTCGACAAAAAAACGCGATAAAATTGTTGGTAAGTTTTTACTACAATATGACGAGTCGACGAAGGTTTCAAGTTGGGAACGTGTGACAATGTTATTGTTGATCGCGGTCGGTTAATTAATAGTCCGACACGTGCATAATTCTGACACGTATAACGTTGTCGGGTTGCACGGCCGGCTATAGTTGATCATAGGAAACCTACTCTGGTTGATCATAGAAAAAAATATTTATTGGGATTCCTATGAACAGAGTGGATAATAGATAATATTAATAGATAATATCTATTGTCTTCTCTGTGCCTCAACCGGCGTTATAAAAAGGTGTGCACAAGTTCACAACCCACATAATCATGAGATAATAATTGCGATTTCTTTAATATGTGACCGAAATAGATTCTCACCTTAACAGTGATCCGTGAATGTATGTGTTAAGATGCACCAAATCTAGTAAATCTACGACGCGAAAGTGAAGTAACGCTGTCTTCATTTCCACAGTTTTACAACAGGAATAAAAATCATGGACTTCTTTTGGTAAACAAGGTTAGAGCTGTATGTAAAACTTATTAAAACTGGTTTTCTAACAATTCCGGCTGATTTCATGTCACGTCCGCGTCGTAGATTTGGTGCAACTTAATAAGGCAGTGAACTGAAATAATTTGAAACCAAGATGGCGGAATACGAAGCTTTTCTTGTAGGTATGATCCAGGCCTCCACGCGGAAATTTCGTAGGTAAAATGGCGGCAATTATGATTTTACCTTGGAGATTTCTGTGCCAGATGCATGCCTGGTTCATACCTACAATGTTCCACAGCATACCTTCATGTTCCGCCATCTTGGCTTCATTCATTAATGAGTTCCAGTGTTTTGAGTTCACTGTCTTAAGGTCCCTACTCAGGCTACTCTCGTCATGTTACGCGCACGAAATATTTTCCCTTTAAACCAGTCCCAAACCGCCACCCTTTCCTAACCGCAAAACGGAAATTACGAAATCCATAACATAACGATATATCGTGAATCGCCCATGGATGATTTAATAGCTTAAGTGCTGCTCGTAAAATGCAAAAAGCAATTTTTGTGTACAAAGTTATGTGAACAATTTTACGCCGTTCCTTCATATTGATAGCCCTTCTTTTCTCACTCATCAGTTTGTTAAAACTAGCCAAGTTTGATGCGAGTTAAAGGATGACAAATTTAGTTGGCGATTTTTCAGTGCCTTTGGGTCTATCCTTGGTGTGAACGATATGTATCGTCACTTGGACATGAGGGATTCGGAACCCAGGTGTGTAAACCTTCAACCTTGATTGACCCTAGGATACGTAGCTATTAAGTCAACATAACGTCAGACCTAGGCTGCCTTTACCGAAAAATAAAGAGTCAACAGCTAGGCTTTTTATTGTAACTGGAAAATTTGAAGGGATTAGGGAACTAAAAGAACATGATCGGCCACAGGCGTACGGGACGGATTGGGGCTTGGAAAGGCAGCCCCCCCCAAAAAAAATCCTCAGTTTAATCTGGAAAAGGTTGCGTAATTTTTTAGTTGAATTCCACTGAAATTCCTGCAGTTTTTACTGAATTTAGTTATAAGTTCAGACAGTTGGACTCGTGAGTTGGGTAGTCACGGTTATTGAAATTATTCACCTCCGTTCCTAACTGAAATCTACAGTAAAAGATCAAATTGTCCAGTCCAGTCATAGTCATGAAAAAAAAAACACAATCCATTTTATCACTGTTACAATGCAATTCATTACTGTTACTATACGTTTGAGATCTAGACGAATCAAAAGGTTTGGGACTTCAATTATAGACCTTAACTAGATATAGCACTCTCGTTGATCTTGCATTTTTTTACTGAATCCTTTGCACACTTAACTTGGACTCTTTGGGAAAATAGCAATTCGAATTCAATGTTATTCCATGATCATATTATTCCCTAAAAACCAAGTGTTTTAATATTTTACCCAAGATCTTGCCATGGATCGTTAATGGACCCGGCTTTTTGCATAATAGACCAACGTTTAGGCAACAGAAGGGGAATTTCCGAAAAGTGCATACTAAATTTACTAAAATTACCAAGTTTGGCTGCAAAATATTGTAAAGTACGGAAAATAAAGCTATGCGAATTTGGCAATTTTGTATACTTTTTTCCCACGGCTGGAAGTACTATTGTGTAACTAAATTAGTTAAA